CCAGACAATTTATTCTAACGCCAAGTCAATTGTGACAAAGTAACTTAATTGCAAAGAAAAAGTAGAGAATTTTGATCTTGGCTGTGTATTGTGATGATCGCGGTACCATTGGATTCCGAAGCAGAAAGGGATTGTTGTTCATGTTGGGTCCATTCTTGACAAACTGTCTGTCACTAATTAGCTGTTTCTGAATCTAAGAAAATGACTCTGCTTTTCAGTAACACGTTTATAAACCATCCTGGAGCTAACTTCACACCTGGTGTCACTATAGAATGATCCCAGACATGGATCTGGCCCCTCTGTTTGTAAGCAACTTGTTGCTTGGTGGAGTAAGACCAGTGAAACTGGTCGCTGGACAATCTCAAGTGTAAGAGATTTCTTCCTGGCAGAGAATCAACAGTTTTTGAATCACGACATTTATAGATGCTTAGGATACTCAGCAGAAACATTTCCAGCGAAAGGCATGCAAATTACTTCCAGGGAATTGTTAATTTTGTCTGATAAGGAGGGAGAGGTCTGTTTTACAAGGAGCTGATAAAGCGTAGCAGATAGCAGTTTTTTAAGTGAAGGGTCTGTACACACTACAGCTTACATGGGTATAACTTATGTCGCTCGGGGTGTGAATAAGCCATCCCCCTTAGTTATGTAAGTTACAGCAATGTAAGCATCAGCGTGGACAGTGCTATGTCCGCGGAAAAGTTTCTCACGCTGACATGGCAACCACTGCTTGCGGGGGCTGGAATAATTAAGTCGATGGGAGAGCTCTCTCCCGTTGGCTTAGAGCATCTGCCCTAGTAATGCCAGAGCGGCACAGCTGCATGCTCTGTAGTGTAGCCATAGCCTGAGTCTCTAACCCTAAGAGTGGTGGAGACAATCTTGAAAACCTGAGCGAGACCAGGTGGGTGAGGTAATATCTTTTATGGGTAGGGTGACCTTACGTCCCGTTTTGACCGTGACAGACCCCTTTTTCAGCTCTGTCCTGCCCGTCCCTACTTTTTTGCCAAAACTGGGCATTTGTCACAGCTGCAAGGCAGAGTGGAGAGCAGCGGCTGATGCCCAGGGGATCAGCTGAAGGCAGTGCTGCCCGCCAGTAGGCAAGCAGAGAAATTGGCTGCTGGCGGGCAGCACTGCCTTCAGAGCTGACCGCCCCTCCCGGCCGGTGCGGCGCTCGGGTGGTACGCCCCAACCCCAGTAATAAAAAAATAAGGGTTGGGAAAAGTTTCCTGACCTCCACAGTGACCAGGGTTCTGTTTGGGGCTCACATGAGGAAAGATGTTGGCTGGGAAGTGTCCAAGATCGTCTCTTTCACCAGATTTCAAGCAGCACGGGGCTCAGTGAGTCAGCCCCAGCCACAGGCAGCATGGGGAGGGCAGCTCTGGCGAGCCCTGTGCATGGGGGGATGTGGGGGAAGGTGAGGGGGACAGCTTGGGCGAACCCTGGGCTGTCCCATTTTTACTTTAAGAAATATCGTCACCCTATTTATGGGACCAACTTCTGTTAGTGAGAGAGAAGCTTTTGAGCCACAGAGAGCTCTTCTTCACCTATATTGAAAACATGAGCACAGTTCAACCGAGACATTGATTCCTGCCTGTATTTGCAGAGAGCCTGAAACAGTAGCTCTGGGAGGTGTGGGCTGCCCCATTAGCCTCAGTGGGCTAGCAACTCAGATGTCCGGTGATGCTATTTTAAATGTCACAATTGTTAGCTATTTCACTGCTGTTGACGTAAGTGGGGGGGGAGAAGGAGGATCACAGATCTGCACAGTGTACTCTGAGTGGAGTCTCAATTCATTGATTGGTGTTTGGGAGAGGAGCACCATTCACACACACACCCTGCCCCTATCTGAGCCATGGAGCCACCATGTCAGAGGGGAGGAGCAGAGGTTGGGTACATTTGAGACCCACCAAGGGGGAGCAAATATTTCAGAGCCCAGCAAGGCACCTGCAAGCCCTCTGTCAACCAGCCCCTTACCCAGCCTTCAGGGCAGTGAGGGACAAGGCTGTGCTGCTGGGGGGTGTGGGGCCAGGTGGCTTCCTTCCTGGCTAACGGTAGCTGTAAGCATGAGGACTAGAAACATAACTCTCTTTAAATGCTCTGGGAGCTGGGGCCCTTGGTACATGCCAGTTGTGCCTGCTTTGCCTTAATCCAGCCTGCCCAAGGGTGATTCTGAACCCAGCAAGGGAGGAGCCCAGCAGAGCCTGCGTAATCATATTTTGAATATCTGTGCAATGGGCTGTGAGTGGCATGTCACTGTGGCTTGACTAGTGAGTGGAGCTTGGGAGAATACAGCCGCTTTTCCCCCAGTTCAAGCCCTGCAGAAGTTCATGCCGTTTATATAGACAGTAAATACAATATGAGAAAGCAAAGCTCTTCTGCCATGGTGACAGCTGGGCCTGATTCCATCCTGTCTCAAACTTGCTCCATGATAGGCAGTTGGTATTTATTAAAGAAAATGACCTGCTGTGCAGGGCACCTATACACAATCCTTTATTGTGGCACAACTTTCTGATCCATTGGATGGGAGTCTCATCTGAGTAAGAAATGCAGATGTTGGGCCTCCAAGGTTGTAACTTGGGCCAGCAAAGTGGTTGGCCCACTGGATAGCTCTCTCAAAGACTATAAGGGAAATGAGAAACTTTTAGCAGAAAGTCAAAAGTGGAGATATTGTGCTCAGACTTAACTCGATTATAGCCATAATATAAAGTGTATGGAATTACATGCTTTTATCAAGAATAAAGCCTAGATTTCTTTCCCCCTCCCCCACCCATCTTGGTATCAGCTATGGTTATAAAAACGGGCCACATAAATCATCAGCATTTCAGTATCCAAATCCAATGTAAGTGTTTGTCTGCAAATCTCCACACACAGTTACTGTTCTGTGTGAGTTATAATAGGCTTGATCCTGGGTGCTGATTTCAGAGAGAACTGAGGGTGCTCACTCGGGCTACTTCATGTTTCAGCCCAGAGCAGGGAGCTGTTATCTGATTCTGAGTTCTTGGAGACTTTATCATCTCTAGTGGTAGGTCTCAAGGCAGCCAATGCAGGGTTTTACATGGTGTGATTTGACACTAAATATGTCATCCATGTTTCCCCTGCTGCTTCAGATTTCCATGTATACTGCCATGTAATGGAACTCCTAGGGCACCATAATTTGTATCAGCTCTTCAGACCAGATGCTCTACTAGGGTGACCAGACAGCAAGTGTGGAAAAATCGGGACAGGGTGGGGGGTAATAGGCACATATGGAAGAAAAAGCTCCAAATATCAGGACTGTCCCTATAAAATAGGGACATCTGGTCACCCTATGCTCTACTATTATTCTGTCTGACACATTCACCATGCCTGCTGGGTTGCTGCCTTTTCTTAGACCTGCTATGTTATGAAATTACGAAATGTTCAGGTCATCAAGATTATTTAATGTTATTGTCATAAATATTTGGACAGGACTTGGCCACAGCTTACATAAGCACTGCAAGACCGTAACTTGTTTTAAGAGGATGTGTGTTTAATGAACAGCAAGCTCAATGCTCTCTCTATAAATTATTTTTACAAATGTGCTTATCTAAACTGCATATCCTAATTTACAAAAAACAAGACCCAAAACATTTTTATATTTAGATTTTTTTGTCTGTTATCGAGGAGGGGAGGGGGATTTAAAATGCTTCGAGAATTGGTTTGAAAGTAAATAGCTCTTCTTTGCTTGTTGTTTTGTCCTCAAACACAGACTCTGATCTTCTGCTTCTTCTTAATCATTTTTTGTTAAACCATGTTTCCTTTCATGTTGTTGTTCTGCCAAAAAGAAAGGGTCAGTATTGCAGTATCTTTTACAGTCAATTTGTACTACTAATTCCAATTTGTTAATTTCCAAAGTGCATCCTTTCCAATGCACTTTAAAAAAGAAAATGAGTCAGGTGTTCTGAAATACCGAAGTCCGTGCATTATCCTACCCACTGCAGCATGTGTGTTAGAAGTGCACAAACATTTTGGACATCTCTGTCTTTCTTTGCAGGCATTGAACTTAGGTTTTCTTATTAAAGGAATGCTGCCAGGGTTTGGGACAGTTCTCAACATAAGCCGGGATATGGAAGCTGCCGGAGGGTGCTGTGTGCATTCTGGCGAATTTAATATATTTTTTCTATAAATATCTTAATTATCAGGGTGTAGTCTTCAGGCTGTTCTTAAAGAGTTGTCTCTTGCCAGATCATTAAAGGAAAATGCCACTAAATGCTACATTTTCTGCCTATATATTGCATTGTGATGTTGCAGCTAATATTTGTTGATTAGTCACTCTGATGTAACATTGCAAAAATACATGTCAAAGCAGGCAAAACCCAATTCCTGCTACTTCTGGTAATGTAAATGGTTATGTGGTGTGGTCTGATCAATTCAGATCTGAATCCAGACTTCAGAGTGTATGAATGCAAAGCTTTGATTCAGCCTATTATATATAGGGGAGTTGCCTGTGACATTTGGGTTTGGATCTTGATTTAACTTCTTCACAGTTCCCAGGCTGTCCTGCACTAGAGTTTTGGCCTGAGTCGGTGTCTAATAGACCATACCTGCTTTGGTCAGTGGATAAATAAGATGACCCAGTAGGTCTCTTCCATTTATAATCTCTCTGATTCTGGGGGTAGCATGTGGTAATATGAGACCATTGGGTGACTCTGCAGTGAGGAAGTTCTGTGCAGGAATGGTGTCCCTAGCCTCTGTTTGCCAGAAACTGTGACTGAGCGACAGGGGATGGATCACTTGATGATTGCCTGTTCGGTTTATTCCCTCTGGGGCACCTAGCACTGGTCACTGTCAGAAGACAGGATACTGGGCTAGATGGACTTTTTGTCTGACCCAGAAGGGCCATTCTTATGTGTTGGTGGTTAGTGGCTGTTGTTGAATATCAGTCAGTTCATGTAGGGGAAATGCCATCTCTCATGTTAATGTGCTTTGAGCAAGTGGTATGTAAAATGTGTATGAGTAAAAACAGTGGTGTCTTTTCCTTTCAGAAAAAGAGCAGAGAAGAGACATGTGGAGAAGGCAGTGGAGTGGAGATCCTGGAGAATAGGCCATACACGGATGGTCCTGGTGGCATTGGGCAGTATACCCATAAAGTGTACCATATTGGTATGCATATACCCAGTTGGTTTCGGTCTATCCTGCCAAAGGCAGCTTTAAGAGTTGAAGAGGAGTCATGGAATGCATATCCTTACACAAGGACAAGGTACTATTCCATGTAGCCCTCCCTAGATTTTGAAAGGAACTGAATATCTCTTTACTTGCCATGACTGAGTCACAATGACATCTCTTGTGTTTCCATGAACATTCTTTAGGGAAACATTGGAGCCAAGTCCTGAAATCCTTACTCAGTCCTCAGAGATTTGGTGAGCAGGCTGTGTGAGGACTTCAGGATTTGGCCCATTGTCTAAAAGTGTAAGCCCAGTTGTGCACCAAAGTGTGGGAAATCATTAATGTTTTACAGAGTCTTGTGTGTCACACTGCATGTTCCACTAATTGTTGCAAATATCTGATAGTTAACTTAGATTATATTTAAATGTATGTGCAGATGGCAAGGGTAGCATGTCAAACACTACCTAGTAAAAGTGAAATTGGATTTGCATCCCGACCCTGTTCTAGGTTGGAGAGTCGGAGAAGTGGGAGAGAGAGAGATTTAAGGATAGAAATAAAAATAATAGATACTTTGGAGGTTCTCAGATATTAACATGCTGGGGGCTTTATTATTATTATTGATTATTTTATTGATTATGTATTTATTAATTTTTAAAAAAAGAAATAACCCTACACCTAGTAGAGTTTTTAATCCCCAAAAGGGAAGAGAGCCAAATACTCCATGAGGCCCCCTAGGGACTTTGGCATTGCCATTCACTGTATTTGGAAGGCATTCAGATATTAGCGTGATGGGCAGCAGTCACTTTTAGCCTAATATCGGAGATAATCTGTGGTCTTGGAGTCTTAGTGTAGCAGAGCATTCCCATATAAACCATATCCTGAGGCCATGCTCTGGCCTTAAGAACAAAATGTTAACACAGCAAAATCACTGGCTCCTTTTTTGTACATGCAGATTGCATCTTAAATGGTATTTAAAGCAAAACATGAGCGAGAAATGGCCTGGATTCGCAACCGGTATTTAGGTGTCTGTTATGAAAGCACTTCTCTACTCCATCAAGTCTAATAGGCTTTAGTCTAAGCTTCATTACTCTTCTCTTCCAGGTATACGTGTCCTTTTGTGGAGAAATTCTCTATTGATATTGAAACGTATTATAAAGCCGATCCAGGGGATCATGTCAATGTATTCAGCCTTTCTCCTGCAGAAAAAAGACAGACAATTCTTGGTGAATATCACTTTTCCCCTCACTTTTTCTTCTATCCTGCCTATTGATTGCTACACAGAAGTTTTTATAGTAATTTTTCTTAGGGGTAGAAGCATTGTCTAATGGTTACAAAAAAGAACTGGTAACTAGGAGCTCTGTTCCTGGCCCTGCTGCAGACTGTGTGTGACGCTAGGCAAATCACTTAATTTTTTCCATCTGTCTCCATTTTTCCAACTGTAAATGGGGCTAATACTTTCCTGCCTCATTTGGATGCTGTGAGGACTAAGCCTTCTTAAAGGGCTTTGAGATACCAGATAGCGCTATCAAAGGGGAAAGGATTGCTATTTTTAAATAATTTTATATTAATACATTTTCTTTGTATGGGAAAACATTGTTCCTGTGTAAACTTTCAAAACATATGAAGGATCTTCCCCCTTTCTCCCCAGTACCATCTCAGCACTGGCCAACATTTCAGCATTAAATTCCCATTTGCACCCTTTTGGGCAGATCAGTTTATTGAGCCTTACAAAGGACTTCAATGTGAAGAAGGCAAAAGGGGGCATTTTGTGAAAAGGCCGAAAATGGCAAGTGTCATCCTGATTCCTGCCGCTTGTATTTCCTCCTGGCCAGTCCCTATGGCATAAGCAGTAGACCCATTGTGTCGGAGTTAGTGCTAGCTATTATAGTTACACACCATTAAAGCATCACTTGCTTATGAAACTACTGACACTCTCATGGATTGATTTGAGTTTTGCCTGGCCTTCTTTTAGGAACTGTGAGATTAGCAAGCACAGTATCCCAGTGATGGGAAGAAGGACACCTAGTGGTTGCTGTACCTTTTTTCTTAGCCACTCCTGAAACGCTGCCTATCAGTGGGCAAAGATAGTATCTAAGGTGCAATTTTACTGTGTTTAATTTCTGTAGGCTTGAAATTTTTTGTTATTTTCAGCCTGGATTAGTGTATTCTCGTCACTAAATGTCAAACCTGCCTGATCAGCCTTTGTGTACTAAATTGACTCTATATAAGAATGATTTGAGTCACGTTCCTTCATACAGAACTTATTGAAAGGCCTGTCAATTCTGAGGGAATAACTGAGATATATAACCACTTCAGATGGAAGTTTAGATGCCTCTAACAATGTTTTCTGATCTCAGGATTATTTACAGACCTTTTAGGATGCATTCATTAGTTCAGCTACAGTTGCTTGGTCCCCCTTATCACAAAAGTATTCATTAAATAATTTTTAGACTTCAAAGAAAGAAAATTCAGATTACATATTGTCCATAGCAGAACATCAGCAAATGAGAAGTAAACCAGTAACATCACTGTGATGTTCTGCAATGGTACCATATTCAGTGGCTAGTCTCTGTTCTATGATATTATTAGAAAAGAACTGTTGAATTGTAAGCTTCTAAATTTAGGCAGAGCTACAGCATTGTGGTGGCATGAGAGGAGCTGAAGGGTGAAATATACAAAAACTCTTTTTACAGCTGAAAAGATGTAACAGATCTGCCAAAATACCCTCGGTTTACAAAATCTTTGGGCAAAAATATCCATTTGCTAAGACTGTGCATGTGAGTTCTCCAGGCATTGTCAACATCACTGTCTAGCAGAATTGTATAAACAGTTTAAATATCAGTTGTTTAAGGGAAAATACAAAGGAGCTAAATTGCTTTAATGTTTCTGATAGACACCAAAGCTATTTTTAAAAGTGTTATTTTATAGTTATGCAGAAAGAGAAAACTTTTTAAAAACTTTGTGTTTTCTGCCTTTAGATCCAATTGATATTGTTAAAGATCCTATCCCACCACATGAATACAAGTCAGAAGAGGATCCAAAGCTTTATAAATCTGTGAAGACTAAAAGAGGGCCATTGTCAGAGGACTGGATTGAGGGGTACAAGAACAACCCTGGGAAATATCCAATCATGTGTGCATATAAACTGTGCAAAGTGGAGTTCAGATACTGGGGGATGCAGTCCAAAATTGAGAGGTTTATCCACGACGTTGGTGAGTAATTGTAGTCTTGTACGTGGTGTCAAAATTTTAACATTGTTTTTAGCATTTCTGAGTCAGAGTGCAGCAGCATGTTACATAAACAGTATGTGCCCAGTTTTCATGTGTGGATGCCTTAAGAGGTCACTGGGCTACTCAGATTAACACTTGGCACAGAATCCTGTGCATATGACATAAGAGATGCCCTTAAAAGAGATTTTGACATGGCCATTCAGGATGGCTGTGGGACTGCCCAGAGTACTCAGCATCATTCCCGTTGTTTGCAGTCAGACTGTATGTGGACCCTAACCATGTTTGGTCATAGCTGTATCCTGGAAAATGTTGGGCAGGGCCTTAATTCTCTGAAAAAAGGATTCATCTGTCACAAATCTAACAAACACTTTCAAAGGTCTGTTGGTTTTCCTTAGAATGGGCCAAATCCTCAGGTGCCTCCCAAACACAAGTAAATGGGCCTTGCAGAGGAGCCTGCCACAGGGCTCAGTGGAGGGGGGTGGGGAATCTCCACTCTGCCCCACACTTTCAGAGCTGCTCTCTCTCTCTCAGGCCTCCTTGCTTCCCTTCTGAGTGGGAGGAGGGTTGGCCAGTGGCTCTGCATAGTCACAAATCTCTCAGACCTCCATGATGCACCACTGAAGGCTCTCTGTCCTCTTGTGATTATAATTAAATGTGGTTCAGTGACAATTCTCAGCTACAGTAAAGGTACCACACTGATTAGCATGTGCATTCTTGCGTCAGTGCCTCTAAAGGAGGCCAGCTTGTGTTTTTGTCAGAGGACTAGCTAAGTGGATGCTGTACATGGCAGGACGATGGCAGCAGAGTTGGTAATAATTTGTGCTTTGGCTTTGCAAAAAATCTGTAACATAATTGAGACAGTTTTTGGCAGGATGTACGACTGGTCTGAAAAGAGATGAAATGGTTCCTTAAAACTGTGAAATCTGCCAAGTGTCTTTCCCAAGAATCCAGGCTATAGGGGGCCCTACTACATAGGGGGCCTAGAAGGTTGCTTGCTCAGAACATGCACATTCAATGATCTAGAAATGTTGTACTGATTAGATGCATTATCATTAAGTACAGAGTGATGGCACTGATGCGTGTTAAATAAGGCTATTGGTCATCAATTGCAGTGCTAACTAAATGGCCAGTGCAGCCCCATAATTTCTTCTTTCTAGTAGGGATTCTGTGGTTTTACTGATGTTTCCAGTCACTGTAGGGTCTCAAATGCCAAGTTTTAGCACTTTGACAGTGAATTGTGAACGCATTGGTACTGGTTAACACTGCTTTCTAACCTCTCATCTGCATTAGAAAATTGCAAAGCTAATGCAAAAACAATCAAACAAACCCCCCTCTACCTGCTACTGAGCCATTCTCAGTATCTCATTTGCAGGTACACTTTCAGATGGGTCATTTTCCCTCCTTGCTTTCCAGCTGCTCTAGTTTTGATTGGATTGAATTTCCCTGGGTTTGCCTGCTGGGGACAATTACTGGGACATGCACCATAGGGAGTAGGTGGAATAAGGTAATCCATTTGGAAAATACATATCTCACTTTTTCTTCCAACAGCTGATCTCAAATTTTAGACCCTTCATTAGTTTGTCGGTATAGAGTAGGAGGCACTTCAGTTTGTGCTAGATGAAGTGAAGACATGATGACCTTTAAAGGTTTAGAGATTTGGTTCAGTTTGGGTGAACACCCTGTAATTTATTTGCTTATCCAAACTGTTCAAAACTTTGAGTCTGCAAAATCATGCCTTGTGAGAACAGGCTTTCTTGCAGGAGTTTGGAACTTCCCATCTCTGCCCAAACCCATACGTGCTGATGCTCCCAAAAACGGGGGTGGGGGAAAAACAGAAACAGGATTTTGGAAAACAGTTCACCATTTAAATTTATTTAGTTATTGAGGCTCAGAAATTTAATTTGCTTTGGGTCTCAGTTTGGGGCAACAATTGGGGATAGTCTTACATTAGCGCAAGAGAATTCAGTTGTGGGATCCACCACAGGTTTTTATAATGAGCCAAGTCTAGGCTGGGAGAGAGCTGTGGGAGTCTGCTGAGTGCCAAGTGGCTACCCAGGCAATGCAGAGGTGGTAAATGACACTTACAGTTAAGTACCTCGTGTTATCAAGTCAAATTTCAGTGTTCTTTTAAGAGTTCCCAGCTACCTGAAACAAAACTGTATTAAACCCCAGCTCTTGCTTACTTTAAAACTCTGTGTAAAAACGCGCTAAATTCTTGGCTTAGAGAAGGTGGGAAGTAGAGGGCAGTGAATGTGTGCATGCTAACCAACAGATGTCTCAGAAATTATATGTGTGAGTGCTGGGAAAAAGGACAGATAATCCAAGATTTTAGTAATTACGCTAAAACACAATCATTAAAATGGAAATGAAGATGCCAGATGTAATGTCCTAATTCAAATGTATATACTGAAAGCCCTTGGATTCCATTAAGTAATGACATCCAGCTTCCGTTCACGCTACATTTTCCTACGTTATCTGCACAGTCGTTCCTTCCTATTGGCAAAGCTTCTTTGAATTGATTCTGCCCGCTCATACAGAACGACTGTGGTACTGCTTACACTAGTTAGCATCGGTCCCATTGTTTGTAGTCATACTGTCTTTTCCATATTAGTTATCTCAGGAGCACTGTTACAGTCCATTCGCTAGCCTCGGTAGCAGGTATCGAGTGCTCTGCTAGAGCCATTTTGGTTTTACTTTGTCCATAACCCGAGGCTCTTGGCCAGTCTTTCAGTCTGGTGTGGACGAATTGTTCCTCTCTGACAGACCGTACTATAGATGGCTCTTACACTATAACAAACCCCCTCAGTATATTGGGGAAATGAGTTAATTTCATCTCTGTCACAAAACATGGCAACAAAATAAAATGAGCCCTTTTTATCTGGAAAATGAAGAGGAAGTATATGGCCCTTTCCATTATTCATAAATAGGATTGGCAGAATAGTTTTTTTTCATGATTTCAACTGATAGTATCAATGTTTATATTTAAGCATTTTTTTTATTTTTTATCAATTTACATTTTCATTGTGTGAAATTATGGGAGGTGTCAGACAGTAGTGTGGGGCCAGACAGCAATTGTTTAATGTCTGAGGATGTTGAGATTCAAAACATTAAAGCTTTATAACTGTTAAAACACAAATTGTCAACATCACAAGTCAAAATATACAAAATAAATATCCTTAAACCAAACGCTAATAACTTCTCAAGCAGCATTTTTCTTTCTTTGCCTATCTGTAAAATATTATTATTATCGATGGAAATATTGTTCATTGGTTTGCTTGTGTTGGGTGAAATTGACGTTTACTGACATTTAGCAATAAAAATGTAATCTTTCCAATCCTTTTCATAAAGGAGCTTTGCATAAGTTAAATTGTGGTCTCTTGGAAAGATGGCTCTTGTATATTTCCTAAAAGACTTCATTCAGTCTCTTGTTGATCCAGCTGTTGCAGTGAGCCATATCATCTGATTGTCTGCCACTCAGGCTCCTTACCGCTGTGTTTTATTGATATAAATGATGCCTCTTTGATCTGCAGTAACTTTAAGTTGCATAAAATAGGAGAGGTCTTTGAAGCAGAGTCAGAAAATTGAATGAAGAGTGGAAATTAAAAGTTGGGTATTTGTGGGAGATGGATAGCCTTGCTTAACAGCCCTGGATGCAATACTTGCCTTTTGTTAATATGTTCCCTTGGTACTGGTAACAGTTTGGAGGATGTGCTTGTTGTCTCAGGCCAAATTGGTAATAGCAAAATCACAATGTAGAAGTAAACTCTAATTCGGGGGAGGGTTTAAACTGTACTCAGACCTCGCAATTCTCTTGTGTTTTTCTCTGAGGACCTTTTTTCATCCCAAATTCCCTATTATCCTCATTTTACAGATGGGGAAGCTTACACATGGAACCGTAAAGTGACTTGTCCATGGTCAACAGTCAGCAGCAGAACTGGGAGTGGACTGCAGGAGTTCAGACTCCTAATTCTCTGCACTCTGGAGTTATTTAGACTGTGTTCCGTAATGACGTACAATAGACAGTTGGGGGAAAGAGTTGAAAGAGGAGAAAACATTAGTTTAGTTAAAAATAGGAAAATTATAATGTGTGGTTGACTTACTAAGAGGCTAGATAAGGAAGGGAATGGCTGTGAGAGAGGCCGTTGAAATGTTCTCAGTCTCTGATTGAACACAGAAGTCATTTGTTAACTAATTGGACAGTCGCTCTGTTATCTGACATCTTGAGACATTCACTGAAAATGTGGGCTATTAATCTAGTCTGCTGTGCTAATTGAATGTGCTTTGGAGTGAACCCCAAAGAGTTTAATTACATTAATGGTGCACAATGTTGTACAAGTTTAGGATTTTTGCCATTCCCACTCAGTTGGTACCCTTTGTACATGGGTTATATTTCTTTTGTTTTTCTTACATCATCACTGATTTGTTTATCTTAAGACTATATATTGCAGATGATGTGTATGCCAGTGCTGATAACTTGAGAATTTTCTGGATAAGTTCGTATTTTTCTGAGAAGTTTTGCATCACTTAAATTTTCTCTGTAAAGTACTCATCTAGTAATATCTTATCCAATGCCCATTTAAGTCTATGGAAGGGCTCCCATATATTGGCCAGCCCTTACAGCTTGATATGTACAAGTGTTGGCATCTCCTCTAAGCTTGTGTTTTAATAGATTGCAGCTGGAGGATCAGACATAACCATGTCATTTTGCTTTGTGAATAGCCTAAATAAGGGAAACTGGGGGGAAATAAACACACAACTTCAGGGTTACATTTTATCAGAAATGTTCAAGCAACTAGAACTGTTCGGACAAGGTTATGGTATCTGTTGTGGCTATCAAGGAAATAAAGTGCCCACACAAGGGAAATCAGACGTCCTTTATCTGCAGCCAGGAAATTGCAAGTGTGTTATAAAATGCTTGGGACGCGTCGCTCTTGTGTGTAAAAACAACTGCCCAGATATACTTAGATTCTGCAGTGTTTTTATGTTATACTTGGATTGTAGTTGTGGTTTTACTTTAAATAGGAAAAGCAAACCCTGAACTATGAAGAGAGATCTTTAGCCACAGACAGAGCCCTCCAATGGCTCCACATTGGTTGAATTCTAGAAGTATTATTATAATTTGACTGTAACAGAGTTAGCTGGGATGACAAGTTTGAAAGACAAGTGAGTAAACGTCCACCGCCTGCTGATAATCACAAGGGATGATCTGTCCTAAAACAGTGGAAAATATTACAATTAAATCAACTCAGAGATACTAGTCTTTTCTTAACTCAAAAATACGGCAATATTATTTGTTTTAGTCAAAACGTTGCACTCCCTGGAGAGTTAATAAAACCACACTAACTATTATTAGTATGTAGGCTGAAGAGGTATTTGGTGCTTATCCATAAAGAGACTGTTCCTGCATTTCTTTCATAGACCGAATTCACATTGACTTTAGTGGGTGTCTTGCCTGCATAAGGACAAATAGGCTTGTGCTCATTCCATAAATGAAGGTGAGAACTGGAATGAGACAAGCCAGGGCTTTGTGACAATTTGTTCTCTATACATTTCTCAAGATGAAAATCAATTCTGATTCTCCCTTACTGTTCGTCGTTTTTATGAGAAAAAGAGAGCTCTTTGGGAGACTACATGGTAGCACTAGCTTTTCTTCATGTTATTGGACCAGTCTGTTGCATTCCAATCTACGGATATGTCTATACTGAGGCTGGGAGAGTGCTTCCCAGCTTGACTAGACAGGATCAAGCTCCCATGCAGGGCCGGCTCTAGCATTTTTGCCGCCCCAAGCACCAAAACAAAACAAAAACAAAAAAACGCCACCAAATGGCCGGACGTGCCTCCCCCCCTCTTCATTGGCCGCCCCAGGCACCTGCTTGCTACGCTGGTGCCTGGAGCCGGCCCTGCTCCCGTGCTCTAAAAATAGCAGTGTAGCTGGGGTTAACATGGTGGTGGCTCGGGTTAGCCACCCAGGGATGGTGTCTTTAGCCTCTGTTTGCCAGAAGCTGGGAATGGGCAGCAGGGGTTGGATCGCTTGATGGTTACCTGTTCTGTTAATTCCTTCTGGGGCACCAGCATTGGCCACTGTCGTCAGACAGGATACTGGGCTAGATGGACCTTTAGTCTGACCCAGAAGGGCCGTTCTTAAGTACATACCCCCTAGGGGTCCAGGCGGGTTCGTACTCACAGGGCTAGCCCAAGCAGCCCACCCATGCTACCCCGGCTACACTGTTATTTTAGTGCATTAGCTCAAGCCAGGCTAGTGCATGTAAGTCTACTTGAGTTGGGAAACATGCTGCCGACTGCAGTGTAGATGTACCTTAAAAGTGTCAAAAATGAAAGAAAACAATTCAGTAAAGGTTACATCCATCTAGTTCAGCAAACCTGACCCTGACCCATATTACCATGTGATAGTGGTTTGCTCAGCAGTGTCTGTTGCAACGTTCTAGGTTGTTCCAGATCTGTTCTGTAAAAATAGCATCATGGAGTTCCATGGTTATTTGCTCTGATTGACTCTAGATCACATTTGCCCAGCTTAAAAGTAAAATGCTTTTTGTTCTGACAGCCCCAGAAAGTTCTCCTGGGATCTGGCAGTGGAACTGGGAATCCCTTCGTGCATAGGGAGGATGGTCTTGTGGTTAAGGCACTGGACAGACACTCAAAGTCAGAGTTCAATTCCCAGTTGAGCCACAGACTTCCTTTGTGACTTCGGAAAGGTTACATGGTCCCTCTGTGCCACAGTTCTCAAGCTGCCACGATATCATTTTTCTACCGCAGAGGGGTGTTGAGGATAAATTCAGTGATGTTTGTGATATGCTCAGATATTGTGGCAGTGGGGGCCAGGTAAGAACTTAGACCATGGTCAGCAAGAAAGATTCTTTCCGGAGGCCAAATTGTACACTGCCTCCAGATCTTGTCCTGTGCCTGAGAGAGCCATGCCCAGCTTAATTGTCCTGTCCCAGGTTGAGTCTTCAGCCTGGCAGGTAGAAAAAAACATTTATTTACTGGTTAAATGAAAACTTTTGGTCTGGAATGACAGATACACAATAAACAGGGAGTACCGCGATGTCATTTTCAAAAGAATAGTGCTGTAGGAAGAGGTGCTTTAGATCTCCAGCCAAACTGTTCATCCAGTTCTAGTACAGAAGAGGAGGACTGCTCTCTCGTTGTTGGGATGGGGGTTATACATGTAATTCCTATAATCTAAGGGAAGGGGAGTGAGACAGGGAGGTGAAGAGGAATTAAAGGAGACTGGCTTACTATCCCATGTGATTTTCTTGGTCCTAATGATTAAAATAAGGTCTGTGATCAGAGCTGTCTGAGCCTTTACACAGAGAGTTTCTGAGAGAAGCAGAGCAATTGAGGCATTACTATATCCAGGCTGCATTCAGTAGTGTGAGCAGAGATTGTCATACTAACGAGCCTCCCGAGTTCTGGAATAGGGGCAGGCAGAGGAAGCAGGCTTCCAACATTGAGATGGAGCTGGAAGGGTCACTGTGATCAGACCAAGCACCCACCCTTTCTCAAGGCGGTTAAGTAATCCGTTTTCAGAGTGCCTCCACCGTCCTAAAAGGTGCCAGTTCCAACCCATAGTAGATCTCAACCACAGCTGTGGCAGAACAGAGCACAATACAGTTGAAACTAGTGAAAGAATTTCTTGGCTATAAACTCTCAGCCACAAAAAAAGGGGGATATGTGACTGGCAGTTTAAGCCTTGTTTATAGCTGCTGAATGTCCAGCTGTTCTTGGGAAAGGCATTGGAGGTGACACCCATAGCTAAAGAGTTCCCCAGCAAGTCCATGACAAATAATCTGATTGGTGAAACAAAATCAAATTGGCCAGGGGTGGGGGGAAATTTGAACAGAATTGAGATGCTAATCACTGCTGCCCTGCCCCAAAAGGTCACAATGCGGTGGCTAGGACATGCATGTGTTGCATGAAATTACCTCTTGAAAAAGGGCATTGGATGCCTGGCAAGCGCGCACACAACATTGATACACGGCATTGTATTTTGCAAACATAGCCTGAGCATACGGTGAGCTCAGACAGATCTGACACAAGAACCAATGACACAATATACCGCCGCCTTGTCTTGAGTCATTCTATCAGAGGCAATAAGTGACTTCGTGGTGCTTGGCAAACTGACTGTAGCACCATTATCTGACAGAGAATTCACCAGAATGAATAGCAACAACACTGCCTATGGCTGGAGAGAATGACTTATATGGAAAGAGAGAATCAAATATATGTATAAAAACAATCACAGGGGGTGGGGGGGAAACGTATCGGGTAACATGTTACAAATAATTAAAGGGTGCAAGCGACTGAAGGGAGAGGAATGATTTAGGCTGCTACAAAAGGATAGATAACTAAGCAAAAGTAACATTAGACTGAAGATCTGGAAAATCATTGTGGTAGTTAGATTTCTAAGAGTGTAGAATGGCTTTCTTAAGGAAGCTGTGAATATCACTTGAGACAAACAACTAGAAACTGTATTCTGTGGGGAGCAATTCTGCCTTCGTCAGGGGCAGAGGGAGTGGAGGATGGCTTTACTAGGTCTGTCCCATCTCTATTCTCTGTAGGGCTGAGAGAGCCAGTCTTTACCCACGGCCTTGACTGTTTTTTCCCCCTTAATTAATTGTTAATTGGCTTCAATAATCCTGGGGCAGTTCCGTGACCTCTCTGTGGCTCATTATGTCAGAAGCACAATTGTGGCCAGTGATCTTAGGTCAGAGGCCTCATTGGAATGGTGGAGTGTCTGCAGCGCTTTCCTGTGTAGGCTCATTCCCACTCAGAATGTGGGGACTCGATACAATAATCGAAGCGCCAGTACCTCTGGACTTCCAATCTCACCTCTGTTGTTTTGGGCAAGTCCCTTAACCCATCTCTGCCTCCGTTTCCCAATATGTAAAGTGGGGATAATGTTATTTATTTGAAGGGTTTGTGAGAATGAATTTGTTAATGTTTGTAAAAGACTTGAAAGTTGGAACGTGCTGTTTGTATGTCCTGTGCATCCATCAGAGATAATCACCAGTTTAAGGGCATGATCTACCATGAGATTTTAAGTAGTCCTCATTGAAAATCCCAAACAATGACATCTGCTTTAAAGTTTAATGTCCTGGTAATGGTGGCCATCATGTTTAACTTTGGAAGAAAGTTTCTGGAGCACAGTCATAAATATTGTTCATGTTTGTGGATGTTTGGAAGGATCTCCCTTTCAGAAAAGTGGTGCATTGGAGTAAAATGCTAAATGATGTCATTATCCACTAGATGTTTCTAATGCATCAGTAAAAAGAGCCTGTATGTTGTGAAATAAAGTATTATTTCCCCTTCTCTCTCTCCTCCTGTGCCACTAGTTTGGAAGCTCATATTCATTATTCTATTTTGCTCACAAGTAGAGCTGCATGCAGTATTCATGGGAAAACCTGATAGCACCGTTTGAAACTCTCCTGGATAGGAAGCCAGGCAAAGCTTTGACCAGGGATATACCTGACCTACACAATTTGGATCCAGACTTCAAACCTCCCAAAATTCAGAGTGTGAGTTGTAGCTGGGTCTGGCTTTTTAGTTAGGCTCATTATATATAGAGAGAGGAGCCAGTCATGAAATCCAGCTCTGGGTTTGGATTATAAGAAACCATCCCCAATTTAAATCAGTGGCAAAACTTGCATTGTCTTTAGTGGTCCAGACTCTGGCCCATTGAACGTCTGTGCAGTGTCAGCTTTGGGCCACTGTGGTCAGGGGTTAGTGAACTGACCAGTCTGTATAGTTTTCAAATGGCTGGTACCATCCCTCCTAGCAGAGACCCCTTTATGGCAGATTGGTTAGCTCTGTGTAATTAATGCCACTAAAATCAACTCAGTGGTGATTTAGAAACTTCTACTAAATGAATAAAGTTTCTGCAGTGTGTTAGCTTTGCTGGTCACTGGCATGTTGTTGCTTTGCAGGCCTTCGGAAGGTAATGGTGAGAGCCCACCGGCAGGCGTGGTGCTGGCAGGATGAATGGTATGGGCTCACCATCGAGGACATCCGGCAGCTCGAGAAGGAGGCACAGCTGATGCTGGCTCAGAAGATGGCCCAGTTCAGCTACAGTGAAAGTGAGGCAGAGCAGCACGGAACCAAAGACTCCCCAGGCGAGAATGATGCTGAAAGCAACGCCATGTCCTCCGTCGACGCGGCAGACGCTGCTAGTAATATTGGTGAAGCCGTGTCTGGGAGAGGGATAACCAAGCAATGGTCCACGTCTTCCAAATCCTCGCGATCTTCAAAAAGAGGAGGTGAGATGTTTGTAATGGGATTAATTGCATTGGGAAAAAAACATACAACTCTTGCCTTGGTTCAAGCATAAAGTGTGCTGATGTAACATGCTGGGTAAATGTGATCATGTCTCACTTCAGTGACTAGCCCATACGATGGGTCAGAGCTTATTTATTGCTACCAGCTAACTGACTCACTTCTTTAGCCTGTGCATTTGGTGTGAAAGTCCCCTCTGGTGGAGCTGTGTTGAGGGTTATGCCCATGCTGCAACAGCGGCTCCTGAAATGACATTGCCATGAATTCCATCGAAGTTAAATAAATTACAAAAAGGGGAAATGAGGAAAGGCAGTGAGAGCTGGTGGCAGTGATTGTTGTCAAAAGAAAACAAGCAGGGCACCATGGTGGGGTGGCGGGATTAGTCCTGTTGTTAGTAACATGGACATTTTTATAAGGTTTAATTCCTCAGGCAATGTTCTCTCTCTGGACATGTGCCTGTCTGATGTGAAATACTAGATGCAGAGAGAGAGAGAGTCACTGAATAGGCCTTGATCTGATTAATTGTTAGAGTCCATGTCTCCTGCTTTGGATTTCTCTGAAATACAGTTAAAGTGACAGGCATAATCCTCCCTGGTCAGCGATAAATGTTACTGCTTGTCGTTCATTTCTAAGGAGGGGGTTGGCTCCCAGGCTGCTGCAATGTAGTTTGCACAGCTAAGCACCATAATTGGCCTTTTGGGAAAATAATGCAGGTCACCACTGTCAGTGAAGAGAGAGGTGAATGACAGCTGTTGCATTTTGCTGCTGTTAATGTCCTCTAACCATCATCCATGGCTAAGGAGATCAGATGCCACCATGGATCATGTTTGTATTTCCTTTTAAATGCCATGCAGGAAAAAATGTCCAAGAGGCTCCAATGAACCTCATTGAAGGACTCACTTCAGACCCACGAATCTCCCCTGTGCAGTAGGAAGTCACATTCTCTCAAGTATCCTTTACTGTACACTCCTCATTTTCTTGACCCACTCTTTGGAAAAGATGACTCGTGACATCTTTAGTCAGTGTTTCCGTCAGGCACAAGTCACATCAAAGACAGTGGCAGGGTTTACAGTAGCAAAAAAGTTGTGTGTGTTTTGCAGTAGGGTAGCTATCTCACTGTAAAATCCTAGGGTGAAAACATGGCCTATTGAAGTCCTTGGGGCCAGAATTCATCCCTTTGATGTAGTTGGGCGAAGTGAACCACATTGGACAACCTACAGTTCTTCTTCAAGGAGTGTCCCTGTGGGTGCTCCACTTTAGGTGTCTTGATGCCCTGCGTTTCTAATCAGAGATTTGTAGTAGCAGTGCCCTGGTTGGCCCCACACATGCGGCAGCCATCTCGCACCGCTCTTAGGAGTTACCCTGAGTGTGCAGCCAACCGTCCCCCAGTTCCTTCTCTTCCGCCTTTGGCTTCGGTCGGAACGACAGCAGTGCCTCACAGCTTTCGATATTTCTATTATTTCAGTTCTTTCCCCAGCTAGTACCCTTTCTTTATTAATTTCGCCTTAAATTTTTCTTTACCATTAAAAAAACAAAAAAACATTTCCTCTCCTAGTCCTCACCTTTCCCCCACCTCAGGCGGGTAATTACCCAACAACAAAAGAGGCATAAGAATGGAACTGTTCCCATTCTTGCTTTCAACATAGCCTCTCAGACATCCCTGGCTCTCCAGGTTTCAAATGCTGTCTGACTTGCAGCCCGAAGTGCCTGCCATCACTTTCTCCCCCTAATCTGCAACAGGACTGTCCAGATTCTTACAGACAACTTGGCGACTATGTTTTGTATAAATTGCCAAGGAGGGGCCCGATCTTATCCACTCTGTGCAGAAGCAGTCTGCCTCTGGCAGTAGAGCATCTCCAACAACATAGACAGCATGGCATTCTACCTACCAGGATGCCAGAATGCTACAGCAGACCAACTAATCAGGAACTTTTCACAAACGCACGAGTGGAAGATTGATTCCGGAATCCTAAAAACTCTATTCAAACAATGGGAATTCCCCTCAATAGATCTTTTTGCAATGGCTCACAATGCCAAGTGCCCACAGTACTGCTCCCGGGCCGGGCTGGGACACGACTCTCTGGGCGATGCCTTTCCTCTGAAATGGGAAGCCTCACTGTTGTATGCCTTCCCCGCAATCCCCCTTTTGAGCCGTGTCCTTCACAAGATCAAGCAAGACAAATCCAGAGTCATCCTCAATGCACCAGCATGGCCCAGACAAACGTCGTTCCCATACCTGAAACAGATGGCTGGGACACCACCATGAATCCTTTTCCTCATGCCTCATTTGCTGACACAGGATGCCTTCATCACCCCCAACATTTCAATATTCCATCTCAAGGCCTGGCTGATCTATGGATGACAGGACTTGAGACAGACTGTTCCAAGGAAGTACAAGACATACTACTACATACTACTGAACAGCCGGCGGCTGACCACACGAAAGACATACACGCACAAGTGGAAACCGTTCTGTACCTGGTGCCGGGACAAGCAGATTATTCCACAATCAGCCCCCCTACCCATAATCCTCGATTACATACTGACACTAAAAAAAAGTTGGGCCTATCTACTAGCTCACTCAGAGTCCATCTAGCAGTCATCACCTCCTTCCACACTAAGGTGGATGGAGTCACCATCTTCACTCACCCATTAAGCGCTTCCACAAGGGCTTAGAGAACAGTTATGCCACATTACGGGACCCGACTCCTATGTGGGATCTCAATCTCATTCTCCATGCCCTCATGGGCAAACCTTTTGAACCACGAATGACCTGCTCGTTGTTGCACCTATCCATGCAGGTTGCCTTCCTAGTAGCTATCACGTCAGCAGGAAGGGTGGAAGAGCTGGTGCCCTAATGGCGCACCCACCTTATACCACATTCCTCAAAGACAAAGTAATCTTACGACCACATCCTAAGTTTCCTACCCCCTTCCATTTCAACCAGCCCATTTACTTACCTGTATTTTCCCCAAATCGCACGCTGACAACAGGGAGGCCTCCTTCCACATACTGGACGTCCACAGAGTGCTAGCGTTCTATATAGACAGAACAAAAACATTTAGAAAATCATCCAGACTATTTGTATCCACAACAGGACATTCCCAAGGTCAAACCATCTCCAAGCAAAGTTTCTCAGTGGATATCTACCTGTCTCCAATGATGTTACCAAAACTATGATCTGCAAGCTCCCTCTGGTCTTTGCACATGCGCCACTAGAGCGCTCTCCACGTTGATAGCCTTTCTCAATAATGTATCCATCATGGACACTTGTAAAGCAGCTACCTGGGCATCAGCCCATACCTTTACCAAACACTATGCATTACAGCAACAATCAGCCGCAGATGCTCAGTTTGGATTCTCGGTGCTCTCCACCGTTCACAGATCAATTCCGAAGCCCCTCCTCTTCATCGAGGGGCATTCCTCTACAGTCATCTAAAGTGGAGCACCCCACAAGGACACTCCTCGAAGAAGAGAAGGTTAGTCATCTTGTGCAGTAACTGAGGTTCTTTGAGATGGTTGTCCCTGTGGGTGCTCCACTACCCACCTCCCCACTTCGGAGTTTCATGTTGATCCTTTGGGTTAGAGAAGCAATTGGGGGACAATTGGCTGCGCACGCAGGGGTAACCGCTCAGAGTGGCGCGAGATGGTTGCTGCACACATGGCCAACCAGGGCACTGCTACTACAAATCTCCGATTAGAAGTGCAGGGCGCCAAAACACCTAAAGTGGAGCACCCACAGGGACAACCATCTCAAAGAATCTCCGTTACTGCACAAGGTGAGTAACCTTCTCTTCACTTGATACACACTTACCTGGAGATAAAACTACCACTTGCCTTGGCTGTGCTGGTATTTTACAGTGACAGAGTCATCTCTTGTTAGCTATCTCCTTGTAAAAAACACACCATTTTTGTCCCCTGGTGTAGACTTGGCCAATGGAAATTGCAGTTCTTCAGCACCTCTCAGGATTTCATTTAAAGGTTTTCACGGATAGCAAAGCATGATTTTTAAACTTCAGATTGGCATGGATTTTACTGGAAAAAGTGATGAAAGGAGTGAATTGCAATGAGCTGGGAAATACGTCATGCAGATATTTTAATCCTCTTTCATGCTAGGTTTAAGAAACGGCAGCATATTCACATACATAAATGCGAAGAGCTGTCTGGATTTACAGCTACCTTTGACAAGAAAGTAACTCCCTCTCTTTGTATGCAGACTTGATCCGTTTTACACTGCCTAAGCAAGACCCCTGGTGTGAGTGGGGCTCTTGTCACCATCCCATATATTATTACGTGCTCTATTTTTAGAAACTAGCATGCGAGTGCATTTGACGTCATTCCAGTGTGATTTAGCTCGGCTATGCCAATCACACTGCTCGCTATTCCCAGAGGGGTGGATGGTGGGATAGTCGGGGGCTACAGAACCAACTAAGCTGTAATTAACTGCCTCTGCTCAGGGTCACAGTGGTCTTTCCACATGACAATTAGGAGGTAAAATTAGAATCGTAAGAATCTGACTCACATATTTAACCCTGTTACAGCAATGGAATAAATAGTTTTCATACAGCCATTACAATAACATGAGCCATTCGATGTTCTTTGTATGCTAAATGAAAATTGTAACCCTGCTGTGTTACATTAGAATGTTGCTGCTACAGGTACTTTGTGTGTGCTCCCTGTTCTGTAACATTGACGGGTGCACCACAATCATGAGTGAAACTGAGAGAGAGAGAACCAATCTCTCTTGCTTCTTTGTGTATGATTTTCACTTTAGCTGACTTAGTATCCTGTGAAGAGCTCAGCTAAAAAGAGTTCACAGTAGCTAGTTTCTAAATTGTATTTTGAAAGCTAATGCCACAAAAGGTTTACTTAGCACAATGAACTTTGAAATGGAAAATGAAAGGGATCAAGTAGATGTAAGAAAAGGAGGGCAAACAGACACTGAAGGAATTGTCATGTACTCTTGTTCTCACTGTATTAGTGTAAATCTGTCCATAGTGCACACTGAGAGCTTCCATAAAAATAGTTTGATAGCATTTTATTTAAATCACCCCAGTTAAAGTTTAAATAGATCTTTGTTCCAATTGGTATGGAAGCAATTTCCTTCTAGAAAACAGATTATTTCTCTCCATACTGTTCCAGGTAGTTTCCCATCTGAAAGTTAGTGGAAGCTGTAGCATGGCTTGTGTGCTGTTACAGTCGAGAAGAAGGCTTACAAATCAGACTATTCCCTTTTTAATTGCAAACTTTAAAAACAAAATGATTTTACACATCCTACTAATGGTTATAAATAGCTGCCGTTCAAAATAGCATAAGAGTGATACAAACAGCTTGCTTTAATGTGGCAGCTTGCGGGCAGGTTATAACCACAGTAAGCAAACAGGACTTGTAAAGTGGTACATTGACATCACACCAGCATCACTGGAATATTGTGCCTTAATCTATCGCTGCAGTGATAGATTTTCACAAGGTGCACACGACTATGTTCCTGTAGCAAAGACCATGTCAGGAACACTCTGCCTTGTTTATGTAGCTTTCCGCATACGCCTTTTTTTTTGTTTTTTCCAGCAAGCCCCTCCCGCCATAGTATATCCGAGTGGAGGATGCAGAGCATTGCCAGAGATTCAGACGACAGCTCAGATGATGAATTCTTTGATGCACATGGTATGTGGAACCAAAATGGTGATCAGTTGTTTTATCTTCTTAAAGGGTGGAGTTGGGAGGGGAGCAGGCAGTGAGACCACCTGCCTTGCTTGAAACTGTATTGTTTTCTAATCAAGGGTTTTATGCAGCATTGATGTAATTCAGAGCAGCACCCAGCAGACTGTTTCATTCAGCTGGGCAATATTTCAAGTTTAATGTAATCTGTCTGATTATTTTTTAACATGAAATGATCTTGAGTTCTTTTAACATATGGAACTTTGGTATTTTTTTGGTGCGAATGCACCTGGGTAAAATTCTGCAATTCTCTACACAAGCTGTGGATATAACCCTTAATATTTCTTATTCAGCATGACTGAGATTGTTTGTTTACAAATAGCCAAGTGGTAAAGCTCATGACAAGTAGAGTCCTGCCTGAGTAAGAAGAGACCCTAGTCTGTCTTTAGTAATAGTCCTTATTAACAGCTTGTATGCCTGCACGAAGAAATGCAAAAGGGAGTGAAGGGAGATGTCAGAGTTCACCAGCATTGAAAGTTTTTTTTCTGTAAGAATTCCTGAAGTGTTTTAGTGTGCTATAGCTCTCTCCACATATTTTTGTTTGCTGTCAGGGCCGGCTCCAGGCACCAATGCAGCAAGCAGGTGCCTGAGGCAGCCAACAGGAAGGGGCGGCACGTCCGGGTCTTCGGTGGCAATTCAGTGGTGGATCCTTCAGTCCCTCTCGGAGGGAAGGACCTGCCGCCGAATTGCTGCTGAAGAATGAAGCGGCGGCGGCGGTAGAGCTGCCACCGAAGTGCCGCCCATCACGTCTTTTTTTTTTTTGTTTTTGAGTGGTTTGGGGCGTTGGGTGACCAGACAGCAAGTGTGAAAAATCGGGACAATGGGTGGGGGGTAATAGGAGCCTATATAAGAAAAAGACCTCAAAATCAGGACTGTCCCTATAAAATCGGGACATCTGGTCACCCTGTTGGGGCAGCAAAAACGCTGGAGCCGGCCCTGTTTGCTGTGTGTATCTAAAAGGAGGATGCTCTGCTCTACAGCAATGATTCTCAAAGTCGGGCCGCCGCTTGTTCAGAGAAAGCTCATGGTGGTCCGGGCCGGTTTGTTTACCTGCCAAGTCCACAGGTTCGGCCGATCGTGGCTCCCACTGGCTGCGGTTCGCCGCTCCAGGCCAATGGGGGCTGCGGGAAGCGGCATGGGCTGAGGGATGTGCTGGCTGCCCTTTAGCGGCAGCTTTCCTTGAACAAGCAGCGGCCCGACTTTGAGAAGCACTGCTCTACAGGACTCGTATTGTATATATTTGTTAAGCACTGACAGTGAGTTCAGCACTGGTACAAAGCACTAACTACCAAGACACCCTTCTCCAAACAGCCTCCCAATGATCATCTAACAAGCTGGCTAACCTGCATTGCTGGAGCTGGCAAATGGTGTTGCTGGTACCATTTTGTAAATAGTATTTCATTCATGATTGACCGTAGCAAGTAGTACAGCTGAAGTGATTTACTTCAGAAAAGTTTTGATATCAAATATTACGAACATGCCCCACATTCTCAGGCTTTCCTTCAAATGTTTTCTTGTGGGAAGTAGCACGCTGCTATAGAGTAAGACTGCAGGTTAAGAGGCTGCTTTGAGTACAGGTTGGCTCGGGGTTGAAACCCTAAGTGTCACTGGCCCATCAGCCAGGGCTAACTTATTTTATGTGTCTTTATTTATTAACTTATATAGCTCCTGTAACAATTGTACCTCAGGGCTTTACCATAGCAATGTAAACATATGAATATAAGTGAGTCATCTAAACCAGTGGTTCTCAAACTTTTTTACTGGTGACCCCTTTCACAAAGCAAGCCTCTGAGTGCGACCCCCCCTTATAAATTAAAAACACTTTTTTATATATTTAACACCATTATAAATGCTGGAGGCAAAGCGGGGCTCAGGGTGGAGGCTGACAGTTCACAACCCCCCATGTAATAGCCTCATGACCCCCTGAGGGGTCCCAACCCCCAGTTTGAGAACCTCTGATCTAAACAAACTCATAGCTATCCACCATGCATTTTACCTTTTAACCGCTGACTAATAGAATCTAACGATGGACAACATCTGCTTAAATCATCTAGCTCATCTGCTGCCAATGAAAAATTCCTCCCTATTCTGCTTTGACTGCATCCTATTCAGTCTAGGTTGAAATGTGCTTAATTTGATTGGTTTTTTTCTTCACAAATCGATGTTCTCGACAATGCATATTAAGACTACTAGTTTTTTGGGTAGTGACAATCTGCTACACCCTTTATTGCAGACCAGACGGCTCTCTCATTAGACGCCAACTGCACTGGATTTGTGAATATGGAATGAGTGTTTCTTACAGTGAATACTGTAAGAGGGGCTTGCTGGGCCAGTACCATGGAAACTAAGTGTTGATTGGGGTATGAGTCAATGATGAATTCAGTTCCTCATGAGTGCTTCCCGTATACATTCAGATTTCCTTGCTGAATAGTGAGTGTAATCTGAGCCTATAAAGATTTTTATCTTGTTAGACTTTCCACATGTTCTCAGTCACTGGCATGTTCTGGTAAGGAGAGTTAAAAATACAGTAATATCTATACTGTAATAAATGATAATAACAGGAGTAATATCATATTTGGTGATCACTAAAGCAGCAGTAAGACCTATAATTAAACCTCTCAAGGAAATGAGTTCAATATTTAGATTAAGTTGCTGGAGAAGCTTTGAATTTAATCTCCCCCTTTTTGTTCTCTCTCTGTTTGACACACACGATTTCTCTGGTATATTCCCGTTGGCAGAGGTATCATGTGATGTTACCTGTTTGTACATTCTCTCTGTGCAGTGAAATTAGATCAACTCAAGTTTTATTGGGGTTGGAAGAATTAAATAGCATGTCGACATGACCATTTCCAGGTCGCTATCTTTTATGGTTGAGGTGTTATTAAAAGCACTAAAAATAAACAGTCTTTCCGCAGCAGTGCATTCAACCCCCTTTATATAACTCTTAGCTGTTTATCAGATTTTCTGAAAAGAATAGTGTTTCAAAATCTTTTTGTTCCTGATCCAAAGAACCTTGCAACTAACGATCTTATTAGTAGCTGTAAAGCAACAAAAAAAGAGAGAACCCTAGCCTGTGAATCTGAAGATTATAGCTTTTACATCTTGGAGACAGCTGAAATTGCAGTCATTTTTATGTTTATAACTCAGTTAAATTTACCTCTTCAGGAAAACAAATCGCTAAGCATGGAACGATAAATACAATTAAAACACAATTAACCTTCAATGATAAATACGATTTCAAATCAGGATTACATAAAAGCTGAACAAAAGCAGTGTGTTATGTGCAGATCTGAGGTGGTTTCTCTTCAGTGTCAGAGGGAAGAGTGCCCAGAAGTCAAAGATGGTCTGCTAGAGAATTGGCCTCTGACTGTGGGCAGTCACAAGTTTTAGAATAATGATATTGATATAGTGCCTATCATCTGACAAGCTCGTTATGCTTAACAAATAATAATTTAATGAAGGTGGAAGTTGTATGAGGCATAATGTTGCACACGCTCTGGTAACACAGATTCTAATGCTCTTCCAAGACAGATTTTCTTTGCTGCTATGTCTCTTGAGTCTGGACAAGAAATACTAATGAAGTCACTTAATAACTGTGTTTAATTAAATCTATCCCTGCAGATAGCTGTGCTTGACTGAATAATGGTGATAGCTCATAGGAAGATAATTGGTACGCCGCAAATCCAATGGTCTTTCATACATTTCCATTTGAGAATTAAAAATATTTTTAATAGAGCAGATTTTGCTGGTGGGTTTTTACTAAGTCCCACTCATCAGTGTAGGAAAAACAAATATTTAATATGCTCCAGCTTCCAAGTCTCAAAACTGAAAAAAGAAAAAAATCACTTAACAACTTAACAACTTCCTGGCTAACAATCAGGCCGGTGTGTCAATAGGGGTGTTATACAGTTAAGTCTGTTTGTTTGCCATACTTGGCATTTTTCAAATGTGATTTGAAAGAATTTTTCACTTACTAAGACATGAGCTCAGAGTTCTGAGCAAACTATGATGTCATCATTACATACATCAAACATTTATAGGAGCCTATCACCATACTATTAGAGCGCACTTTACCCAGCTTAAAATTGCATCCAAGACCTTGTCCAGGAATGAGGAGCCATTGCACCATTCCCTCCTTTAGCTCATGTGCTTAGAATCTAGAGAACAGAGTGACACCATTGGGCAGGTCTACACATTAAACTTTTGCCAGTACAGTAATGTTGGCAAGGGGTGCAATTTTTTAACAACATGTTTGTATCGGTAAAGTCCTAGTATAGATGTAGTTATACCAGCAAAAAAATGCTTTACCTATATAGCTTATTTCATTCAGGGGTATAAGCTATACCAGCAAAAGCACTCTTTTGCCAGTATAAGCTGCGTATACTCTAGGTGAGTTTGCCAATATAGCTATCCTGGCAAATTTCTTCTAGTATAGACTAGGCCTAGTGGCTGGGATTTCTAGCCCATGGTCAGTATAAAGTGGAAAGCCTGTGCAAAGTGGGTGTCTTGCTACTCTTCCTAAATGTGACCAGGTTCAGGCTTAGATTTATTCAAATTTATTAATGCCCAAAATAGCCTTGGGAATTAGGTTCACTTTATTCCTTTCAGGTAGTTGTGGTGTTAACAGTAATGATACTTAGCACCCTTTAATCCAGAGATCTCAGAGCTAGACAAACAAGGCAGCTAAGCTTCCTAACTCCTCTGGGAGATATGTACGGCAAATGTAGGGATTGCTTCATCCACTCCTGAAATGCAGCAACTCCTGAAGTGGATCATGGTGCTTGTTTATTATTTATTATTTGTATTACTGTAGCACTTAGGAGCCCTACTCATGGGTCAGGACTCCCATTGTATTACATTCCGTACAAACGGAACAAAAAAGATGGTCCCTGCGCCAAAGTGCTAACCATATTAGTATAAGACAAGAGACAACAGATGGATACAGACAGACAGGGAGCACAAGGAAACAATGGGTATGACTACCCCATGGCAAAAAAAAAAAAAAGCTACTTCAGCGAGTCTCCGAGCCTGGGTCACCTGACTTGGGCTTGCAGGGCTAAAAATAACAGTAGACATTCCGGCTCAGGCTGGTGCCCAGGCTCTGAAACCCAGTGAGGGGGAGGGTCTCAGAGCCTGGGCTCCCACCTGAGCGTCTACACTGCTGTCTTTAGCCCCACAGTGTGAGCCCCGTGAGACCAAGTCAGCTGACCTGGGCTCTGAGACTTGCTGGCATGAGCTTTATTTGGTCTGTGTAAACATACCCAATGAGTCTGTGTCAGTCAGCATGATGGGCAGTGGTCTCAGCCACCAGCCCTCATCAGGTTGTTTTTGTAGGCATCATGGCAAAGGAGAGTTTCAGTGGATGATAGTCAGTTAGTTTTGTGGATGTTTATGGGGAGCTCCTCCTGAGCTTAAGCAGAGGCGTGGGAGAAAGCACGAAGGCGCTTGTTAGAAAATGTAACTAATGGGCAATGGAAGCTGGTATCATGGGCTGATCGGAGATGAGAGTCAACATCCTGATAGTGAGAGAGGGCCATCAAGGGCCTTGAAAGTGAAGACCAGAGCTGAGGTTTGATGCAGCAGACAAGCGGGAGCCAGTGGAGGGATGCAAAGAGAAGGTTGACATGGTCAAAACAATGGGCTAAGAAAACTGTTTGCAGCAGCATTCTCAGTGGATAAGAGGGGGGCAAGATTGCGTTTGTCAAGGCCAGAGAGAAGGATGTTGCAGTATTCAAGACGCGAGATGGTGAGGGCGTGTATGAGAGAGTTAGCTGTGTGGATGGATAAGAAAGTCTGTGTCTTAGAGATGTTATGCAAGAAAAATTGGCAAGATTTAGACACACCCTGGATATGAGGAGCTAGAGAGAGGTCCAAGTTGAAGATGTGCCCATTGTACAAGCATGAGTGACAGTCAGTATGATGGTGTTGTCCATAGTGATCGAGAAGGGAGATAGCAAGGATGGCTGGGGAGAGGGAGATCAGGAGCTCTGTTTTAGGCACGTTGAACTTGAGCTGGTGGCTAGACATCCACAAGGCGATGTCAGAGAGACAAGCCAAGGTTTTAGTTTGGACAGAAGGAGACAGATCTGAAGTAGTAGGGGTAAATCAGTGAGGCTGTTTAAAATCATACAGCAGTGTTTACAATATAGTTTAGGACAGAAAATGCATCAAGGAAAATACCAAAACTTGGATTCTAACAGCTAACAAGAATTTAAAGCTATTTATGCACATTTCAGAGCTATACACAGATTACTTGTATACTCTGTTGATGAACTTAAACAGTTCTTCTTTTGTATTTAAAATGCATTTTGCTCTCACTGTCCTGAGAGCTGGTGTCTGTATAAGATTCCAGGATTGTCACTCTCTGTGTGTTGCTCTGAAGCCTAGAAGGTCTATTGAGTCAGCGTAAACCGATGGAGACAGCTACAAGAAGGATTGAGAACTCTTTTTGTTTAGAATATCACCAGGTTCAATCATCACTGGGATTTGTGATCTGTTACCATCCAATGTCTAAGTCTTCAGCCATTTTGACTTTACAAATTGTAGCTGTGAGTCGTAGTACATGTATCTATGCCATGCCAAGAGTCCTAGACCATTGTGATACCAGAGGTAACTCAACCAGTGACCAGCCTTACTCTGTAGTTAATTTGCATGCGCCAATTTTATTGGTTGCATGAGGGAGACTGCACAGATGGTGGCCTTTGTGGCCCAACTGCCACACCCAAGTGACGGCACGAGATTTCAGCTACTAGTTGATTATACAAACACCACGTTTAAACATTATCTTGCCTCAAATTGCAATGAGGTTACACAGAATTAATAAAGGTATACTTTTATTTATAGACATGCTGTCTGTAGTGTGTGTATGTGTGTGCATACACACATCTGCACACACATGTATACAAGTGTATCATAAAAATATTTTTTCTGTCTTTAAAGAGGGCTTGTCCGATAACGAAGAGGTGTTCCCAAAAGAAATCACCAAATGGAGTTCCAACGATCTCATGGATAAAATTGGAAGCTCTGAATGCGATGTCCAGGGTAATTTATTTCTTTTTACTTCACACTGTACATAGCATGTTTTACGGTCACTTAATTTAATCGTCCTGACCAGCCTCTAAAGAAGATAAAATTTGTTACCCCCATTTTACAGCTGCAGAAACTGAGGCAGAGAGAAGTGACTTGCCCAAGGCCCCGGAGAGAGTCAGTGTCCAAGCAGGGGTTAGGAATAGGGAGATCTTGTCTCTCAAACTCTCTCTCTCTTACGTTCCATTTCAGTTTGATTTCTTACTATAACAAAAGCAATTATCTGATAAAATGATTAAACGCTCTGGTGCAGTCTTAAATCACCCATACATTCCTCAGACTTTTTAACCCCTTCTTCTTCCTTGCTCCCTCCCCATACAACAGGGGTTTCTGTTAGGAGAAGGTTTAGCCTTCTCACCTGTATCCTCCTCATCTGATAACATCTTCCTCTCTAAGCCTTTTTGAAGTGGTGGAAGGAAATAGACTCATCAAGTTAGACTGATTCAAGTAAATCCACGCATGCAAGAGCAGGTCAAACCCCATTCCCTTGTTAGAGTTCAAACAGCCTCTTCCATGCTCCTGTGCAGCTGATTGTTTCTAACAGCTGTGCAAGGGTCTCTCCCACTGCCGCCCTTTAGTTGCTGGAAAAGAACAGTTATCTCCTTGCTGAAGAGACATATGGCCAAATTCAGACTGTTGTTAGCGATTTGCAATTCCATTTCCTTCAGTGGGCTCCTGTCTGCTCATACCAAATCTGAATTGGGCCCCTTTTTTAAAAATATGGGCCGTGTCCTCAGTTCTACAGCTGGATATCCTTTAGAAAAACCTTCATGTTAAAAAAGAGAGAACTACTAGGACATTTAATGATGGCGTAGTTCATGAGTTCTCAACTTGGGAGGTGACCAAAAAGTGTTGGGATCACACATACCCCATCGTTCCCATACTGCTAAATGGGAGAGGGAATCTGGCTAGGTGGGAGGTGGATCCTGATGTGGAAAAAACTGAGAACCACTGCCACAGCCAATGCCATCATTTATATAGCTGCTGTATAAAATGGAGTCTGGCTGTATTACATTAGAAACCTCTTTAATTCCAGATGACTTGTATCATGAAACATCAACAGAGTACCATGCTGGTTCCAGTGTGGAAAGGCTAAGCATCATAGAGGTAAGCCCTTAGATTGCATCGAATTAAAATCCCCTGTTTGTTTAGAGAATGTAGCTGGTGAAGTGATGGAGTAAATAGTGCCCTTCATTGCTGCAGATGTTTTTTATGTGACCCCTGTGGCATCTCTGTGTCATGGAGCTAGTTCATGACCATGCTTACACAGTTACTTCACTAAGGTACCTACCTATGGAATATTGTTAACCACACATAAAAAACGACAAAGCTTGTGAATGTCAATCATAAAGTCCCTCAGCTGAAAGAGCAAATGATGTACCCTTGAACTAGCCTAGCAGCAAACATATTCAGAAGTAGCTGTCAATGCACTGTTCAGAACCATTTTCCAACTCGGTTATAGAGATAGGTCCAAATCTGAGCCCCACATATAAACAGCCATGATGTTCAGGGACGTTGTGAGCTCTTTGTGGTTCAGGCTCAACTTTCGTTGTAGCACAAAGTGGGGCAGGGATTTTTATTCCTCCCTCTAGAGAGACATGCAAGCTCAAATCACGTTATGGACAAATCCTCCCCACCCGCCACCAAACACCCTCTAGTTTTGTTCCAAAATTAACATGCGCAGAAATGAGGTGGAAAACAAATAGAATGAGGGTGTAATAGAGTAATTCTAAAATCTCTGAATTGTTCCTTATGGGGAGGAGCCGTGTTTTTATTTTACAAGTTTAACAAGTCTTAATTATCCAAGAATAGTTGTATTTCAAGAAACGTGTCTTGAAGTCATTTTCTAGGGCTTGATTGGATTAAAGAATCCAAATAGCCCTCTCCACCCCTTACCTTACCTTTACGAGCAGAAGTCATTGAACTTGACAGGAAAGGAGCCTACAGGCATCTTGCTGATAAGCCTCTGGGTGATTCATGGCATCTCAGAACTACACGGGGAAGAACTACACACACAAAACATTTATTACTGAAAGTAAAAGCAATACTGACCTGGTATAACAGCGCCTCTCATGCTTTTAGTCATGCACTTCCAGACAAGAATCCACTTTGCAGACACAGTAGGCCAAAGTGAATGAGGTGTAAGTGGTGGTGTAAGTTACAGAGACTAATAATAATAATTAATAATACTTAGCTCTTATACAGCATTCCATCCATAGACAAATTCTAACTAGAAATTCCATTGTTTGAAGTCTTTAAATATAGTCTGGATGTCTTTCTAAAAGATTGCATAGCTCAACCAGAAGTTATGGGCTTGGCACAGGATCTGTTGTATGAAATTCTCTGGCCTGTGTTATACAGGAGGTCAGGCTAGATGATCAGAATGGTTCCTTCTGTCACTAAACTCTATGAATCTCAAACTCACTGTTGAGTTGGGTGAATATCACTACCCCCATGTTACAGATAGACACATCATCCATAGACCTTGGTGCCTCTGATACTGGGTAGATGTGGGGAAGAGTTTACACTGTTATTACTTGTGCTAGGAAAAATTAGGACTTGAGTTACTCTACAGAACTGTCAATCTGGCACCTTTTCATGAGCACAAAATTCACGATAAAAAATGACATTGCATTCTAAGAAAAAAAATGTTTGGGTTAACATAAGAAGGTTTGGAATGTAGCCTCCATTACCATACAGGGATAAAGTGTTAGGAGAAAGGATTAGAGCAGGACTCCCACAGTGTTTTTGCTAAAATTATATGATGACGCCTTAAATATATGTTGAATGTTTTGACCTGGTCAAATGCAGTGAAGGAGTCAGTGACACTAGTTATTACCTAGATGATACAAGTAAAAATGGATATTTTTGAACATGCTTTTGGGGTATCAGCATTACCTCTCAGGCATTTCGGGAAGAAAGAATCAAGTTTCTTTAAAGATACCCTCACTACAGGATTCCTTCTTGCGCTTGAAATAAACCATTTCTCCACCGTTCCGTATCTTGAAGTGCACCAGTTACAGTTGTATGGACAATATATGTGTTTTGTTGCTATTGGGTAGGAATTGGCCTGTCCCCTGGAGATGCCTGTATTTCAGGGCAGTGTTGTAAGTACATTGTGAAGGGCTGTGGACTAGAAGGTGCTAAATAAACATAGTGTTGTTGGGGCAAATACCAAAGGCTTGGGGGAAACAAGTACTTCCACTATATTTTGTTTAATTTCCTTTTAGGATGAATCAGTGCAGCCATCAATGCAGCCAAGCAAAATCCACGTCCTAATCTTGGTACTACATGGAGGAAACATCCTGGATACAGGAAGTGGTGACCAGAATTCAAAACAAGGAGATGTCAATACTATCACAACAGTGTTTGATACAGTAATGAGGGTACATTACCCAGCTGCTCTTGGACACATTGCACTCAAGCTAGTTCCTTGCCCAGCCATCTGCTCAGAAGCCTTTTCACTGGTATCCAAGTAAGTTTGTGCTCCTTTATCTTGGAGAGGGGCGCATTTGTAAATTTTTACTCTGTTGTAGTGCATCTATAATCAACGCTATGGGGTATGCTCTGACCTTGTTGAGGATGCCTAATATTGATGACAGCTATCCACACACTTTGAGAGCGCACTTTATTAATTAACTAGCAAGCCTTCCAGCCTCAATTTCATACATGGCTGTAATGAATACAGTACAATAGCAATGCAGCTGAAGTTCTGTGATTGATTTACTCAAACTAATCAGATAAGTACTTGAACTTGACTTTACAGAGTTATTGTCCAGCGGTCATTCTGACTGTGTGTGTTCTCTGAAGATTTAGGTTTAAGGGGGAAAGAAGTGTGTTTTCCCCAGCCCTAGAGCATTTCTACCAGCAAGAGAACACACAGCTTTTGTACTTTGAGATTTTTTTTTGTGATCTGAAACATTGATTGTGCTGGCTGCAAATGATGAACTCAATGCAAGCCTCTGTCTCTTTCATCTCCTCTCCTATATTCAGCCTTAGCCCTTACAGTTATGATGAAGGATGCCTCTCCAATAGTCAGGATCACATTCCACTCGCTGCACTTCCTCTGCTAGCAACATCATCCCCACAATATCAGGAGGCGGTAGCCACGGTGATTTTGAGAGCCAATCAAGCCTACAGCGAATTCATTAAATCACAAGAAGGCACATCATTTACTGGCCAGGTGAGTAAGGTCCTGTTTTAGAACAATAAAATGAAAAGCAGACAAGGCCATTTCCCTCTGAATCTCTTGGAAGAGTTGGAAACGTTTGACAATGCTGGGCTAATTTATGAAAATGTTTTCTTGGGCTTTTTGTTTTGTTTTTAAGATAAAGATTTTCCCTTATTTTACACTGTTCTTATTGGAGATTAATTTTTATAAGAAGAAAATGCAAATTAGAGCTCAGAAATTTAGCTGTAAAAATGTGAAGTTTAAACAAAAGACACCATAGGTGTGATGTATCTCTCCAAATGAGGTGTAAGAAATGCTCTTTATCTGTTTTAGGTACTCCTCTGGCCCCCATTACCGTAACATCTGAGATCCTCACAATCTTTAACGTATTTATCCTCACAACGCCCCAGGAGGTAGGGCAGTGCTATTGTCCCCACTGGAGTGCTGCAGTCTCCAGACGAGGAACTGAGGCACCGAGAGGCTAAGTGACTTTGCCCAAGGTTGCACAGGAAGTTTGTGAGAAGGGAATTGAATCTGGGCCTCCTGAAACCCAGGGTGGTGCCTTAACCGCCGGACTGTCCTCTTCACCATGTATCACAAGTGCTTCTGCCTCTCCCCACCTTTTATAATCAGGGATTTCATGACCTCCCATATGGGAAGAAATTATCTCAGATCCTGCCTCAAGCCAGATCTGCTCCAGAGCTGGAAACCTTCCAAGGTACCTCACAGCCTGGTATAGAGTAACTGCTGACCCAGAACTCACCCATCTGACACATGATGGTCAACAATTCCATAACTGCTTGGGCTAGCGAGAGCTCCTAGGCAGATATTATCTGATTAAGCGGTGATGCTGATAACTACATTGAAGGATCTCATGTTCCCCATTTTCTGGGCTTAGATGTTTTATTCCTTTAGCTAGTATTTCTGTGAATTCAAAGTGAGGGGGATCATTTTGGGTTTTTTCCCCACCTCTGGTTGCTCTTTCAGGTCTGTTTGGTAGGGGACTGCGTAGGAGGAATCCTGGGATTTGATGCCTTATGTTACAGCAATCAGACTGTGTCTGAGAGCCAAAACAGCAGCCGACGAGGGAGTATTGTGAGTGTGCAGGTAATGTAGCCTACTAGAAACCAGTCAGGATAACCCTGTTGGCCACAGAACTTCCCTGTCCGCCCCTAGCTCCAGACGGAAGGGAGGGTTCCACCTTTAATCCTTCCCCATTCTACCTCCAGTCATCCCCCTGTGCCCAGAGCAGAGGCACTATGGAGGACTGGTTAGGACTCTGTCAGTGATGCCCTAATATCAGCAATAGTCACCACTGCTAACCTGCTTGTCAAAGCAGAAGAATGTATTTTAGAAAACATGGACTGTTTCTAATTTATTTGGGGCTTTCATCAGAAAGAACAAAGCTCCGTTTTCCAGTTTCATGGAGGGTGTGTGCACACTGGGGTGTGTGCTTGTGTCCCTACTTTTGGGGTAGGCTTTGCCCAACCCTGCTGTGTTGTATTGTTTTGTATTATACGCCCGCCTAGTGGCTATAGAAATGTTGTTTTGTTTTAGGTTTGAATACCAGAAATCCCATATGAAGCTATTTTTTTTTTAGTATATTTGTCAAGTGAAAATTCATTACAGACTAGGATGTTCTGAGTAATCTTGCTCAGGACCATCAAACCTCCTATTCTCCCAGACGGTGTGAGTGGAGCTTCAAGTTGTTAGTGCCCTTTTTAAGCTTTTCAGTTGCACTCCGAGGTAGGTAAAGTAGAAAAATTCCCGGAGTGCACTTAGATAGGGTAGGTGTGTTAGGAAATGGAGAGATTAGGTAGATTTGAACTGGAACAAATGAGGAGGCAGTGCAGCTGTTTGAAGAGGGAGGGTCTAATGTGGTTGCACTTCTGACTTGCTGCCTGATGCCTGTGTACTTCAAATCCTAGGACACTGACCTCCTGTCTCCTGGAATAATTGTGAACAACAGTTATTGTTCCAGTGGCTCCAACCTGGAGGCCAGCAGACACCTCAGCAGAAGCAACATTGATATTCCTCGGAGCAACGGAGAGGATCCAAAGAAGCAGCTGCCCCGAAAAAGGAGTGATTCATCAACCTACGAAATGGATACAATAAAGCAACATCAGGCATTCCTTTCAAGGTAAGGTTTCAAAGGAACAGTGAGTCAGGAATCCCTGGGGACAAGAGAGACACCCGTGTGCAGTTTTAATGTTGTTTTGTAACCCCGGGGATGGCAAGGTTTAGGAACGTTGTTGAAGAATATCAGAGGTGTTCAGATTCCATTGGCAAGTGTGGGCTTTACAGAGGAATTACCAGCAGCATTGTACAGTACCATGTGATTGTGGGGACAAAATTAACTATGAGCTGCTGCTGTGCTGCACCCACATTACAGTGGGGGGAAAACAGCCGCATAAGAGTAGCAAGAGGTTGGTGGTTGTTTTTTTGCCATGTTACTGCAGCAGAGTAAGTATGTAACCAGTGCAGCTGACGAGACAGGAGAACTTAGAGTCAAATGTCATTTTAAGTTTAGGCATCTATCAAAATTGATCCTGACCTGGCTGGCCTGTTGGTCGGAGAGATGAGTCCGAGCCATCTGTTATGAGCATCCCTAAACATTGGGATATTTTGAGTCTGGATATGAACGCCGACCCTGGGCCCTTCCCGGGTTCCTAGGGCCCTTTGCTGCTATTCTGGAGACACAAGTCCAGGGCAGTAGTCCCTTGCTCCCAGGCCATGGGGTTTGGGATGCTCTAGGTGCAGCACTACAGTCCCCAGAATTGCTCAGCTTTGTCCAATACTGACCCTAACCCTGTTTAAGGAGCAGCATTGACTGGCTCTGAAGGGTGATTCCAAAGCCAAGCCTTCTTGCCTGGAGGTGAGTGGGAGCAGCCCAGGGCCTTGCATGTCAAGCAGGGAGATGAGGGATCCTCAGGGCTCTGCCAGAGGCACAGTGGAACCCTGGGAGAGGAAATGAGATGATCATGGATCCTAAAAGAACAGAATCCTGGGCATTAGAGATGGAAGAGACCAATTAGTTCCCATCCAGTACGTTCCCAGTTAGTGCAGGAGTGTCCTCGACAGGTTACTAGACTGAGCACAGCATTAGATTTACGTGTTGTAAGCTTTGGGTCCCCCCATCACTTCCCTTGGCATACTGCTCCCCACTCTAACAGAGTGCTGGGAGGAAGGTTTTTGTTCTTGCTCTTCAGCCTGAATTTTCCCTTTTGGGAAATCTTTCATAACACCCTCCTGAATCTCCCGGTGCATAGGCTCAGCCAGCAGCACGTGTTGTATATTTACTGTATTGCCAGCACAGGCAGCCAAAGTTACCTCTGCCCTGTTAACCCCCTCCTCCAAATTAATGTGTACCCTTTACTAAGCATGGAGCCTGTTCAGTTACATCAAAAGTCTGTTTCAGTTTCTTACATATATTGAGGCCCTTACGTAGCGTAATACTGAACTTTTTAAATGATTCTCGAGAAAATCACTTAATTTATTATTAATCGAATTACTTTCCTAGAGGAAGGTCCTGTTACCACTTAGATACTGTTCAAGGAGCGCGTCTTTGAAGCAGGATGCTTATGTCCTCACTGCTGCATTTCCATCAGCTTGTGGAATTAGGAGAGTTCTAGACATTTCCTACTGATCCTTCCCTGTCACTTCCTGACAAGCAATGAACCCTATATTCAACTCCAAGCCTCATTTTCCTACACCAGCTAAGGTCTTCTTTCCATTCCAGCTTGAGGGCTTGGACTCTACTCACCTGTCAGGGGCACTTTACTAAAAGATTTATACAAGAGGGAAGGTAGGAAAGTGAATGGCATTGGGGCTGCTATATTAAATGGAACTGCTATATTTAAAAAGATGGCTGCATTTAGGAAAACCAATAAGCTCTTTCCAGCAGGCTAATAAAAGACAATCAGTCTCTTATCGTAGCTTAGCAAGGCAACCTCCCGTATTAGACAGGCAAATGCTGGTCAAATCAAAACGTATTGCTTTCTCCTCCTTGCTTGCTCTAGAAGCCAGAGAGGGCTGTAGCCTGGACTGAACCAAGGAAGATGCCCTTATTTGGTATCTGGCAAGCAGCTTCCTGTTTACTTTGCAAAACGGGTGGTGGGCTAGGGATACTGGCAGGTCCACTGTGTTTACCCCTGTCTGATTGCATATAACCAGCATGTTACATAATTGTTACATTACACTCTGCTTATGATGATTGACTAATGAACAGCAGGGTAACCAGTACAATCTCCTATCACTACATCACTTTACCACTAGTAGGAATTTTTGCTATGAAAACCAAGACATGATGTAATATGATTACATGGCTTAATGCAGAGATCTTGGCAGGAGAGAGACCCAAGTTTTCCTAATGAGCACAGCAAATGTGTGTCATTCAGGCAGCCTGGCATATGGCGATCTTTCCATCGGTGCCCAATGCAGATTTTAACACATGCCAAAGACAGATTAATTTTCATTCGCATGTTAGACTTATCCACTACTTTGGGACAATGCCCAGCAAAGTCAGAGCATCATCTGGTGAGACGACCACTCTTTTATTTTTAAATTCAATCCTTCTGCACTGCTACAATATTTCTGGTTGTGTTGGTTTTATATTATTGTCAATTAGTTGACTTGCTACTAAACCCAATTGGATCCTGTCTAATCACTGCAGCTGTAGCATTCTAAAGTAAAAGCAGGACCATGTGGATTGGTTTTGGGCATGATGGATTCTGATTCCCCCTCAGATCTCATTTCCTTTGATTCCCAAAAGGGCTGTTGCATATCCACTAAAATGAGAAAAACTCTACCAAACGGCTTATTAGAGTGTTTTCTCTCTCCCCTATATCCGACCTGAAGGAAGGTGCTTGGAATGTAACAGAAATTGAAACCCATCTAGAAAATCCGTTCCTGCCATAATACATCTGATATATGTGCCGTCTGTCATTTTGTGTATTCATTTGAATCAAGCTAATGGACTGGTTCTTCTCTAAAAGGGTGAACTTGTTGCTTATCAAGTTGTCTTAGTTACACATAAGACCAACGTGTTGCAGCCCTGACAGCTAAAATGGTTCTAATTTTACCAGAGGATTGTTCTTTTGCACACGCACGCTAACATCATGCATTCTAGCAGCGTGACCTTTTAGAGCATTGTTCATATCACAGGAAGGGAAACAGGCTCATTTTAGCTGTCATTGCTGTTCACCGTCTTGATGCCACTGTTTTGACTTTCTCAATTATTTGTGTGCATAGTATAAGCAAGCATCATAACTTGCTCTTGTTGGTAACCAAAACTCTAGACATAGAACAGTGTGTGTATTACAGAAAATACATGACAGTGTGGTACGGTGCAAAGGTTTTATTCGTGTCCATCTAGATTGGCAGCCAGTGGAGGCACAATGAGAAAATAAAATCAGAGTGAAACCAATTTACCTTCTTCCCAGCTGTGTGTGTGTGTGTGTCATTCGCAGCTGTTCATTTGTCAGACTGGCCTTCCCAGATGAAGGATGCATGCAAGGACAGCTGCTCCAGTATCCCAGTCGGCACAGTGCACACAGCCATGTTCCACTGGGGGCTCCAAGACAGCAGCAGTAGCAGGACCTCACTGCACAGCCTGGCAGCCACTTCACTTTCAGAAGTGCCCCTAATGAATGAGCACTTAGTGCCTGTAGAGCTAGGGCAAATTGCAGTGACCCCCTCTAGAACTCTGCCCCAGAGCCGGGAAGGGCAGTGTCATTTGGGTCAGCCCTGACTCCAGGCCAGTAGAACTTTTCTGTCAAACCAAGCTGTCATGTAATTCATTGATCCCCCATATTTTACAGGAAAATTCTTTCAACTATGTTACAGAGAGCTTTAAATACAGCCGGATTGTCTTGGTCTAACTCTGCAGGCCTTGGAAAATTACAATTCAGACTCAGACTCCTAGAGTCTGGAAAAAAAACCAACCCCTCTTTATTCCCTAAAATAACTTCTTTCTAATCCATACATTCTGATATTCAGCATCTGATATCTCAAAATCCACCAGTTCTAGAATAAAAACAAGCACTCTATCCTATTGGAAGCTGGAGTGATCCCCAGCTCACCCATGTAAGAGAGCTTGTGTTTCTAACCCAATTGGAGTTCCAGGAATATTGGACTTTATACTTGTCCTTTAAATCTGCATATTGCAGCCCTGCACTTCAGACCCATTGAATTTTGTAGGGAAAATGAGACCCTTTAGAAGGGGAAAAGAAACAAATTAGGGGCAGGTTTTATATTTTTTAATTGAAGCTTTCTGAAGTTGTTCAGGATGCGGCAAGAGGGGAGTTTAAAATGTGAGTAGTCAGGACACCCATGGATTACTGTGCAGAATCCAGGGAAGGATATTGCTGGTGCATGATAAATGCAGTATATCACGTGGTTTGCTCAGTTCATCACACTGAAATCACCACCGTAGTATATGGGGTATAAATGTGTATATGTTTTTATATAAGCTTATGCTATTAGAAAACTCTGTGGCGTGAAGTTGGTGCACAAGAATGTAGGAAACGCTTTTGCAGATTTTGATCTTTCTTTTTCTCTTTCCCCTCCCATTTTCTTTTTTCTTTCCTTTGTAATCCCCTAACATTTGTCCCACTTCCTTGAAGAAGAAATGGGTAAGCACAGCTCACTGCTTTCCGTAGCACTGAGAAATAGAGTGATGAAAAGAAAAAAATGATGAAAAGAATTATTATGTTGACAAGAAGAGAGACAGTAATAACAATACATGTACTTGGAGTTAAGTTAAAATTGATTGTAAATGCTGCCTTTTGCATGGTACTATAGTAATTTTTGTTTGCTCTTGCTAGCATGCAAATTACTACTTCAGTAGCAGTAGCCAGCATTTTACTCCACAAAGAGCATATTAGAGATTGGAGGAGTGGGGACAGGAATATTAGAGATTGTAGCTCACTTGGAGCTTGAATTTATCGGCTGGATCATATCAGTGGAACAAGGGGACTCTGCTTTGATAGGGTCTCTCACTAGCATGTAGAGGCACAGGTGATTAATGGATACATTTCCTTTTCTTAAAATAAAAAGAATCGTCTACACGATTAGCCACAGTACAATCTGTGTTCATTATTTCTTAAAAAAATAACCCACACCCTTGTGAACAAAATTTTGGCTTTTGACCGTGTTCTTATTTATGAATGTATTGTTGTTTTAGTTTACATTCTAGTGTTCTGAGAAATGACCCAGGATCCAGACGATCGAGTAGCTCCACAATGTTGGATGGAGGAAACCTTGGAAAATTTGAATTTGAGATCACAGATTTCTTCCTGTTTGGGTCTCCCTTGGGCCTGGTCCTTGCATTGAGAAAAACCGTCATCCCAGCTCTTGACAGTAGGTTTTGGCATGCACCAGTGGTTCCACTTAGTGGGCATTTTAAATACCTTCTACTACAAAAAGCTTTCAGACTTGCAAAGAAAAAATCTAGTAACTTGGATGAGATGAACTGTAGAACATATTGTGAAACTAAATTATATATGTGTTGTTCCACCATACAAGTCAGTACTAGCTACTTCTATAAATATTGATTACACATTTTTTGTCATTTAGCCCTAGACAACAAAAATCTAAACATATGCAGCAAAAAACTATTTAGTAAAGTATGTTCCACAGAAACATCAGTTGTCCTGCTTGACTTACAACTGGAGTGTGATGGAAGTAAGCGCTCTTAAAGGGCTTTTTTCCCCCCTCATGCTGCACTTTACAACTAGTAAATCGCCTTTTAAATAGATTTATACGAGCCTCACAAATAACTTTGTAATACTTGGGAGTTTCTTTTTTCCCTCCTTTTCTCCTTAGTCTTTCAGCTGAGGCCAGCCTGCCAACAAGTCTATAACCTGTTCCATCCTGCAGACCCATCTGCCTCACGCCTGGAGCCCCTTTTGGAAAAGAGATTCCACGTGTTGCCTCCCTTCAATATTCCACGCTACCAGAGGTTCCCATTAGGTGACGGCAGTTCTGCTCTTCTGGGTACGTCCGTTTTTATCTGTTATCTGCCTATGGCCCAAAGACTGTGCTCTCGGCGCAGACGCTGAAGTCAGGGAGTGTTTTAACGATGTGAGGTGCACAGGATTGGCCTCGTAGTGTTTAGCTTCTTCAAAAAGTTCCCAGGCAAGTGGATTTCTCTTTACAAATTCAATGCTTCACATCCAAAATACCATTGTTGTCATTTATTAAATAAAGCCCAGAAGTTGCTGTGAGTCGATATGCAATGTACTCTGTATGTTGTTCTCCATTTTACATCCCAGGCAGTGCTTGAGATTGGAACCATTTCATAGGAATGGAACACATGATCAGCTAGGCTGAGATTTAGGGACTTGATCTTTCAGGGGGGTTGATGAGGACTGGGAGGGAGCAGAGCAAAGCCACATAAGGGATGCAGTTTGCTTTTTTGCACACAATCCATATGGGTGAAGCAAGCTGAGGGGACTGGGTGTCTGAATACCATTAGCTATGCACGGCACATTCTGTTGAAATGCTGCTGCATATTTTGCCCATGCAAATGGCTCAAATAAGGGAGCAGTGCTCAGAAAGCCCATTTTCAATTCTTGTAATCTACCCTTATGTAAGCCAGCAGTTGGAGACCTCTTTCAGCCTAAGAAACTTGTCTATAGTGAACTCCATTCATAGTGAAATCAAATGCAAGGCCCTGATTATTACAGTGCATCTCAGTGTGCAAATTTAAAATCTTATTGAAGTAAATCTCCACTTGTGGGGAATAATTTTCTCACTTTAAGAAGATTCCATTATATATACTGTAAAATTATGATCTGTGATCAATTTGAAAAGCTACATTGGAGGATTTCCTTTTCTTTTGTTGTAAAATTGCCATTCCTGTGCTTTCTTCTGATGTTATAACTGTTTTAACTAGTAAGGCACTGAATTTAGGCTTATTTGGAAGACCATCTGTATTGGCTTCTGTTCCTCTAATTGAAGGTTGGTCCTTTATAGAAGACCCTGAACTGTAGTTGCAAGTGTTTGATTGTAGTTGTTTGTATGTTTTACAGTTTGTGGCCACATGTTGGTTGTTCTTGTCCTTTTGTTTTCTTCCCCACTTGCTTCTAGTTGAGACAGTCCAGAACAACCCCATCCTCCTTGTGGAAAGCAGCCCATTGGTTGCTCTCCAGCGCCAGGACAGCTTCATGGAAACCTGTATACCTGTTCCAGTTCTGAATTGGCAAGATGTTTCCAATAAAAATGCCGTTTTTGCTGAGTGTGTGTAACCTACCCTTTTCTAGTGTCTTGTGTTGTGTACTTGGGGTGCTCCTTGGAGATTGGTCTTCTACCTCATGGGGCTGAAAGCTTTGCACTATGTACCTGAATATGACAAGTGAAGTGCCTGCATAACCATGTATTCTTGGACCCCAGGCAAGAATGGGACAAGCCACTGACAGGGGGTGGTGAAAACTGAGCTGTGAGTTGTCTCCCCTTCTGCTGCAAATGCTGGAAGGGGAGATTGGGGCCAGACAATGAGTTTGCTTTTCCTCTGGTTGAGCTATTGGAGAGGCATCGAGTGGCCGAAAGGCTCCGGGCCCCCACGCTTGCTTTGCTTTTGCTTGAGGCCTGCCCTGCTGTTACAGTTTATGCAGTGTACAGAATCTGCCATTGAAACTGACACCTGGTTTTTGCTTGCAGTACACAAAGTTTGCCAGTGCAGTCAGCACGTAACTACAGATTAACATACTCTGTATTGTATGTCTGTACCAGAAAGTGACCAGATATTGTCACGTGCCCAAAGGTGCACATCTTATATTTAGACACTAATTTTGCATCATCTAAACACAGTGGACAAAGCTTTCAGGACCCAAAGGTGTCTTTTTATTTGATTTCTCAAATAATTGCTGCTTTAAAAACAAGTTTGGTTTTTGTTGCTATCAAAAATGCTGCATGGCTATATTTTTCTCGATTACAGCTGATACCAAATCTGCAAGTTAATGAGACTTTCAACTTTATTTCTTTTCTCCTGTATTTTTTTTTTTTTTTACTCTTCCCACCCCTTTTAAATATGCCCCCTGGAGATCCTGATCCTGCAGCCCTTACTCATGTCAGTCAGCTCTTATTGGTCTGAGTTAACCCCATTGTGCTGAGTGGTAATTTCGGAACAGCAGCACCTCCCATTGGTTACATTGGATAGAAGATGACACAGGGAGAGATTTTCAAAGGTACAGATGGATGTTAGGTGCCCAATTGCCATTTGTGCCTTTTGAGGTTCTCTAGGAAGGGCGGGGGAAAGGACACTACAGTATTGCCTACCATCGCTTTCCACTTCACTAATGCAGGGTCACTTAGCCTTCATCCCATGTTAGCTGACTGACCATGACTATGCATCCAAAAAACTCTTCTCCCATCCCCCATCATCTCAAGAGTGTCATGTGGCTTAGTTGTGCCCATATCTGACTCTACGAATGGGGCAGCAGATGAATTTTCAGGACTAATAAAAAGGCGCTTCAGCCTCTTTTTCTGTTGCTTTTGAAATTAAGGATGGGATTTTCCAACGCACTCAGCATTGGCCACTGACTTCAGTGGGAGCAGAGTTAGGTCAATGCTGAGCATTTAAAATGCCACCCCAATTTTTTGTTTTAACTGCTGAAGAGCTCTTTGCTTCAATGGCACAATGCAGCCTATGTATTCCTTTGCAGGGTACCGTGCTGCATTGAAACAGCCTGTTTCCTGATGGCATGCAGCCCTGACACCCCAGGAACTTAACCCAATGCCACTGATGTATTAGATAGCCCGATGCTGCTCATTTGGTGGGAAGCAATTACTGAGCGCACTGAAAAATACGTCTTAAAATGAAGAGTTGCGGCATTTGAATATGTATTAAAGCTCCATAGCCAGAGTTGGGAGAGGAGAGGATTTTCCTCTCTCCCCACCCTTTGCTCACTTTGGAACTACATTAGAACTTTGCTTATTCTCACTGCATTGATCTACACACTCTGTAATTCACACAAGCAAAGGCAACTTCACACAACTTCTCAGCGAAGCTCTACTAGCAGAGGTGGTGCTACAGTGTGAGATCTCCTGGTTCTAAGTCTTCGTTACTCAAACAAAACAAATCTTTACCACACAAAGTGCATTTAGGCCAGCATAGTCAAACAGACCTAAATCCGTATCTAGAGACCTAAATAAGTGGCCTGATTTTCCAAGGAGCTTGTCACCTACTACTCCCATTATAGTTACTTATGCATCTAACTTTAGGCTCCCCAGTTTGAAAACATTGGCCTTAGCACACAGTTAAAGTTATCTTATTTAGAACTAAATTGCACCCGTCAAGTTAAATGAAAGTATGACCTTTTGTTGCTGCATTATCCTTTTTTAAAACTCTGCAAAATGTTAGTAATTTATACTGAGCGAATTGTAATGCAGTGAGTCTCCCAGTCATTTGTGTGAGTAAACGAGGTTCTCTATTGAACAGCCTAAGGTTTAATTTGCAAATCATTTTCAATATAGATTTGGGATTTCGGAATACTCGACAGAAGGGGTAAATTGAGAAGACTAAGTTTTCTAGACACATTTTCGTCTCTTGTGTTTCCTGTCCCGTATTTTCCCTGGAAACAGCTCTCTGTTATAGAATTGAGGGCTCATACTTTGAAAAGGGGGGACTCTGTCACTAAAAAAGGGAGAGATTCTGGAGGTTTAAGAAAATATGAAAGCAGATATAATTAAGGCTGCGTGAGGGAGCACTGCTGTCAGAGCCAATAGACTCCCTTTATCTGCACGTAGAGTGTTAAGCTCAATAGTGGTGTAACATTAAAAGCTTAGACATTTATGTGAATGAGAATAGTCTGTGGTGACACCAGCTAGGACGATATCAAAAGGGCTGTCGATCTTCCTGCTTCAGACCCAGTATTGCCAACCTCAAGCATTCAAAAATCATGAGTCAGACCCAAAAAATCATGAGATTGATTTAAATATCATGAGATTTTTCTTTTCATAATTTGTTTTAAAATTTGCATCCAGATTTTGGCCTCACGTCATGTTTCCCAGCTTTCTAGCCCTCCTGGTTGTGGAGAACACTTGCTTTTTTATGTTACATGAAAGCCGAGATTCTCCTGCAATCTCTGATTCCAGCAGCTGGGGCTCTGAGAAAAAAAAAACAGATATTGTAAGAGTTGTCGACACCAAATGCCAAGAGGCTGCCATTTTGGATCACTCTTACCACGTAGCTTTTGAGCTACACAAGTGCTGCAGCTCTGTCACCACTAGGTGGAGCTCTTGTATTGGCATGGTTGAAAGTTGGTCCTTGCTCCCTATTACTGCCAGCTGCAGTTGGGATGGGAGGAAAAGTGCCCCCCAACCCCTTGTGTGTGCCTTGCGGGTTAAGTCATTTCCTCCGAGGCATCTGGCATTGGTGTAGGTGTCAGGATACCAGACACGCTGGATCATTAGTCTGATCAGTAATCTGTTTTGCTGCAGCAATTCTGTAAACGTTTGCAGCCTGGCAAAACCTCCTGAAAATAGGGTTCCACCCATGCTTTCTCTGCACCTCTTTGATTGTGGGCCTGATCCTGTGAGGCCTGGAGGTCCACAATGCAGGTAGCTCAATAGGGAGCTGTACAAATGCCACTGACGTTAAGAGTGTGGAGACTTGAATAGGATCCACCTCTCTGGCCTGGTGTTCACTAGGGAAAAATGGTTGAATTTAGGCTGGGTGTAGCTAAAACGTGCTAGCTAGGCCCGAGCCGAACTCGACCTTTTCCCCCCTAGTGTAGGTGCAAGGTAAGATCTTGAAATTGAATTATTTAGCTAGGCTGCAGCTCAAGCAACTGAAATTGAGCTCAGGATGTTAGGCTATATCTGCACTAGGGGAAAAGATCAGGCTTAGCTAGCACGTTAGCTGAGCCCAACCTAAATTCAGCGCTTTTCCGAGTCAGGATACAATCTCTGAGTCTGAGGGGTTGTACAGCTGAGCTCTGCTGTGTCTCTGCTGATTTAATGGAGAGCTGTTCCCATCACACACATTCCAGGCCCTGTTGCTGTATCACTCTGTGTTATAGGACGGCTGTGGGCCCCATAAGTCATTGTAGAAGCACATGGTAAGAGGCCCCTGCCCCAGAGCACTTACAATCTAATAGATAAGCCAGACAAAGGCTAGCAGGGGAATCAGGTGCAGAAAGGGGAAGTGACATGCTCAGGGTCGCACAGCAGATTAGTGTCAGAGCTGGAAATAGAGCCCATGACACGTGTCTCCCACTCCAGCGTCCCTGTCCACTGGACCACGCCAGATCTCCATTCAGTTCCGAACTGTAATCAGCTCCCACGCGTGACTTGTGCCCCTTTTTGGAATGTGGCTTCAGTGTGTTTCCTTTCGATAAATCTTTTATTGAAGGAAGTGCCAGTAGGAGCATGAGACTGCTGCAAAGCGTGGCACAGTGAGACATGCTGCCGTACAGACGCTGTGCAGCAACCTTGATAGCTGGCAGCTCAAGGCAAAATGGAAAGAGGAAGGAAGTGAGGGGAGCGTACATCAGAGGAGAGGGTGACACTAGCAGAGGCCTTTCAGGCTTAACTCATACAGTGTATGAAACACAAAGTGTCAGGGTCAGACTCCAACTGGGCCCTAGACCCTGACAGTCCATATGGCTTTAAGTTGATCAGCTTGTAGCCTTTTTTTCCTGCCGAGCACTGAAATGATTTTACCAACATTTAAGTCCTTGCTCTACTACTTTCAGCCATTCTCTTTCCCGTCCGAGCGGCAGAGTTCACGTCAGTTGTATGCCAGAGCCTGTGTTAACTGCAGGTATCTAAGAAAGTACAAATGTTTGGAGTTCCAGTTAGCAAGTCAGTAGCACTAGGCATATGGGCTTCTCGGATCAATATTTAGATGACTCATTTGTGCGCTTGCTAATACAACACCAGACTGACCACATCCAAGTATATTTAATTTCCGGTTAGATCATTTCCCACACCGTTGAAATAAATAATTTACAGTAGGGCTGTCGATTAATAGCAGTTAACTCACATCATTGACTCAAAAAAATTAATCGCTATGAAAAAGTTAATCGCGATTAATCACTTTTTTAATCACACTGTTAAACAATAAAATACTAATTGAAATTTATTAAATATTTTTGGATGGTTTTTCTACATATTCAAATATATTGATTTCAATTACAACACAGAATACAAAGTGTACACTGCTCACTTTATATTATTATTATTATTACAAATATTTGCATTGTAAAAATGATAAAAGAAACAGTATTTTTCAATTCACCTCATACCAGTACTGTAGTGCAATCTCTTTTTCGTGAAAGTGCAACTTACAATTGTAGATTTTTTTTTTGTTACATAACTGCACTCAAAAACAAAACAATGCAAAACTTTAGAGTCTACAAGTCCACTCAGTTCTACTTCTCGTTCAGCCAATTGCTAAGACAAACAAGTTTATTTACATTTACAGGAGGTAATGCTGCCAGCTTCTTATTTACAATGTCACCAGAAAGTGAGAACAGGCATTCTCGTGGGACTTTTGTAGCCGGCGTTGCAAGGTATTTACGTGCCAGATATGCTAAACATTCGTATGCACCTTCATGCTTCGGCCACCATTCCAGAGGACACGCTTCCATGCTGATGACGCTCGTTAAAAAAATGTGTTAATTAAATTTGTGACTCAACTCCTTGGGGGAGAATTGTATGTCTCTGGCTCTATTTTACCCGCATTCTGGCACATATTTCATGTTATAGTAGTCTTGGATGATGACTCAGCACATGTTGTTCATTTTAAGAACACTTTCGCTTTAGATTTCACAAAACGCAAAGAAGGTACCAGTGTGAGATTTCTAAAGATAGCTACAGCTAGGGTGACTAGATGAGATGAAGAAAATATCGGGACAGCGGGGGCGGGGGGGGCAAAAAAAACAAACAAAAAAGCCGAGTGCTGCCAGTGGAGCAAAATATCGAGACAAATTGTGTCCCGACCAGAGATCGGTCAGGACACGGGACAAACAGCTAAAAATCGTGACGGTCCCGATTTTATCGGGACATCTGGTCACCCTAGCTACAGCACTCAAACCAAGGTTTAAGAATCTGAAGTGCTTTCCAAAATGTGAAAGAGACGAGGTGTGGAGCTTGCTTTCAGAAGTCTTAAAAGAGCAACACTCTAATGCAGAAACTACAGAACCCGAACCACCAAAAAAGAAAATCAGCCTTCTGCTGGTGGCATCTGACTCAGATAATGAAAATGAACATGCGTCGTCCCGCATTGCTTTGGACTGTTGTTGAGCAGAACCTGTCATCAGCATGGACGCATGCCCCCTGGAATGGTGGTTGAAGCATAAAGGGACATATGAATCTTTAGCACATGAAGCGGGCAGCATTATCTCCTGCAAATGAAAACAAACTTGTTTGTCTGAGCAATTGGCTGAACAGGAAATAGGACTGGGTGGACTTGTAGGCTCTAAAGTTTTACATTGTTTTATTTTTGAATGAAGGTTTTTTTGTACATAATTCTACATTTGTAAGTTCAACTTTAATGATAGAGATTGCACTACAGTACCTGTATTAGGCGAATTGAAAAATGCTATTTCTTTTGTTTTTTACAGTGCAAATATTTGTAATACAAATAAATATAAAGTGAGCACTGTACACTTTGTATTTTGTGTTATGTGAAAATGTAGAAAACATCCCAAAATATTTAAATAAATGGTATTCTATTGTTTAACAGTGTGATTAATTGCAATTAATTTTTTTAATCACTTGACAGCCCTAATTTACAGCTGACTTTTGTTGCCGGGGGAGGCATTTTCCTCCTTGTTTTGGTGTTTTGTGCCTGCTTGCACAAAATCGATTGATAGTTGTGAATAAAGTTGCCGATATTTTGATTCTCCAGTGATGGGCAGCAGTGCAGAACTTCAGATAAAAGTGCAAACTCACCTGCTTGCTTTCCATGTCAGCTTTGCATTCCATTAGGTATGTTGCACTTACAGGACATAGTTTCTTTAAATTGAGGATCTCCGTGTGCATCACAGACATTAATTAATTCTGCCTTGCAATGCCTCTGTAGGGTGGGTAGGTATTGTTATAAGCAAATACAGGTAGGAAAATGAGACACACAAGTTAAGTGTGGCTTTGAGTGAGTCACAGCAAGTCAGTGGAACAGCTGGGAAAAGAACCCAGGAGTCACCTTCACTCCCAATCTGCTGTGCTAGCCACTAGGTAACACTGCCTCCCTCATGCTTTAAAGTGTTTTTAATGTATAGTTTTTCCCACAGAAAAGCAGGATTGCCCAATAGATCCACATAAACCTCACAGTTTCTCAGTTACATGCATTATAGAACTAATTTCCCACTAATAATACATACGTACACACACGCACTCCATATGAGTGTGATTTTTACTCCTCATTCCCCTCGTGTTTACTTCCTGAAGGATAAGGCCAAACTTTTTAAGCTTGGGGGCCTAAAGTTGTGCTCCTAAATCCAGATTTTAGGTACCTAAATAAAAGTGGCCTGATTTTCAAAAAGGCTGAACACCACCAAATCCCATTTAAATTAAAGGGAAATTTGAGTGCTCAACACCCAGGCTACTTTTACTGAGAAGCCTAAATATGGAGTTAGGAGTCTAACTGGAGGCCTTCAGTTTCACAAATGGTGGCTGTATTTTTTTAGTAACTAAGGGTACGTCTACACCGTAGCCGGAGATGTGATTGCAGTGTGAGTAGGCGGCCCCACACTCGCTTTAATCCAGCTACCGCAGCTAAAAATATCAGAGACAGTGGCACAAATCCTGGTGCAGGCCAGCAACGCTAGTACGTCCCCAAGGTTTTGGGTGGGCTTGTACAGCCCACATTAAAGCCCGGGCCGCTGCGTCTTCGTTGCTGTTAGCCGGGCTATGTAGGTTGAAACTAGCCTGGGTATGTCTGCCTGAGCTGCAATCACACCTTGGATTGCAATGTAAACACACCTTAACTACAAGTCCAACATGAGGCCCACACTGGCATGACAATATCTCCCCTGGAAACTTTCCCCTTTACTTTAAAAGATGCTATAAAACTAGTATCTCCTAAATTCAGTTTTTTACCTTCCGCCCTTTCCCCCCATTGTTCTGGCTAAACTGAATATATAAAGCTGTATATATTCACATGAGTCTGCATGACACATCTTTCTATTCTTGCTGCTCAAGCAAACCTTTCCTGATTTGCTTGGGTTTAAACTGATTCTTTTGCTTTTCTCAATCGGACAATGAGATGCTAGATGCCAACTCTCCTTTTGCCTTTTCTTTCTTTTCAAAATAGAGCTGAGATTAAATGTGTTTTCCTTCCAATTGGTTTGAAAGGTTTTGCATCTGAAAGCCAATCCTTGCCTTGTTTGCCTCCTTTTCTCCTCTTGATTTCGTCTTGCCTGGTCTCTGTCTGTTGGTCTAATATTTTGATTTCCCTGTTTCGACTTCATAGCAGATGTTGTTCAGTCTCATGGTGCAGTCTTCATGGAAAATGCGTCCCTTTCCACCCCCATTACAACCCCTCAGTTCAGGGGATTCCGGAGGGCCAGTGAGATCAGCATTGCCAGCCAGGTCTCAGGAATGGCAGACAGTTACACTGCTTCCAACATAGCTAACAGTAAGTGTTTCGCACCCTCCAAGATTTCTTCTCACTGTAGCACTAAAGTAGCAGCACCACACACCAGGCTGACCTCAATGTATAGGATAGACCTGTAGAACTGTCTTTATTTTGTGTGTGTTTTTTTAACATATAGCCTGGTTTGGAGTTAGCCACTGTATTGCTCCATGATCCTTCAAACTCCACGCTGTGCAGTGTTATCAGATACAAAGGATTGGGGAGAATAGGACACTGAGGGTATTTCCTGCTGTTGACAGTGTTTCCTGGTGAGGGTCAGTCATAACACCTGCCGGTCCTCCCCATTGCTTGCTTAATTAAGTCTAATAATAGCAGCACAGAACATCAGACTGCATGGCCAAGGGTGGTCTTTGAAAAGCATTTTGCTCCTTGTTAAAGGAAAACAGCTTCCTTGTCTATTGCAAAGGATGGAGCTCTCCGATCCATTGTAAAGCTGATCCCTGCCTGAATATCAAGAAGAATATACATACTTACATCTGAGTGGTGGTGTTACTATTTATTATTATCTATACCAATGTAATAACTTCTTGTAGTTGTGTTAGACCCACCTGTCCTTTGGAATTGGGGTGTGAATGCAATAGTTTGACCGACTTTTCCCCCCCCAGTGGGCAAACTGATCTAATTTGCACCTTTGAAACTGATGTCTGCAGAAATGGAGGTCCCTTATTTCAGATATTCATGGGTGAACCATCAGGCTGTTTGTCCTCTTAATTTCTTGTTACAATAGTTGCATGTTTTGTTTAAATGTATTCTCCTAAAATACAGTGCGCCCTCATTAGCAGGCGTTCCACAGGTAGGATTGGAATAGGTAAGATTTGAGCCCTACAAGGTTTACATGAATTCCTGCAATGAGGAGTCAAACATTGCTGAAGACTTAGACAGGCTAACTTTATCACTGGAGGTGGGGCTGAACCAGAATGTCTGGGGCTGTTTAAATCCCGTATCTGAATTTGATGGCAAGAGTTGGTCTCTGCTTTTAGCTGGGCGCCTTGCAGTGAGGGAGGATAACGAATGTAATTGCTTGTCTGAGGCTGTTTTCACTGATTAATAAGAAGTTGGAACTATTCCACCTAAGCCCAATTTTATCATTGTCAATGACACATTGTTAATGCACCCTTAGGAAGAACAGATGCCTACAATTATAATACAGTGGACTGCCACTATATTATGCATGTTGGAGTGATTATGGGCATAAATTGTTCATGTATAAAAGATAATTGATAACCTTGAACAACTATTGGCCCCTGTGCATCATTAAGGAATCAAATGGTATGTCTAGTCTTCAGTTGATAATTGTGATCTATGCAACTGGTATATGATCAGCACTTTTCAATAAATAATGTAAGATCTGACAGGTGGCACATCACGTATTATTTAAAGGTAATGTGCAAAGGGAAGAAAATGGGTGTGTGTGTCCCTTTTTTGGGCTGCTTTCTGTTTTAAAAAAAAAAGGCTGGGGGGAGGGAACTGAAGTTTTTCTTGTTGTTTGGTTTACACGTTAGAAATTCCACTCATATTTTGCCCGGAGGACTAGAGAATTAGCAAAATGATGACATTACAAGAACCAAAGCTGAGCAACTGAGTGTGGAAGTGGTTTTTCGTCAGATTGAGTTAAAAAATTTTTTTGTCAAGGCGCATTTAACTTCAATGACTAAGAAATCTTTTGGAGAAAGGCAGCCTTTGCTAAAAATTCACCCTCTTCCTCCTCTCTATTAAGGTGTGAGTGTTAACAATAGACATTCTCTGCGACCCCAACAAATCAGTGTTGGGCTGGTCTAGCTTTTCTGGCTGATGTTCCTGATACTGCTAAGGCAAAAACCCAAAAAGAATTTTTAAAAAAGAAAAAAAAAATTGAGAACCTGGAAGGAAGCCAAAAACACCAAAGGCACAATCCCAGTTTTAAAAAATACTTGTGCATGTCACCTTTAGTGGACCACTAGGCTTTGAACTATGACGTTTATAATTAAACACTAAGGTTTTTAGTTCCTCCTGAGGTAAATATCATAATGTGAAGTAAAATGTGTAGGCTGGGACATTCAACAGAGCCCAAGGTTTGTATGTTCCTGACTGCCATTGAAATCTGCCCAATTCTCTCCTGCATCTTTGACTATTCCAGCTTTAAACCACAAACAAAGGGGGCACCTGCTGTTCTGGATATGGGCACATACCTCCTCTGAGCGCTCGGCCAAGTGCAGTGCGTGGTCTGTGTGCAGGATTGGGAGATAGGAGTCCCCAAATCCTCCTCCTGTCTCTGATACTGACTCCCTCTGTAGCTTTGGGCAAGTCATGGAATCACTCTGCCTCAGTTTCCCCATCTGTAAAACAGGAATAATAATATTACCCTCCTTATGGGCATGTGACAATGAATCAGTTAAAGCATCTAAAATACTTCGACCATGAAAAGCAGTATATATAAGTTCCTAGTATTATTAGGATTAGGATTTCTCATGCACCCCGTGTTTATGCCAAGTAACATTTTTGTGCATATGTCACAATGGGGTTGAGTAGCTTCTTATTTTCTTTGGCCAGATGTCAGTGTGTGGCGAGAATAAATTCCCTGCACTTTAACAAATGGGGTTTTCCTTTCTTAAGGAGAGGATTTTTTGTTTATCATATCAGAGCAAATGCACAAAACACACCGTGGGACTGCACAATAAAATGTGTTCTGCCTTGCTACATGTTAATCTGTCTGGATAGAAGGTTCCTTACCAGGGGGTTTGTTTTGTGCACGTTTCACACCCCGGGGTAATTGCTGAGCTCAGCCAGTCAGGAAGGTAAATCCTGGAGGAGTTGTTGTTAAGGGTTGATTATTAAAGATGTATCTCATGGTAGCGCCCCAAGGTCCCTGTCAGGATCAGGGCCCCAGTGCGCTGGGGCCTACACAAGCACAGAATGAGGCGATTGCTGCCCTCAGGTGTTGACAAGCTGAATAAAGCCTTCGTGTAAATATCCAACATTTCCCTTCCCTGAGGAAGTGAAGCTTTGCAGACAGCGTGGGTCAAATTCATTAAGCCACAAGCTCTGATGGAGTTACACCAGAGGATGGATTTGGCCAGCTCTCTTCAGACTGCCAGGTGCCTTCATTATACGAAGGTGGGAACAATTTGTGCCCTTGCTCATGCCTACATAACCCCACTGACCTCAGTGGGATTGATGGAGTTTAATGGAGAAAGCAGAATCTAGCTCGTCAGGTGAAAGCTGGTGCTTTTGTATTGGACTGAAAGACGCCCTCTTAAAACTAACTTCCCTCCTTCATTTCAGGGGCACTTCTGCATGTGCTGCTGAAAAGAGAAGTTGACCTCCCCACCCCCGTTTGTTTGATTATTAAGACTTCTGTTTGCAACATGATTTTTGTCTTCCTGCACAGATGGCCTCGAGAGCCAGAAATGTAGCACTGAAGGTTTTGACTTTGTCTCATTGTGAAAGGGCCCGTCCTCAGCAAGCACTTGAGTTAGGCCTTCCAAATACATTTCCATTTCTATATCCCTTCCAGGGCCAGCTTCAGATACTGGGAACAAGCCACTGTGATTCCGTTGCGTGAAGTCCAGTGAGAATCCGCAACACGGGCCTCCACAGCCTGCTTCCCGGGGAGTTCCCTCTTCATGGCACTGTAGAGTGGTGGGGGATAGCTAACTGTGCATGCACAGGCTTAACCCCTCCTCCCCATGGAAAAGCAACATCCTATCAACAGTGGCAGCAGCTTTGCAGCCATTGAGTTAGGGAAAGAAGATTCCCAGCTGTATACCTCCTTAGATTTCCACCATAAAGACAGGCTACTCAAGGTGGCAGGTAGTCAGCCTTCATCTCTTTATAAGGAAACAGATGTAAATGCTTAATTTCAACTCCAAAATAATAGTTCCCACACATAGGATCGCAATCTCGTTCCTTTAATCCATGTGTCTTTTCCATCATAATGTTAATTGCTAGAGGACAAAACTGATGTGTTCTGCATGTGCGTGCTGTGATAATAAGTGTGGGTTTTTGTTTGTGTGTGTGTGTTTTTAATTTTGTTCCTTTAGAAAACAAAAATCGTCTTAACCATGCCAGAGGAGGATTTAGCTTTCTGTCCCAACTTGCCCTCCCTCACAAATCCCCCACCCAAGCCTCGCCCAAGAGACGTAGGCAACGTAAACATGAAATACCCCAGAATCATTTAGGAAGAAGGCTTGAGGGGCCATCAAGTTGGGATCCGGACTCTATTCTACAAATACCAGATCTGGACATCAAGAAAGGTATTCTGGAGAGGGGACTTATCTATCCAGCTAATCTCCTACATCATCTAACCAGGGCAGTTCTCTTCTCCAGAGGAAATCTGTTTGCTTTCTCCTTTCACCAAGGGCCCTCGCAAACTTAGCCCTATTTAACAAATACTTGTTTTCATATTGCTTGAAAGAGTAACAGCAGCACTGCTAACAGCTGGCGATGGCACAAACGCTTGTAGACAAGACACGTGGGAGCAACCGCACTGGCCCATAGCCCCTGTTGCAATCTCTTCCTAGCACGAAGGCCTTACTCCTGGCTGATCTGTACAAAGAATCTGAAATTAACCGAGAATAGGACTTTCATGAGAAATGGAAAGTTGGATCTTTACCAGTAACTGGGACTTTACCAGTAACTGGTGATTCCATGGCCAGAAACGCAAGCAGAAGATCATGTCTTTTGATAGGTCAAAATCTCTGTATAAATGGCCGTTGTGTGTCAAATCCTGGGCCGAGCAGGGAAAGCAGAGTAACGGAACTGGCACACCTATACTCAGAAAAGGCAGCACCTGTATTCTGGCTGCCAGCAGAATACCCTGCCCATTATTCTTGCTAGAATCAGGGATAGTTGGCCTGGGGAAGCCTGGTTCATAGCCACCATTGCTGGACCAGGGGGCGTATGCACATACCAACGCCATACCTCAGATCACCCTGCTGTGGCTCCTGCCAGGACAGCCTGCAGAGGAGTCATCTGCTCATTTGTGGAGAGAGTGGGCAACTCTTCCCTTGGGCCCAGATTTTCAAATGAGGTGTCTGCTTGGTGGCAGCTATCACATCCCCTCCCATGTCAAGCTGTCTCATTTTTGTGTCTGGTGCCTTATTGGAGAATGATCTCAAGAGAACCAGCAAAGCTGTTCTACGGAATCCCAAGCTCCTTGTCCAAGCCCCAGCTTGCTACTTGCATGCAGAAGTAACTCCTCCTAACACCACTGCTCTGGGGTCTCTACATCTCCTTCTGTGGGTGCTTTTTCATCACAAAGCCATGTGGGAGTTCAAGGCTGCCTGCATCTAGAAAGTCAGCCTCTTGCTTTTGGCACTGAAATCTATGCGCTGAAGTGCTCTCGGTCTGACCCATTTGAAAAGGTGATCGCGTGGTTATTTACAATGGCGCTCAATGTGGGGTTAAACCGTGGCAGTGCCCCTATCGGGTAAGTGTGACAGCCACTGGCCAGGTGTCACTTGTGGGCTGCCGGTGGGTCTCAAACTGTGGTCTTGCAGAAGGAGATATTCTGAAGAGCAACACTGGGGAGTGGGATCTGGGCAGTGGGGGTGGGGCATGGGAGGGAATGTGGATCCATTTTACAGGGAAGAAGTTGGGAACCCTCTGGACTAGTTGAAGGATCTGACTGGCTGTTCCTTGTGTTTTGGTGGTGATCTGTGTGCAAACTGCCCCCATTGAGCACTTCCGCGTCACCACCTCACTCCCATTGATATCCCTGCAGTGTGGCTCTGTTACTAGAAGAGAGAATGACTTGGTATTAAAATACGGTCATTGACTTTTCTGCTGGGTTTTAAATTACCCTGTAGCTACCGGCTTCCCCTGTAGCCCCTGTCCCAGTAGATGCTGATGAAGCCTGGAGATTCGTCCTTAGCTTCACCGTTTAATGCCCCCATCCTCAAAGCTCGCCAGAGCCTCTGTTCTGAGAGCTGCAGGGTTTAGCGACTCCTCGCTGGTTCTCTTGTTGGGCCGGAGGGTTGGTTGTGAAGACACTCGCTCCTGCAGAGGCTGAGCAAGTTGCTTCAGTAGCCCTCAAGAGGCTGGCCGCCTGCAGAATGGTGGTGGTGGTGGTGATGAATGCTTCACCATGGGCCTTACTCATAATCCAGTCTCTTTCCCCCTCCCAGTGTTTCGCTCATGTCTTTCCATAGCAGCTAACCTGTGACTCCATTGCCTTTATATTGTTCACTTCTGCTTCTGATATTAATAATAAAATATGGGATTTTAACTCTCTGGGTTTGAGAGGGTTTATGCCTCAGTGAAAATTAAAGGGAAACATCCTGTTTGTTTAGTTTTTTGCCTTTAACAGCATCTGCTAGCCTCTGCTTAAAGCAGGCCCATGGAGCTGAAAATGACTCAGGTATATGTGTGCAGTGTTGTTGTGGCTGTGGCTGTCCCAGGATATTAGACACACAAGGTGGGTGAGGCAATGGTTTTTATTGGACCAACTTCTGTTGATGAGGGAGACAAGCTTTTGAGCTTACACAGAGCTCTTCAGGTCTAGGAAAGGTTGCAGTACATAGACACATCCATGGCTCTCCCCCGTCCCACCTCCAGGGCAGAGACTCTTTTTATTCCATTTTTGCTGTACGGATTGAGAGGTTTGTTAGATCCTCATCACCACGGTATCAGCACATTGTCACAAACTCACTGTGAGTGGGAGTGATCCTGCACCGAGGACACCCACTGGCTGTCCCCAGGAGCGTTGATGACATGTACATGCCCCGTCTAATCTGAAAGTTATTTTGATTATCGCTGTTCTAGTATCTACAAGAGACTCTAGGGTATGTATTAATGGCCTCTAATACCCTGGCTGGGCATGGAGTCACCAGCCTTTGATCTGTGCCTCACATTCCCCTGGGGTGTGGATTAATGGCTAGTTACTGCCTCCTCCAGGGATATCCTATTTGATTGAATAAAGAAGATGTCATGCTCTGTGGCTCGTTAATACTTTTGAGCCCCGTTCAAAGTCTGCTCCATCTTAACAATAAAATCAATGGGGAAAGAATTGCCCAGCGCAAGGACCCATGGCCTAAGGTTAACATTTAAAACAGCTCACTCCTCTCTTTTTAACAAGCCTTTTCTTTCATTAGTTGCTGCCAGATGGTGGGGAACAAAAAGAATAGACTATGCCCTTTACTGTCCCGATGCACTGACTGCCTTTCCGACGGTAGCCTTACCACACCTCTTCCATGCAAGCTACTGGGAATCGACAGATGTAGTCTCCTTCCTGCTGAGACAGGTACCATCAATATTTCATGCTTCTCTCTCTTCTCCCTTATGCCTAACTTTGGTTGGAAAATATTTTGGAGTCTATTTTCGCCTTGCTGCACCCTCCAGAATAACTTTTGTTGACACTAACGGGGGCTCACCGTATAAATGGAGGGAAAAAATGTACACTTCACAACTGCAGATCCATCTTCTTTCCCTTCCTATGCTGTGTCAAAGACAGCTGCATTGCAAATAATACTTACTGCTATGCACAGTCTTTTCATGGAAACCACCAAATCACACATGACTTGCTTGGTGCTGGCTTTTGTTACTGGAGCAGGTTCTTGGAGAGAGGTTCACTAATGATCTAAATCATTTGGAGTCAATCTGGGCCCATTTCATATCATAGTCTTGCAGCATTGCATGATTTTGAGGCAAAAACCAGGTGATGCTTGCCTGTTTGGATTGAACTTTGCTTTGGATTTTTACATCCTTTCAAACCTGAAGCTCAAAGGGAAGCTCTCGGTGCAAACCCTACATGGAATGAAACAGAAGGAAAAGTTTGTGCAAGTTTCAGACTTGGCTTGCTAAGTTAAAGTGTTCAATCCTCCATTTGGGCTCTCAAATTAACACTTAAACACCCTGAGGACTACGGATTTTTGCTTCAAGATCCAGAACTTGGTACCACAGTTCAAATTACTTCTCATGGGGGTAGGTAAATAACAAATGATGGTTTCGACCATCACATTTTGGATTCTTTCAGTTTAACTTTGGTGACACATTTAAATTTTGCAAAATCACATTTTTTTTCTAAAACCAGTGGGGATATTTCCCTTTAAAGCAAACAAACAAACATTGAAAATAGTTGTTTTCCCAGAAGTGCATGAAACCCAAAAATAGCAGTACTAAGACCCTGGAGGTGAAAACAACCATGAACAAAAGGGAGACACATTCTTCTTGATTGCCCTTGTCCACCTGGAGAGAAATCCAAAGAGTAAACAAGGAGCATAAATAGTTAAAGAAGAAACTTGCTAGCTTGTGACATGTGGGCCAATGTATTCAAATCAGGGGCCTAAAGTTGGGCTCCTAGATTTATGCTTAGGCAGCTAAATCAACGTAGCCTGATTTTTTAGAGACCCTGAATACCACACTCCCATTGAAGTCAGTGGGAGCTGCAAGTGCTTAACCCCTGGGAATTTTGGTTGTCTCGATATAGATTTAGAAGCCGCAACTTTAGCCCCCAGGGTTTGAAAACTCTTGCCAAGATTATTAAGTTGACAATGTACCTTTAAAGCACAGTGCATTGTCAGAGCATAACAATCCCTCGCTGCAACACAAACATTGCGATCCGCAGAGAAAAAACACACGAGCCCAAAGGGCTGCTCTAGTGACCGTATTGCCATGGCCCAACATCATTCATTTCTAAAACTCAAGCAGAGATGCTCTCTGTCGTTTTCATCACAGCGGAGAGGGGGCTGCTTCTGTGGATTGCAAGCCGCTGGCCGTGTCCTTCCAGATGCACAGTGTGCTGGAGTCTCTTCTCTCCTTCCTTTCCCTGTCCCAAGTTCTTTCCCTGATAAGGATTTGGAAACATCTTTTCATTTGGTGCCTCTTCTGTCGGGCGCTAGCGAGAGGACAGGTCACCCAGTACAAAGGGATAGTCTGGGATCATCACTCCACAGACTGTAGCTGAACTGGAGCCAGTTGTATCCGTTTTGGTTCTGCCCCCGTTTATTCTGAATGGCCAGTGGCATGGTGCTGGAGCATTCAGAGGGGATCTACCCACTTTGGTGTTGGTTGCATTAGTCCCTTTTGCCAGAAAAAATTCCAGGGGGCCCTGTCCTGAAGGATGGAGAATAATTATTTAATCCCAGTACCCTGATTTTATGCTCCAACTCCTTGTAGTCTAAACCTTTGAACTGGCTTAAGTGAAGTACTAGCATCCTCACCTGTGCAGCTACTCAGCACCGGGTAGGATCCAGCTCCTCATATTGGCCTGGGTTTGCTGTGTATTAGCTCAGCTGTTTAAATTACCCCAGCGCTGTTGCAGCATATCTGACTGCAGCTCTCCGTTATTTATAGCCCTCTATTGGCAAACTCTTTTTCATTGCTGTCGTCCAAGTTTGTCGGTAGGTTCCATAACAACGGGGATGTTAGCACTGGTGGCTGCAGTACCCCAGTATTAATCGATCTCGAACCTTTATTCCCTGCTCTGTCTCTAGTTTCCAACCCAGTGGGCCAATGTTGCACTCACATTCTATGTCTCCTGATTTTGAACAGTAGGCTCCAATGGGGAACTTCGCCTAAACGGCTGCAGGAAGGAAACGGTGTGTGTGTGTGTGTCAGAGTCTTAAGGAATCTAACACACAAAATATCCTGTTCTAGAAATAGCCCAGCCAGTTACTCAGAATGCAACGAAAACATGTTTGTGTAAGGCAGCGTGTGACTTTACATCTTGTGGCATGAAAAATATCCTTGCCATCCATTCAAAGCCCTTGGAGCTCAGCAGTGGCTGCCTCTGCAGTGCTGTTTCTCTCTCCGTTGCCCCACCTCTGCTTCTAGAGCGTTATCTTTCTCAATCCCCACCCCCTCCCTATTCTTCCAAGGCCCTGTGCCGCCTCCCCTCTTATTCAACAGCCTAGAATGCCAGCATTGGAAAGCTAATAATAGGGACATGATTTTAATCCTCATTGAAAGGCATTCTGGACAAAGTTAAAAGGAAACTATCAAGTAGATTTAGGCCCAAAACCTTAGGCTTTATTAAAACAAATAAACGCAAATATGATCAGAAATATTTTCATGATTTAAATTTCTCATCAGTGAAGGCCATTGTTTTAGTCATCCCCTTAGCTTTTCATTCCCAACAGCATTGGGGGTGGGGCAGGTGGATTAGGAGAACCAGGAGGTGAAACTGAGCAGTCTTGTTTTGCTGTGAGTGAAATGGAAAAATGAAACAAACAGTCTAAATTCTGCAAAGTAAACTGGCCTATCAGATTGCTTCAGTTTTAATCTACATGGGGCAAATGGTAACACGTGAGGGAATGTGTGAGGTTTTTAAAATATGTTTATTCACTTGACAGAGCCCCTTTCAATCTTTTCATGGCCTGGGAGAAAATTGGAAAAAAAACCATCTGATCATAGTACAATTCAAAATGCTCCGTGCAATCTCTCTGCCCAGTCCTTTTTTGTTTTCTGTGTGAGATTCCCCTCTTCTGGAACTGACCTAAGAACAGTCTAGCTGCAATGTGAACCCAGGACATAACCCCATTTCCCTCTGCCATTTGTTCCAGCCGGCAGATGTCCCTGAAGGTTGATAGTGAGCTTATCATAGGAAATGTTTGCACACTTTGCAAATCTCATTGTCAGTCCGCTCATCCCCATTCCAGTGCAGGAACATCACACTGTATGATGTGCTGGAACTTCTCCATGGACCCAGAGAGCCAGAGCCCCATTCCTCTCCTGAACTCTGGTCTCCTACATCACAGAACACTGCTGGCCCAATGCTGAACCTGGCTCAATACCTAATGTCGTCATCAAAATGAGAGGAGCACAAGAAGCAAGACAGGAGAATGCCATGTGCAATGTATTTAAATAGAAACACTAGATGACAGGCAACTGGGATTGACTCCAGCCCAATCAGGAAGCCTCCTGGGATCTTAGCCCTCGTAGGGTCCAGCTTGCGCAGACCCGTTAAGGGCAGACTCAGTAGGACTGGAGGGAATGATGAGAATACTTCTGAAGAACAAGCCTGAGGAAATGACACATGCAGACAAGCGAGCACAGTTGGAACAGATAGAGATGGACCTGAATTACTGAAATGGCAAGCAAATGATGACTGGAAATGCGTATGTGACTTGAGGACCTGGCAAGAAGGCAGGCGAGGCTGGAGCATAGTCAGGCGAGATGGTGGCTGCAAACTGTAGGATTCCCTACAGAAGAGGCAGTTTTCTATAAGTACCTGAGTGCCAAAGTTCTTCCCCTGCAGTGTTTGCTGAATGAGCATTTTCCAAGGGCAGCTTTTTGGACATGGTCTCAAGGAAGTAGCAGGGTCTGGGGTGCCACAACCTCTCAGTTTGTGTTAATTGAACATCTGGGACAAAATCCATCCCTGGTATAAGCCCAGCGAAGCCAAGAGAGTTACACTAGCAGCCTAGCAGTTATGTATCTGTGATCAGCATCTGTGCTTCGTTGCCTTTGCTCCATCTTGTACTCAGCTTGTTAAACTCCCCTATAGTTCTTTCTGTTCCTTAACTCTTCCCAGACTCAGTCCACTGTCTCTTCAGCCTTTTCTAGCTTCCCTCGGCTTCTTTTTCATCTCTCTCTCGTTCTAGTCCTAACCATGCTTCACCAATAAACCCTTTCACACTTGCCCTCCTATGTGCCTACTTATCATCTCAGTCTAAGGTTCCCTTTTATAGCTTCAACCCACTTGTTAATAACTCAGCTCTGGCAACAACCTTTCCTGGCTCTAAAGATCACTAACATCATACAGTTATGGGAGGGCCAGAAAAATCTTGTAGGCTAACAATGCAAATTTCCTGCAAGCAAAATTCTATAAAGCCACCTGCCCAGCAAATGCTGCGATTCCATCACATGCTTTGCAAACGCAGCAGAGAGGAATAAATACTAAAGCTGCAGCGGGTGCATTCACTATGAAATTCCTGCAGCTCTTGGGTTTTAGCCCAGGTGCGTCATGAGTTGCTGATGGGGGCTGCTCTTTCCTTAGGTGATGAGACACGAAAACTCCAGCATTCTGGAACTGGATGGAAAGGAGGTCTCTGTATTCACTCCTTCAAAGCCCAGGGAGAAGTGGCTGCGCAAGAGGACACATGTCAAGCTAAGGGTAATAGGGTTTCTATTACGTCTCCCCAAGGGAAACTACTGTTAAACATGATTTGGTTGGATTTGGGCCTGTAATAAGAACAGTTTTAAAGTTAATCAATATGGGTACAACTCTGTTACTGCCCATGGACTGCACAATTACACGGGGCTGGAGAGGTTGCATTGCAGTAATCGGATGTGTCAGTGAGATATCCCAGTTATAGATTTCTGGAAGAGAGAGACACTCTCTACCACAAGGTCTCCTCCATATAAAATACTGAGTGTTGGTTATAGGTCAAGAAAGGAGACGGAATTGTTTCAAAGTCTGGTGTCCTGAATTGTCTGTACAGTAACTGTCATTCCCTGGAGTTCCTGAATCCAGAGGATGAGAAGCTTTTCTGATTCCATGAGCGGGAAGTTTGTTTAGCCAGTAATAATGTCAGCAGACTCCCGATAACAGTCATTTTGCCTCCTGATTTGAAGGTGCAACATACAGAATTTTGCACCACAAGGGATCGGATTTTCAAGGTGTTCTGTGTCCCTGACTATACAGTATTTGTGCCTGAAGGATCCGGAGTAGTATTACTAGCCAGTGATAGTATCATTGTGTGAGATCATGGCATATGCATGTATAAAGGTCCAGAAAGGACAACCGTCATTTTTGCAGACTCAAATTTTGCCTGTTAGGAGTGGCAGCAGGGAAACCAAGTTAGAGGCCCCTTCTCAAATAATAAGCAGGATCAATTAACTGTAGGTGCAAATTCTATCATTTACATGACTAGGTAATTAACTGCACCCAGACATCAGCTCCTTGGCCAAATACATTAGGATCCACACCCACAATTGATGGTGGGTGCAAATCATGTGGCCATAAATTACTATAGCTAAAACGGAGACCAAGTGCAGAAGGCCCTTTAAAAGTCTTGTCCTAAATGTACAATACTTTTTTTTCCTTAAAAATGTGTGTTGTTTAATATAGATATATAATAGTGTAGGGGGACAGAGGATGTCACAAGAAGAAAATTACTCCTCCAAAAACTCCTGGTTGTCCATGTGTTTGGCATTATTATCACTATAGCAACTTTGCATTAGCCATGAGGTTCTGCTGGGAATCTAACTAGGTTTATTCTGTTTTTCCCTTGACGTCTGCAGAATGTCACAGCCAACCACAGAATCAATGATGCCATCGCTAATGAAGACGGACCCCAGACCTTAACAGGAAGGTTTATGTATGGGCCGTTAGACATGGTCACACTCACTGGGGAAAAGGTACATTTGCCTTAGGTGTGCATTGCCCATAAATAGCAAAAGACATAGGCAGTAGTAGTTGCTGGCCAATATTCCTTTTGTATCTGTAAACATTAAAAGAGAGAACTGTCCAGTTACCTGCACAATCAAGCACCTTTTCCTGTGTCCACTAAGAGCCCCCTTTGCCCAGCCTATCTATTGCATTACACTAGAGAGAGATTTGAGGATGCCATGTTCAGACCCAGGTTAGGATCCTGTCTAGTATCAGTTATTTAATACTTCCTTAGTCCTGAACCTCCTTTGCCTCCCAGGTGGACATTCACATCATGACCCAGCCGCCATCTGGAGAGTGGATTTACTTTGACACCGAAATCAGCAACAGCAGTGGCCGGATTTCCTACGTTATCCCTGAGAACAAGCGGCTGGGGATTGGCGTATATCCCATCAAGATGGTGGTCAGGTGCTGAGCTTTAAGCTCATTTGGCTTAGCCCCCAGTTTGACAGGACCCTCTGAAAAAGACTGTAGACACTTCTCCGTTATTCTGATTGCATGATAGAAAATCATAGAAAATAAATGTTAACTAGTCAAGTGCAATTCTACCTGAAAAGTGACTGTGTTTAAAAAGTGGCATGTTCTTATCAAACGCTCTTCTCCCTATTGTATCATCAGAGTCTGATCTGCTGACTTGATGGACAAAACAATTTTACTCTTGTTACCCTGCAGCACCAGTGATGGGACAAAGAGCTGTATTCTGTTCTGCCTCCTGCATCATCAACAGCATTGTTAACTGAGTTCCAATTGCTGGGCCAGACTTTTCCTCCTTTTCCAGATGTGCAACTTCATTGTCTTCAGTGGAACTGCACAGCTGAGCGCACCTTGAAGACTGTAAACTTGCACTTGCCCAGGTTCCCCTTAGGGCAGAGCCTTTGTTATTAGTGATGATGCACAATGCAGAAAGTCTCTAGCTTGACTTTTGGCTTTCAGAGCAGGCAGCGCCAAAAAGCATCTTGTCATTGGTGAACTGAACAAATCTGCTCTAGAGGCATTGAAACATACTGAAGCTGGAGCCCCCCACAACGCTAGTCCAAGTCACTGTAATTATATTCATCTAACATATAGGCATTTTCTGTGGGGCTTCTCGCTGTAGTATCATTTATGACTTTGCGGCAGATTTTTAAAGATATTTAATAGACACCTGGTGGGATTTTCATAAGTACCCAACTACCATTGAGGAAAGGCCCTGCACTGCCTCTCAGTGGGGGTTAGGTGCTTTTGAAACTCCCACTCGGCAGCTATCTTCAAATTTAGGTGCCTAAATACCTTTAAAAATCTGTCCCTTTATCCTTGCAATAACACTGCCAGGTAGGAAATCATTAGCATCATCCATTTGACACATGGGTAACTGAGGCACAGAAAGATGATTTGCCAAGTCAGGAACAGAAGCCATATCTCCTGAGTCTTATTCCAGTGCCTTACCCACAAGACCTTCCTTCCTCTCTGAGTACATACCTATCAGATCAGTGGATAGTCTTCTCTACCACTTGTGCTGAGATACAGACACAACAGGCCATATCTGCAGCTGGTATAAATCGGAGTAACTCTGAAATCAGTGGATCTGTGTTGATTTACATCAGCTGAGACGATCTAACCCTTAAGACACAGCAGGGGGTGTAGGGCCTTAGCAGAATTGTGTGTGTGAAGTGATGGCAGGATCTGGCCCTTAATTTTCTGCATTCCCTGGTCGTTTACTGTATGCTTGCTGAATTGGTATTGCAAATGGGCCTTGTAGCTTTAATCTCTCAGCCAGGTTTGTCCACTGTTTTTAACCCCCTATTCCTTTCCTTGTAGGGGTGACCACACATATGCAGATAGCTATATCACCGTTCTACCTAAGGGGACGGAATTTGTGGTCTTCAGCATTGATGGTTCCTTTGCAGCCAGCGTGTCTATAATGGGTAGTGACCCCAAAGTCAGAGCTGGCGCAGTTGATGTTGTAAGGTCAGTGGCAGGGGGAGGGCTGGGGGAAATGCTTTCGTATTAAATGAATATTTTAACCCTACCTCAAATATAGGTCCATAATACGCTGTTGTTTTTTTCCCCACCAGGCACTGGCAAGACCTTGGCTACCTCATTATCTATGTCACAGGCCGACCTGATATGCAGAAGCAAAGGGTGGTGGCATGGTTAGCACAGCACAATTTCCCCCATGGGATAGTCTCATTCTGTGATGGGCTTGTCCATGACCCACTGCGGCACAAGGCCAACTTCCTGAAAACCCTCATTACAGACGTAAGCATGGGCTGTACTGAGATGTGAGCAAAGCGAGGGTTCATCCACTTGACCCGGCTTAGTCAAGTCCTGCCCTGCAGTGGGAGATTAACCTGCATTCATTTTATTTTTAGCCACCCCACCCCCTTTTTTTTAATTTTCTAACTCCACAAAGGTGTCTGTGCAGTTAAAATATGTTTGCTCCATTCTGCGCTGTGCTGCAATCCTTGCTGCTTCCATTACTAAATGCCTGTTGCCCTAGAGGGAATCATGATTACTGTGCTTTCTCCCCACCTGCTTAGTTCATTTCTGGATGCCTGTCATATCTGCAGATAAAGGGATGCCTTATAGATAGAGGGCTGTCAAAGAGATTGTGACCTGCAGCCAACCAAAACCCAGAATTCAAGCCTGTCTCCATGTTGGGCCGAATCCAAATACCCCATTATCTGGGAAAATTTGGACTGGAATCTCCATGTTTGTGAACATTAAGATCTGGGGCTTGGGTGAGGTCCATTATATAGATGCCAAGTTCTGATCCAAAGTTCCAGTTCAGGGGCTTGGGGTGGACTCATCTCTACTTGGAGAGTTGGGCCGGATTAGCACTTGGATGAGAGACCTTTAAGGAACATCCAGGCAGGATTGATGGTGGGGGATCTAATGAATGAATGCCCTCTCATGGTGCTGAGGGTGCATACCATCCTTTAGATGAAACAAAACCAATGTGCTCATTAGAAATCCCTTGGCGCTTTTTGCAGGAGAAGGCTTGTTCACCTTGTTGTCATGGCCAAATGCCAGTTGAGATAGTTAATTCCTCCTGTAGTTGAATGTTAGTGAAGTCCTTTGAGATCCTTGGATGCAGGATTCTATAGAAGTGCCATATAATTTCCTTTATCTTTTGAAGACTGGCCTGCCCTGGCAGTGCTTTGCAGGGCTTAAGAAGACCTCCAGGTCTCCATCTCTCACTGCTTTGGGTTGGTGAGAATTGGAATAGTTTAGGGTGATGCATGTAGTGATGGGAAGAAAGTGCTGGTTCAGGTGATAGCAGAGCAGCTAGAGAGGGGCTTTGACAGATCAGTGAATGTCACAAGAGATGGCAGGACTTCAATCCATCCCTTGCTAAGACGTTAATGTTGTCAGGCATATCAGAACATGTGAGTTTGCCCGGCAGCAGCCAACTGATGATGATATGGCACTGCTACAGCGCCTTCCCTTGGAGGATCTCAAAGCACTTTATTGCTATCTATCACCCATCCTTCACAACACCTCTGATGTAGGTAAATATTATCCCCCTTTTACAGAGAGAGAATCTGAGACACAGAGCTGAGTTGCCCATCACAGAGAGGATCATCTGAAAAGCCAGGCTTAGAACCCAGGAGTCCTAGTTTTCTGCTCTAACCATGAGATCACTTTGCCTCTCTCCAGCAAAGGCTGTGCATACTCTTTGTAGCAGGTGCACAACCAAGGAAGTAAATAGGAGTTAACTGCTTGGTTTGTACTCCCTATTCTGCAAGGCCCAGAGTATCCACAACCCCATTCAAATGTTCCCCTCACAAGATCTGGCTCTCACTCAGCATGGAAATTAACCAGCAACTTTTATAGAGGCTGTTGGTGCCAAGGAGACCAGACAGTGTAATAAATGTGAAAGCAATAGAAAGGCACCAACTTTACTGCATGCAGTTAAACCCAGTCAATCCAAAAGGTTGTTAGAGAGAGTGGAGAATGAAGTACAAAATAAAACCTACTGCACAGACTCTGTTTTTAAAGACTAGCACAGTGTACTCTTCGCCTGTGGGGACCCCCCAAGGTCATACTGCATACATTACCTGAGGGGAGAGAGAGCAGAAAAGGGCAACAAGAATGATCAGCAAGCTGGAGGAAAGATCACAAGAGCATATACTGTATCTGCAGTTTGGGTATAGGATGACTCAGAATGGGACATGCTAAATGTCTACTGCATGAGGAGGGTGTAAATTGCAAAGAGGGAAAGGAGTTATTTAGGGCTGTAACTGGGAGGAGTGGCTTCAAAGAATTAAGAAAGCCAACATTTATGCTGAATACCAGAAAAACTTCCTGGCCATGAGATCTACTTGTTGTAGGAACAGTGTCCGGGGGGAAGTGGTGGAAGCTTTTTAGCTTGTGACATTTAAAACTGGACTGGGCTGAATACTAGAAAATATGTTGAGGGGACTGATTCTACACTGGCCTCTGGGATTGGAGCAAATGTCACTGTCAGGGCTTTTCAAGCTCTGATAGCAATGTGACTGCGAAGTGCAGTCTTTGGACAGATTTCCATAATGTCATATTTCAGCCTGGTAACTGATGGGCTTTTATCATGTCTCAGACCTAGGTTGTTCGAATTTCCCCTTTATTTCAGTGATAAATCAGGGCTACTTAATGGGGCCACCTTGGTGATCCCAAAGTTATCTAGCCCACTGGATCACATATGCCATTGTCAAGCATAGTGAGCTCAGTGGTTTGAGCATTGGCCTGCTACACCCAAGGCTGTGAGTTCAATCCTTGAGGGGGGCCACTTAGGGAACTGGGGCAAAATCAGTACTTGGTCCTGCTAGTGAAGGCAGGGGGCTGGACTTGATGACCTTTCAGGGTCCCTTCCAGTTCTAGGAGATAGGATATCTCCATATATTATTATTATTATTATTATATAATGTCCATTATTCTAGGGCCACTGTGCCTTATTCTCCCACCACCTTGACAAAATGAAAGCCCATCATTAAATACTGAACACAATGACTGTTGGAATCAGCCTGTAACTTGAAATCTAAGTCGAAAATGTCAAGAGTGAGCTGTCTTTGGAACCCCCTTGTTACAGAAGATGCTATATTATTATCCCTTGTTGGAAATCTACCTTTCCAGAGAGCACTAAGGGTCACAGATTTGCTACAGTGGGTCTTTGGCCAGCTTGCAGCTCTGCAGGCAGAACCAGATGGGTCCATGCAGGATAAGCACCTCCTCCTGCAGAGCCCCACCTCCACAGCTGCAAAATGATCTTCTCAAATGTCTGGCTAAATGGTAAATGAAATCTTCTGCTCTGTGGGAACAGAGCAGTAACTACTTATGGGTAGAAAAATCCAGTGCATCATGCAAGGTGATATGCATAGTTGTCTGTCTAAACCGCCTCAAAATCCAACAAAATTAGAGATGCAGTCTGGCTAACCCAGCCTCCAAGCCAGTGTTGCATGCGGCGGTCTCTCAGTGGAAGGGAATTCTTCATGTAAATAGCAACAGAGAGTCCTGTGGCACCTTATAGACTAACAGATGTATTGGAGCATAAGCTTTCGTGGGTGAATGCCCACTTCGTCAGATGCATGTAAATAGTTACTGAATATAATTGAAAAATGCTCCCTCCCTGGCTACAGTGTGTATAAAAATCCTTGGAACAGAGCTGTGGAGCCTGGCACACAAAGAAAGGACATTAGGTAAACATAGCTACATTCCGAGTGTAGTTCCTAACTTCATTCTGCCCTTGTATTCTGTAGTACAGCTAGAACAGTAATCAGCCTATAGTACAAACTCTCAGCACTGCTGTTGGTTAATTAGTACATAATTCTGCAGAGCACTGTCCAGGTGGGACTTGCAGTGCCCTCTTGACTGGATATTCCTACAATCGCTGTGTCTGAGCAGTGTCCTAGCATAAACTTGTTCCCTCTTCCCACAGCTCCACATGAGGATCCACGCCGCATACGGATCCACTAAGGATATTTCGGTGTACAGCGCCATTAGTTTGCCACCCACGCACATCTATATCGTTGGCCGACCAACCAAGAAATTACAGCACCAGTGTCAGGTAGGAATCCAGGTTATTTCGTCTGTAGAACACTAAAGTGGCTGATGCTGCCCCTACTAGAGTCAGTGGGAGTTTAGACACCCGATAGATCGATTACTACCCGCCGATTTGGCGGGTAATCTGGACGTACCCACTAACTTCACCAGAAGCAAGATCAGACTGTTTTGTAAAGAGGAAGTTCCCACACACCAGGATCCCTCCGCATCTCCCTGAGAGGTGTGAGGGTTCCTTGCTTTATGCATCACCACTATGGAAATAATGGAGTGAAAATATCAGTTGCTGTTCCACTGCATTGTGTTTTGTAGTGTTATATAATTAGATTTTTTTTTTTAATGAAGTCGTGTCCACTTAAAAATCCCCCTTTTGTCTGAACTTGTCCCTGCTGTTATGTAGGCTGAGTAAAGCAGAAGATCAGAACGGGGCAGTTCTCTGTAGAGCTAGTTTCCTTTGTGCATGTGACAGCACCATATGTCCCTGTCGGTTGCCTCCTCAGTCAGTTCCCTCTGCTGTTTTTGTGGGATTTCCACAAAGCAACAGGGGAAAGAAACATTTAAGAAAGTGATTGTCAAACCGCAATTGGCAGAGGGACTTGAAGGCAGATGTGGGATCTGAACCGACTGTGACTCCATTTTTTTTTTTGAAAGTTGCTTGATTTCAAGTTGACTGTGTCCTGTAAACCCCCTGACCTATTGTTTCACAGTTCATTACTGAGGGGTACGCAGCCCACCTTGCCCAGCTGGAGTATAACCATCGCTCCCGGCCTGCTAAAAACACGACCCGGATGGCACTGAGAAAAGGCAGCTTTGGTCTCCCCAGCCAGCCAGATTTCCTGCGCAAGAGGAACCATTTGCTACGTACCATCTCCTCACAGCCCCCGGGGACGACCGGGAATGCCAGCCACAGACCTGAACGAACGCAGAGCCAGTCAGACAGCGATAGGGAGAGAGAGCGGGAGCGTAGCCAAAGAAGCATGAGCATTGCCACTGGGTGCTGGGGCCGGAGCGCAGCCTCAAAACTGGAATCTGGCACTTTAGGTCAGAAGTAGAGCCAGCCAGGAGCCAGTGACAGTCGGCCACAGCCACCAGAGGAGAAACAGAAGGAATAAAGGACAAGGCCAGCAGTGTGAGATGGAAGGGTAAATATGGTGCTACTCTCTAACAACAACATGGTATGCTAGGAGGAAAGGCTGGTGTATTTTCCACATGGAATGTGCAGGCCTTAAAATGGCGTGTTGGGTTTGCAGAGCACTAGCCTGAAAAACCATTTGAAATTAGGGAACCAAGGGGGAAAACACAGTTTCCAGATCAAGACTATGCTCTCTTCTGCCTCCTTTTCTTATCCAGGTTTAGTGACTGTAAATATGTGCCTCCCTCACCTTCTTAGCCATCAATCAGATACACGTGACTGAGTGTGATCCTCAGTGCCATGGGGTGGAAGGAGAAGAAGTCTGGTTAGACCTTTCACTTGGGTTGTTCCATTAGCCAGACTGAAAGAGGCTGCTGGATACCAGTACTTTTTTGTGTGTTTTTAAACTAAGTATGTCATTTCCAAGGTGCAGAGAGGCTGAAACGAGAGGCTTCTTCTGCACTGGGTGAAGCAATCAAGTGTTTTACATGTACAGAGAGCTTAGAATTTATCCACTTTGTACCCAGGAGGATGTATATCAGCAAGGCATTAACGAAGTGTCAACTGCTGTTGGTAGGAGCCGTATGTCAGCAGATTGATGCTCTAGAAAGTGGGGTCATTAGTTTTTTGTTTGTGTTTTAAACATTTTGAAAGGTGATGGAATTTAATGCATTAAGCTATTAAAAAAAACAAGGAGTTTTGTTTTAGCTGTTAAAAACATCAGCCACTTACTTTACTGTATAGTTCTCCAAGTATTACTGCTGTATATTATTTCAGAAACTAACCACCATATATTTGCAGTGTCTGAAAGTACTCAACAGCTAGATTACACTGCATTTCCTGTCATCAAAATGCAGAGTCCAAATATTTCACCACTATCCCCAACTCAGAGACATTTCTTCTTCCCAGGTTCTCTCCGATATCAGTAACAGCTTTCACGGGAATTAGACTTGCTTCTTTTAACTGTAGTTATTCAACTGTAAAACCTCATTGTTTTTGCACTGATAATTTTTAGAATGGAGACCTGTTACCATCTCATGTAGCTACACCTAATTGTTTGTAGTGCATGACAATTAAATATTACTAAGCCAGGGTGTGTGTATATATATACATATATATTATATATATATAAATTTGTGTAGAAGTTTTTCCACCAATAAGGAGATTGTAAGGAAGTGTGCCAACTAAGTTGCACAAGCTTAAGAAAAGGCCATATCTTAATTTTCCTAGCCTCTCTTTCAGTGGATGTGGCTGAGCTGATGGTTTGGTGCGCTGCCATGACTTGAATCTCTCTCTTGCACTGAGCATGCCAGGGTCTGGGAGCACTGCAGAGGTGACATTTCCAGTCTGCAGGACAATGTGCTGGGCTGCTTGCTAGCACCCCCTACCGACCACTGCAGAAGAGGAGATTGTCAGCCACAAGGTATTCAAAGGTGAAGGACATAATTTAAGGAGGAGCAGAGAGAACAGTGCCTAGAACAGAGGGGTTGCCTGAAAGCCCTGCCCCCTCCCAGGTCAAACTAGCCAGGATTTCTGAATTTCCAGCCTCGGTGAAGGGTGCAGCTTCCTTCTTGCACACACCAACTGGGGTATGGGAAATATCCACACTGGGATATTTGGGGCTCCCACCTGCCTATTTCACATGAAGATTTTATATTCATAGCACATTATCCTGCTCTCCTCCACCACAATATACTATGTTTATATCACTTTCTACTTACAAGGATCTTATTTATAACAGATTTTTTAGACTGTCTGCTTCATTTTATTAACTGTTTCAGTACTAAGTGCAGCACTTCTGCACCGAGACACACAGCACTGTGAACACTGCTCTGCTAACTGGCTCAGAGCTGCAGTAGGCAGACATAACTCATCCAGGCATCAAAAATCTTATTTCAGGACTACTGCTTAAACCTCAAGTTTCAAAACTAATTTAGAATGTGTGCTCTATCCCTACAGTGATATAAAGAGGACAGTGTTTAACTACTGAGAATGTCCAGGTTGATGGAGCTTTAACAGATCCACCCACTAACAGTGCATCTCACTTACTCTTAGCCTCATTGCAAACTACTACGCCATTCATCTTTGATAATTATCATATTACAGAACATACCTACAGATTTTTACTACTGAAAAAATTACTTCCCTTTCTGCTGACTCAGCCTAGTTACCTTGAATGTATATCCAAAGCTACTGGGTAAAAATGTGAATTGTGTCATAGCTTTTTGCTAGTTGAATATTGTACCAAACTGTTGCCATCTGACTTAGAAGCAAGTTGCAGTCCATTCTGTAAAGTAACCAAACCATGATCACAAAGCGTATTTGCAAATTTGGATATGGCCTTTACAAAGTTCAGTCTTACTCTGAAAGAAGAGTCCACAAACCAAGGCATGATATGTACATTTTTTTTCAAAATGCAGATGAGATGTTAACATTTTCTTGTGTGTAGATAGTGTAAAACTGAGGATAATGTAAATGTTAAAACAAAAGTGGGTATATACAAAGTGAAAGTTATTTATTTTATGTAGAGAAAAAGTGTCTGGAGGGAACAGAACCTTCAGAGATTAATTAATATTAAAATGTAGCTTTTTTGTTTCAGGCATTATGTACAAAGCAATTATTTTATGGACCAAGTTTAATGTAATTGTCAATGACCGCAGAAGTGCAATATTATAATCACCTCTCCATCACTCCATATTTTAAACCAATAATAATCAGTGAGACTGACAATCATAGCACCTGTGTTCTGACCCTTTGTTACGCTTCTTGGATTTTCCAACTTCTCCCCCATCTGTTTCCATTGTAAGAATCCATACAGAGAAAACAATGGTAGTGCAGAATCTTTGTTCATCACTGCAATAATAGCCGATGATGTGGCCATGTATTAACATGAAATATGTGGATAGTTTTTTTCACCCATACAAGTACACTGTAGTTCCCCATGAATCTATTGTCTCATACATCCCTGTCTTCTTATTGTCTGTCTGAAGCGAAGATCAGTATATTACTCTGTCATTCTAAGAACAATAGCAATAGTTTAACTTTGTGTTTATAAACTGCTCTGAAATGTTCTAGGGAGTGGTGCATTTGAAACAAAATCTCTTTCCAAATGCACAAAAGAGGCTCCATTGGGATACAGTTGGGGAAAGCTGAATGTATTTTCCATTCTTATTAAAGGGGCACTGTCAGGTTAAAGACCTTATTTACCTTTGTTACAAATAACAGTTCTGAGTTGTTTAAAACAGAAGGAATATTAAAAGTTTGTTATACTTTTCACTGTTATGCTGGTTAGTTCCTTTTTGCATTCATCAGCTTGGCCAAGGAAAACAGACCAGTTGGTTCTGGTAACTATCACTTCCTGGTTCTCATGCACTCAGCACAAAGCCGCAATGTTTATATTGCAAGCACCGGACAGAGAGATTTATTTATTGGGTTTTAAAAAACAACATCTGTTTCCACTGGAATTAAACATTCGTGGAAACATTTCTGTGGATCTGATTTTTTTCCTAAAAAGCAGCTTTTCTGTAATCTGAACGTTGGGACAGAAACCTGACACCGTCCCTTTCCATTCTTTTTTTTTTTTAATCCAAACTGTCACTTTAATTCCTTATTTTCTTCTTTTGATAAATTATTAAAAAGGCAAAATTTTAATACCAAAAAAAAAAAGTGTGTCTAGTGTTAGAAGATGCGTGAAATGAAAACCAATAGCTAACCAAAGGGTTACTAACAAACTGCTCTTCCCACAAGCAACCTGCACTTCTTGTAGTAGCCTCTGCTCTTCAGGTACCTTCACCTTTGCTGCGTTTTCCTATTAGTTCTAGAAGCCTTACATTTTTCTCCCTCTCCTTGTATGAAAACCCTGGATATTGATATCCTTGACTGTCAATTTTATATTCAATAATGTTCTATTTTATTTATAAAAAAATCTTTTAGGGATACAGATGGGGGGGGAAACTACATCATCGCTTAACTTGACAGACACACCTGCACCCCACCAGGGAATGAGAGTTAGACCCGAGTCTGCCGCTTCCTGGTTTTCCTTTTGTGTATTATGTTGTGTGTGTAAAATACTGTTAAGATCTATTTGCTTGTATGTAACAAACCATAACTACTGTACAACGTCCTTCTCCTCCTTGCTGTTAGTGCACTGTTCTAATGCCTGGGTGTGCTTTGTGTACAGTATCTTTGTACATTACACAGATTAAAGAAACGGGAAGGCTACTTTCTGTGTCTGCTTCCTTTGGTGACTTACAAACTGACAGTTAATGCATCACAAAAGCTAGGAATTGGGAACTGAAAATGATCCGGTTTAATGAAAGTGTCCAATGGGATTAGATGCCAAAGAAAAAGATGGCAAAGATGTAAACTGCTGAGCAGAAAAATACAGGGGCTGCAAACATTGACACGAGGCAAATGGAAAAGAGAGAGACAATTACAAGCACTCTGTGCTCTGAATTGCAGAAGATGTTCTACAGCTAGTGTGTGAGTGAAATGATGGGACACAGTAAGTGAATCAACGACAGCAGAGCGTGAGAGTGGAGAACAGGGAGACACCCACCAGCATGTGGGTGCTTCACTTTGAACTGGCTGCCAGTAAATGCAGCTGGGGAAATGCACTATCCGTAAAGCCTAAGTCTAACTAGCTCAGGGGCCGTCTCTCATTCCCGCACATCGCCTGCTGTCAGCGCTGCTGCCTCACCCTGACCCTTCCAAAGGGGGAGGCTCAAGAGAGCTGCACCCTCTGCTGTTCAGTACAGGCAGAGATTCGCCTGGCTCAGCCCCACTTAGACACCTACCTGTTTGTCCAGGGCTTGTCCCCCTCTCATCCTGGCTGCTGTCAGTGTCCTCCTTGTTAAACGTATGGTCCCAGGGAGGTTTGTGCCATAACTAGCTCCTTTATAAAAGGGAAGTGTGTTAGGCACATGGGTCAGATGGAGCCAACACCCAGCTACTAGAGGAGGAGGCCTGCATTAAAGGGGAATGGAAGATGCATTGATAAACCTGCCAGCAGACTAGGTGAATCCTTATATATGTGATCAGCCTCCCACAGTCAAACACCTCCAATCCTTCTATGAGGCTAGAAAAGTGGCGCACGAAAACTAGTTCAAACCATACAGAAGGACAATTTTTTTTAAACAGGCAGTGATTTTACAGTTCAGAACAAGACTTTCCACCAACAGGCATCAGACCCAAGTGACTGAAGAAGTCTGTGGTGGGATCCGTTCAATAGAGTGGAGTAAAGGGACCAAGGAAACTAAGAAGTCACCAAGGTAAGCAGGTAAAACAGGCGTCTCTAGGGGGAGTCAGTGTGGTACTGACGGCACTTTGGGCTTTCTAGGTCTTGCACTTCACTAGCTGTAGCTGCTCAGCTGCAGTAGCATAAGGTCAAAACTCTGACCTATTCTGCTTTCCTTAGCAAGCCACTGGGTGCCGAGGATGGGGCAAGCATTCATTGTAAAGCTTCGGGTATTAGCCCAAACACACACACACAAAGATCTTGCCTGTCCCCTTGCGACAGATTGGTTTGTATAATTGTCGTCCATTCACACTGGCACATAAAAGAATAACTTGGGCTGCTGGATTGATTTAACCAGTTTATTTTTTACAAGTTTTCAGATTCACCAAGTTGGGGGTGGGGGCAGGGAATCAGAAGACAGAGTTTTCCTGGGCTCCTCTGCTTCTGAAAGGCCAATTTCGCGAACAAACCAAAACTGCCCCTTGCACCTTCGTAGGGTGGCAAGAGACAAAGAGCAAGGAAGGGGCATCGCTTTGGTGCAGGGACATGAGCAAGGCTGAGCAAACCCCTGCCCATTACACTTCACCCACTGGCAGGTACAGCAGCTGAGCTCCCAGTGCAGCCTGCCATCAAGGGAGCCAGTGCTAATTAGCTTGAATCTGTACCATGCCAAGTGCCTTCACCTCTCATTGGCTCAGTGAGAGAAGGCACCTTGCAGGATATGGACCTAATGTTGCAGCCTGCACAAAGCTGGGGCAATGTATGAATGTGTCTCTGTACAGCTAAGGGCTAGTAAAGGGACCCCTGTGTAACCGGGCAATCCAACCAAACACAGGGCAAATATTAATTCAAAGAGCAGGCACATAGCAACCACTTGTGAAAAATGATTCAAAGCGGCCTCATTTCAGGGGATCACTGTGGCAGTCACCCCAGTATCAGCGGGGTTATGGCCGCCTGGTACCGGGTATTTGCCTTAGAGCTTGGAATATGAATCACCATCAAGGAAGTGTATTAAAGATAACATGGTGTTAACTGGGTCAGTTTGTCTCCCCCGGGGACTCAGCATTGTTGTGCTGATGGCACCCATGAGCTCCCTGGTGGGATTCTCACTGCCTGAGAATCATTTGCTTAATCACTGAGCAGCAGTGGGTTGAGCCTCAGAAAGTGACCAAGTTGAGAGCAATGTTGGTCAGGTCTTAAGGACTTTGCATGGACTGGCAGGAGAGAAGCCATGGCCATCAAAGTCACTCCCTCCTCCAGGCACTAGATGGACCCAGCAGAACAGGACATGTCCAAAGGGCAAAGATCCTGCTGTGTCACACACACATCTCGTCAGTGCAAGGAGAATGGGGAGCTTCTGCTTTGGCAGATTAGTGTCTCAGCGAACAGAACAAGAAAACCACCTTTCCTGATGTACTTGACATCTGGACTGTTACTGAAGCATCCCTGTCCTCATCTGGAAGGCCAGGCCGTCTCCTCGGGTGGCTTGCTGTGAAGGAACAGACAAACAGGCACTTATAGGCCAGTCTTCCCAAAGAATCATGCTTGGTGCTTCCATACCACCTACCTGCGAGAGGCTGAAAGGCCTCTGCCAATGTGAGTGATCAAACCCACTTCCACCCTGGCTAGGTAGGATTTATTATCCCAGTTTTACAGGTAGGAAAAGCCAAGAGAGGGGCTGCAATTTCCCCAAGGCCACGCAGCGAGTCAGCAGAATTCAGCTCTCCTGCCCCCCAGGCCTGTGTTCTAGCCACTAGCCCATGTTTTCTGCTTTACAACCCAGCTTAGGGCCTTGCTGGCTCCAGAATGTGTCTTCAGTACAAAGGCCGTCTACCTTGTTAGTCTCTTTGTGTCTTTCTTTGGTGACAATTTCTTCTAGTACTTCTCCATCTCCCTTAATAAGCCTGTAACAGAAGCACATCAACACAACCAGTAAAGTCTATCAGCCATCCAGTTACCAGCTGTTAGCAACACATTGCTTTGTTTCCCCAGCAGCAGAAGGCAACATTCAATGAGGGTTCTGTCCCCACTGGAGGAGTGACTAGATCACCTCCCTCATGCGCCCACACGGCTAATGTTTCATGCGGAGGGAGACAGTATTTTGCATCGGAAGACGTCCAACAAGCTGGACTTGTTGAGGGGTAACACCAGCAGCACCTTCTGTATGAGCATGTGCTCTAGAACAGAGTCAAGGGCCTCTGCCACCACAGGCTGGCTGCAGCCCGGTGTCCCACACAATCTCTGGGAGGGTGGCAGCTTTGCAGTGGCAAAAAGGCTCATCACATGCTGGGGCTTGGGCCAGGTGCTGCTCTGACAATCTGGGTCAACTCCACTGACGGGAGTAACGCTGTCGACTCTGTTTTAAAGATGAGGGCAGCTCCACTATAGAACACCAGGAGTCGGGCTTTAGCCAACCCTCAATTAAATGGCCTTTGCAGCGTTTTCCATTCTGCTGCCTGCAGGATTAAAACCAACAAGGTCTTGCTTCAATACACTTCTTCGAAAGATGCCGTGTACTGAACGTATTGGGAACAAGCTTCCTCTCCCAGCATTCCCATGAGGTAGGATCTGCCGTGCTTTAGGCAATCCCCAGCCCCACACTGAGCATTCCCTAGAGATCAGGCATGTTGCAAATCAAGCCTAGCAGGCTAGTGTGCTGCAGGGAAGACACGTGCTAAGGAAAAAGGATCAACTCGGCGTGTGGATTTTCTCGGCAATGGGAAACTGGGTTGGTTGTTCCCACTCAAATGTAACATGTGCAGACAGCTTCCTTTATGATTGAGGAGGGGCAATGCAGAGGTTTAAGTCCAGTCCCTAGTTGCACATAAGTTGCTGGATTATCTAGTAATCAGACAAGCATTTGACCTTTGGTAATAGAACTGGAAAGGACCCAGTGGGGCGAGGGAAGGGGAATGGCCTCAAACCAGCAAATCCAGTAGCAGAATCAAAGGCAGTGCTCAGCCTCTGAATGCAGAAGAGGAATTTAATTGTCTTCGTTATGTGCCTTACGGGTAACTGACATTCATGCAAACATCTTTCCTGAGCATTGCTGGCTGCCTTCTATTTTAAGAACTGGCTTGCCACACACAATTTCCTTCAGTGTGATATTTTCTATTCACTGTAAAGATGCAGTGAAAACAGGGTCATTTCTACTCCTGCGGGCCCCTAGAAAAGAGGGGCAATTGCCCCCAATTGTGCAAATAAACCCCTCTGGCCAGAGGATCTGTCTATACTAGGGACTGGACACTTCAGACTTGACAGGCAAGCATCCAAAACAGCAGCTGCCACCGCAAGAGCAACGTCTAACAGGTCAGAAAACAGCAAAGCTCCGAACTGTCAGCCAGATCCGCTGGTTCAGATTTGATCCCCACACCACAGCTTAGAATTGCATTTACTTTGGGGAACCTGATCTCTCCCTCAGTGGAAGGAGGAAAACCCTCCGCCCTGGGTAAGAAGGCTTCAGCCGGATCTTGCAATAGCTGCTCCTCTTGGCTGCATTCTAAGGCTCATACTGAGCACAGGCCACCAAGGACTCGGCTCTGGGAGGCTGTCCGTGCTCTGTAATCCCACTGATTTCAGTAACAGAGAGCAGTCAGCGCTACACAGGAGGTGCTTAGCCCCTGGCAGGATCAGACCCTTACTTGGCATCTTCTAACAAGAATAGTCTCAGCCTGTCTCTCTAAACACAGCAAGCCTTTTTCTCCGTCCCTCCTTCAATCCTGGTACTTTGATCTGAGCATCTCCGCTAGTCAAGCAGAGACCAGTGTGATGTATACCTTTATTGTCTGGGCCGGAAAGCTTTAATCTCAAGCTGGCCTGATGGGTCCCAGTGTTCAGCTTTCGCACTAAGAGCCTGGCTAGTAACAGCAAGGTAACAATGAAGGCTCAAGAGTGCTGAGAGTGCTGCTGAGAGTGACCGCCCCTGGAGGGGAGGGAAAAAGGGATTTAGAGAGAACCCTGCTTTTACAAACAGCAAGGATCTGGTGCTAAACCAGCATATGCTTCTGCCTCTCTTTGGAAAAGCCTAAAAAGATTCTGCTGCCCCATCTCTCTCCACCCTTCAGCCAGCCTCATACACTGCTAGGAAACCAAATTGTTTCACTGGTTTCAATACAAGATGTGAATTCCTGTCCACTGTTCAGAAGCTTTGCGGATTGTAAGCTCTTTGGGGCAGGGACCGTGTCTTCCTAGGTGAGTATACAGCACCTAGCACCTTTTGGGCCCTGCTGCAGTACAAGTGATTCATCCTAAAATATACCCCTTAGTGGATATGCTGAACGAACTATGATTATTTAGCTCACCATTATCTACTACACTTACACCTCAGCTGGTATAAGTCAATTAGCTCTGTAGACTTTAACAGAACTATGCTTATGTGCGTCAGCTGAGGATCTGGTCCCTAGAATTCTTGTAACTATGGAAATCATGCCTCTCCAAATGCTCCCACACAGCACTGTTTCTCAGCTATTGTTTCAGGACCCTCTTTAACCCATGGGACTGTACCTTGTTCTTCCCGTTTCGGGGTCCACGACTTTTCTGATGACACTTTGCCTTGCGTCCCATTCTTCTTTCGTCATTGGTTTCATAGCCTGGATGCGGGACTTTTGTTCATCTGTCAAAACTAGAATGTAAACCTCAATGAGCTCCTTGAATAAGAATGTGTGCACATAGGTCTGTCTTCTGTCAGAGGATCGTGAAGCAGAGGGCCTTACAATTATTATGGAGCACCACTCTGTGCAGTGCACCGCTGAAAACACTTGTTCCAAAGAGCCACCTACCCCAAAAAGCTTGAACTATTTAAGCCTCCCACTGCTCCTCTGAGGAGGGTGCTGCTAGCTCTGTTTCTAACGAGTAAACTGAGGCCTGCAGAAGAGCTAAGTGATTTGTCCAGAGCCACAATGGGTGAGATTTTCAAAAGCACTCAGCATTAGCCTGACACACCTCCTGTTTAAGTCAGTGATAAAATTCCCATTGATTTCAATGGGAACAAAGTTACGCCAATGCTGAGCACTTCTAAAAATCTCACCACTGGTCCAAATGCAGAGATGGGACTAGAATCCAGGCGTCCTCGGTCCCACTCCTTTGCTATGCTACAAACGTTTAACCCTACACCTGTCTTTGAAAACCCTCTTACTAGCACTTCTACTTGGAACTTTTCCTTTCCAATGCTATTCTACCCTGCTTATTTATCCCCCGCATCCTCTCTTTCCTTTTAACAGTAAGAAGGATTTAGATACTTTGTAAATATCTTTAAGACGGAAGAGGGGAAATCCCTGGGGAAGGCAGGGCAAAATGCATTCATCCAAAGCAGGTGGTTTTGGATTCCTCCCTGATCAGCAAACCTTCATCAGTTAGCACCCCCCCCCCCCCCATGGCTCCATTACAATTCCTCTGTCTAGATCCATCTGCCACCTGGTCTGCTTCTGGGCCTGAGACTATCTGGCCTGCCTGCCTTATGTATATAATTACACACATTAAAACTGAATTACTACCTATTGTTAAAACCAGTCCTCTTTCAGCACTAGCATACACCACATACTACAACCCCTACTGCTTTGATCACAGACGTAGGAGAGTTCCCACCAGGACTAGATAACACACAAAGAATGGATAAATAATAGTTTGACATGAACAAGATCTTTCCAAGTAAATCATAGATTCTGAGAGGAACTGAAACAGGGATTTGTGTATGTCTCCAATTGAGGGATCAAAGCCTCGTCTGCTTTTTTACTGTCACAAACTCAAGGAGCAGATAGACCTTCGATTTCAAATTTGAGGCCTGAGGTAAAATTTTCCAACACACCCAAGTGACTGAGGTATTTGAAGTCCCACTGACTTTCAATGAGACTTGGGCGCTTTTTGAAAATTTGGCCCCGGGTTTGTATTTCTTGCACTCTCAGCTCACCCATGAGATACACTGGAAGATCTGGGGGCACCTTAAATCAGTGGTGGATACTGTATAGAGGACCAAGTCTCAACAGATAGCGCTAAATTTGTGTTCATTCCTTATCTTTCTCATGGCTTTACATATGTGAGCAAAGGAACATGCAGAGAACTATCAACTTCACATCCTGAATGCCAATACCGAGTGCTTCATGAATTCATTGCCTGTGGGTACGCCCTTTCATTTTCAACTCTTGTTCCCAGATCACAGGCAATTTTAACAAGCTTACAAACAAAACCATCCATTTGGGTCCTCGTGTATACTCATGGTTGCTTAAATTGGGCCATTGAAATTAGGAGGGAAAAGGCATCCAGAGTTCAGCAATCAGTGTTCCTTATCATGCAATTTCTAATGATCCTTGGATGAGACATTAAGAGAATCTGCTTCATTAATGAGTGGGAGAGTCACATGGATTTTCTCAAATGGCGCATCACTTCTCTGCTCTTTAAGTGGGCAAGTGTGAGTTTTTTAAACCTGGAAACAAAAACATTACCTGGGCCAGGTTCCACCAAAGATTCTTTCTGCCACTGCTCCAGTGACGGGCCCGGCACGCCTTCCACCGTGGCTCTCTCCTCTTTAGGCCGGGCCTTCGATTTCTTTTTCAGTTTCTTTTTTATTTTTTTCTTCTTTCTCTTTTTGTCTTTCTGTGTTGTTCGTTTCTTCTTGCTGTGCCTCCTCTTTTTCAATTTGGATTCACTGTCACTTGAATCATCTGAAGAGGAGTTGGAGGAGGAGGAAGTCCCAGAAGACGAACTTGTTGTCTCAGAGGAGGAGGTACTTGCCTTTCTCTTCTTCTTGTCTTTGGCCTTCTTTGTCTCTGCAATACATTAAGAAGGGGGTGGTTTGGAGAGAACATTTGCTCCATGCCAGCCAAAGAGTCTGTCACATTCTGCATTTTAAGCTACAACAGTTCGCTGTTCTGGCTTTGTTCTTTGTTAGGTTGCTCAGAAGACTGAACAAATCAAAACACTAACGCCACAGCAAAATCCCACTGGGCTAATACTTCTATATTAGCCCCCTCCCACTGTGATAACTGGGCACTGTGCCTGATCCAGTCAGCACCCCTCCTGTATGCCTAGATTTCCCAAGACTGGGGCAGGGGTTGGACTCCATTCAGGCCCTTGAGGCTCATGCTACCCAGGGACTATGCAACCCAGAGGCTTGGATTTCCTTCACAGGGATGGTCAGCGAGGGGTGCCTGAATGGATCTGTGACAGGCACAATGCTAAAAGATCTGCATGCTGGAAATTTTTAAGGCTCTAGAGATGTCGGAACACAAGAGTAATGGGTATGAAGTGTGTGTTGAGATGATTGTATAAAGTTAATTGCTAAAAGCAAGCATTGTGTATTCCCACAATGGCACTCACTGTGCATATGCCCCCTGGTGGCTCCCAGAACCATGTGAGAAGTCAGCCTTCAGCAGTAGCTATCACCCTCACCTGCCCTTACCATCTTTAGTAGATGCTGAGCTCGACCTGCGTCTGTGAGACCTGGATGCCTTCTTCCTTGGAGGAGACAGACTGCTTCTCTTTGAGTCTTTACTGCTTTTTCTTCTTTTCTTTTCGTCTTTTTTGTCCTGTCTGCTTTGAGCATCGCTTTCACTCCTGCTTCGGGAGCGTTTCCTGGATTGGCTGTGAACCATTGTGCTTTGATTCCTATTTTAAACAATTCATTTTTCTTTCGTTAGTGGTGTTAATAAAGGACAGTGAAACTTAATTCCATCTAAGGAGACTGTCCCAAAGTATCCCTAAACACAGCAATTCCAATTCTGCTCCACCTATAACTAGGAGGCCCGCCTTTGCTAAGCACCCAGTTTATGTTTGCCCATTAAGTAGTTGCTGAAGACAGGTTTAGCATATTACACTAGACTCAACTTACAGCCAACTTTTCTCCTGAAACTATATGTGAAAATCTCTGACAACTGCACAGCAAGTTACTCTGTTACATAGCAGTGGCCAGGCTGGGTTCACCAAGCCCTTCCCAGTAGTCCACAAAATAAAACACAAAGGAGTGAGGGACAGAGAGCTGAGGGGACTCCACGAGAGGATCTTTCAAATGCTGTTTTTCTTTGCACTACAAAATCTTTAGACAACTCTTCTGTGCATCCCAAACAGCTCTTTGATTAGATTTGGCATGAGACTTCCACCACTCTCTCTTCCCCCTTTCTTTTAAATGTCAGCAGTAGCTACCGTGACACACAATTTCACAGCTGTGAGGATTCAGCAGAGGGCAGTGATAAACACACTTTATTACTGTAAATTCTCTGATCATTTTTCATCCTTCTCAGGATCTAAGAGCTAGGGGTTCTACTTTCTAATCCATGCCTATGTATTGCCCCCATTACTGTTAGCAGGAGTGTCACATGCTCTTTATGGCCCCATGGCCCCAGTCATTGCATGATGAATACTGCCACTGCTGTCAGCAGCATTAAAAATTCCATTCAGAACTGAACAAAGAAGAATCAATTACCGGTTTATTTAAAATACTGACAGCAGCCACTAGCTAAGGGAAAATAATGAATTTTTAATATTTCAATTTACTTTTATAAAACAGATTACATGCGGAACTGGCACCTTTTTCAATCAGCCCAACACACGGGCAGTGGAATATAAGGGCAAACCAATCTATGGTTAGATACAAGCTCACATTCATTAAAAAAAAAAAAAAAAAAAAAATGTAAAAAAATAATTAAAAATAAAAAAAAAAAAAAAAAAAAACTGGCATCAGCATAATTGTAGCTGGGAAAAGCTCTCACATCAGATATTTCCTGGCTAATATATTAATCATGTCTCTACCACACAGAAGTTCAAAACAAGATAATCCAAGATACATACAAGTGAATCAGAAGTTCAAATTGATTTACAAATGAAAGCCTCAATAAAAAGCAACAAGAGATTTGCTTTAAGGACACATAGTAGTAAAGCTGCAAGGAATCAGATCCACACACCAAATATATGCATAGATATGTTTACAAAAATACAGAAATCTCTTTCACTAGGTCCTTGAAGACCTAGATAGCCCTAGAAGCACTATTCTGATCTCAGATACACAACTGCGTAGACACAATCCTGTACAATTAGCTAGTGTGGACAAAAGTGCAGTAGCTGATTCTACAAGAATTCCACTGATAAAGTCCAAAGATTCATGGCTCAGCCTAGACTGTATGTGGTTATTTCCCTGAACTGGATTTTTCTATGTATTGCCTGTTTGAATGTAAATGAATGCTGACATTAAACACTGCCTTTCCTTTCTAAAAAGGCATTTGATTTTGCCCTTAGATAAATGGAGGAAATAATGAGCCAAGTTTTTCCGGGGCCTGCTCGATAAGCTGGATGTGTGTTTGTTTTGGAGTCTGAATCAGGCTAATGAAGTTTACAATGAGGACTGACAGAATGTTTTCCCAGCTGCAGAGAGGTCTCAGCAGTCTCAAAACCCAGAGTGGAATCTTTTAGACACATCATGCTTGAGAACAAGTCACTAGATCCTAGACCAGTGATACTCAGACCTCAGTGGTTCAAGAGCCAAATTACTGATCAACATTAGCCAAGAGCACCACAGTAGTATGAATTCCTTGTTTCATTTACACTCTCTCTCACACACACAAAATTCTCGCAGCAAAATGACTGACCAAGTATTATTAACCAATTGTAGTTGATAAAACACAGTAAAAGCATCCTGATTGGTTAATAATTAAATCACACAATGTTTTAATATCATGTGCTGCAAAGAGCTGCAGGAGACACAGTAAAGAGCCACTTGCGGTTCCCAAGCCTCTGTTTGAGTATCACTGTCCTAGACACTAGCCCAAAACAGCAAGTTGTAATGGTGCATGTGCAGACACAACTCTGCAATGGTGGAAATGTTTCCTGTCCTCTCCTAGTGTTTGTTCAACAGGCTATCCACCCCCACAGATCTCAGCCTAAAACAGTGGAATCAGATTTATTTCAAAGTGATTTAAGCTGAAGAAGTAGATTAGTCCAAACTATTCAGTAGCCTAAAACAGCTGCATATACACATCAGCTTTTTTCTCTCTCCCTTTCTATACACCTCTACCCCAATATAACACAACCCGATATAACACGGGTTCACATACAACGCAGTAAGGCAGCACTCCGGAGGATCAGCGCATCAGCTCCCAGCCGCGGCACTCCGCTTCCCGCCGCCGGTGAGTGCAGGGAGGTGGGGGAAAGGACAGTTGACAAGAAGGTGTGAGTAACAGGAAGGGGAAATTAGCATGGGGAAATTAGTTTTTAGTTCTTGTAGTGACCCATCCACTCCCAGTCTTTATTCAGGCCTAATTTGATTGTGTCCAGTTTGCAAATTAATTCCAGTTCTGCAGTTTCTCGTTGGAGTCTATTTTTGAAGTTTTTTTGTTGAACTATTTGAAATGGGCCACCCTGATTACCACTACAAAAATGATTTTTCCTCCTGCTGATAATAGCCCACTTTACTTGTCTTGTTAGAATTGGTAAGGCAACTCCCATCTTTTCACGTCCTATGTATATACATCTTCCTACTGTATTTTCCACTCCATGCATCTGATGAAGTGGGCTGTAGCCCACGAAAGCTTATGCTCAAATAAATTTGTTAGTCTCTAAGGTGCCACAAGGACTCCTCGCTGTTTTTACACACCCCTGTTCTTTTCATCAGTAGTTCTCAGTGCTTTACAAGGCAGAGCAAGTGCTGTTATGCCCATTTAACAGATGGGGTGCCTAAACCCTGCCCCCCAGCCCCGACTCCGACACAGTGGGTGCTGGCCCTTTAAGACACACAACAGGCGGCTGGCACTTTAAGACTCTCCCCCTTCTCCTCCATTACTGCTAGATACGGTCCGTCCCCAGACAGCACCGCGCATGCGCAACGATATCGGCCCATGAAGGCTTTGCGGACCCAATCTCGCCCCGTGTTCCTCCTGCCAGGGCTCGTCCCCCTCTCCCGCCCGGCCCCTCCCGCACAGAGACAGGCCGCCGCAGGTAAGCGACTCACCCTCGGGGGTGGGGGGCGCGAACAAGCTGCCTGCCCCGCGCGCGCTGGAGGGGGTGGCACAGCCCCGGCGTCTGTCGCTGAGCGACCCCCGGGGACGGGTCACTTAGTTGGTTTCAGTTCGTTGCCTCGCCCACTTCCGGTGTTCTATTGTTTTCTGGGTCCGGTGGGGAAACACAGACCCCCGCATATTGGTTCCTACCTCAGCTGTGTCTGGGCCGGGGGAGCAGGGCTCAGCCCGAAGGAGGCGTTGCAGCAGCCTGTCGGCTGCTGTGCCCCACTGAGCCCGGCTGGGGGCAGCCCTCAGTGGGGTGAGGGGCCTCTGCCCATGGCAGGGTGTAGAGTCTCCCTCTCGGGGTGATGGGGGAGCCCAGGTGTTGGTGAGAGCCGGGCTGGCTGTGCCCTGCGGACCACGGGGCTGCAGCAGGGAGACGACGGGGCTGGGGGCTCTTGCTGTCTGTGCTTTGTGGTGATGAGACCAGGTGGGTGAGGTAATATCTTTTATTGGACCTACTCCTGTTGGTCAGAGAGAGAAGCTTTCCAGCTACACAGAGCTCTTCTTCGTGTCATGCTGCTCAGATCGCGGGCTTCTCTTCCCCAGCTTTGGCTACACATTTCAGGGAAAGACAAAATAACAAATCGGAAAGTAGGGGAGCCGACACAGCAGGACTTGCTAGAAACTATCCTAAAATAAAGAAGGCTCAGGGGGTTGTGACACATAGACCATATGAAAGATCAGAAACATGCTAAGCCAGCATTGAATTGGGTACCTGAGGTAGGAAAGAGAAAGCAAGGAAGATCAGGGAAGAACTGGCAGAAGACAGTGACAGAGGATATTGAATACTCTGTCATCACGGGGGAAAAGTACAGTAGAAACTCAGAGTTATGAACACCGTGGGAATGGAGGTTGTTTGTAACTGATCAAAACATTATGGTTGTTCTTTAAAAAGTTTACAACTGAATGTTGACACAATACAGCTTTGAAACTTTACAATGCAGAAGAAAAATGCTTTCTTTTTTTACATTTAAAAACAGTGTTTTTGGTCTCTGCTGCTGCCTGATTGCATACATCCAGTTCCAAATGAGGTGTGTGGTTGACCGGTCAGTTCATAACTCTGGTATTCGTAACTCTAAGGTTCCACTGTACCACAACTAGCGAGTGACCATAATCAGTGGAGGAACTAGACTGCCTGATGTGTCAGTGGCACAAGAGGAACTAAGATAAGGTAGTGCCTAAGGACTGAGAGTGGAGCCCGGTTGTGCTAGGCACCGTTCAGAGTAGCAGACAGACCCTGACCCTTTGAAGAGTTTACACTCTGAATAATGAGACATTTACAGTCTCCCCATGGCTCTTGGTGAGTTATTTTTTCCCTCCTTATATCCCCCAAATTCTGTATTCCATCCTGAGACAGAGTGAACTTGTAAGAAACCGATGCAATAATAACACAAAAAATTCTCAACATGCAGCCGTGTGCTGATCCTATATTTTTTCTAGTACTCCAAACTATTTCCAATGTCATCTTCTTCCTGGTGAATAATTCCAGCCTCAGCCTCGTGCAGCTTCTTTGACAGCTCAACTGTTTTTGTTTTGGGCACAAAACCCTTCTGGGCTTTTCCAGACACTGGAAGTTCCACTGGTTATGGATGACTGCAATTTGTGTTAGAATACTCTGCAGAAGCAGAAACTAATGACACTGCCATTTTCCCTCCTCCACTTTCTGTAGGTGAATAGCAGTTTATGATGTCCATTTGCTTAATGGCTCTGATCAGTTAGAATTAGGGTGTATTTGTCATATGGACAATGCATATATTTGCCCTGGTCTGCATTCCTTTCCTCCTTAACTTTGAGGAGCAGAGTTTAATATGTCAGGGGTTCTATCTGATAACCAAGGCATTCCTATCCCCTGGGTTAGGCAAGTTCACCTTGTTAGCCTGTTGCAGGCAAAAGTCTCAATGAAGAAGAGGTGTTGGAGCAAAAGCCAAAGAAAATCTTCCTTATCCTCTATCGCTGTCTTGAAGGAGTTGGTTTTCCCTGTGCAATTCAGAATGATCTCTGGAATGTAAGTGAAGTTCAGGTGGGTTGTTGGTCAAGGTCAGTAAGAGGAGCATCCACTGATGATGCCCAGGTAGAGATCCCTTGCTCTATTGTTACGGCTGTCCTTGACATACACAGCCTCCTGCTTTTTCTCTTCGAGGGTCCTCCTGTAGTCTGCTTTCTGCTGTTCATCCTCAAAGATATGACCAGCTAAAAGCTCAGCAGATATTTGATTTCTTTTCCTCCTCCAGAGAACATGCAAGTGCCTCAGAAGTATTAATGAATTTAGCTTTGAATACATGTTAGATAAGAACAGTATTATCCTAATTTTACACGTGGGGAAACTGAGGCACGGAGTTGCAGTACCCATGATGACTCAATGAGTGAGTGCCAGAGACTCCTACGCTCCTGATTTAATGACTAGATTACAGAGGAGAGAGATTATTCCTGTATATCCCAGAGCCTTTTCTTTATTGTCAGTCATTTACAATCTGAATTCACGGTAATAGAATTCAGACAGTAGCAGCCATATTGACAGGCACATTTTTCTTTCATTAACTTAATTTTCTTGGTATAATTTAAATGCAAATATGAAACAAACATTTCCTGATGAAGAAATTAAGAATCCGTGATTGGTTTTGTTGTTATGGAAAACAGCAGAAGCAAAATCCTTTGGTGCTGATTCTGGGGTTTTGTGTAGAAGGGTAATGGCCATTTCACTTTCCAAATGCAATTTGAAGGAGTTTTTCAAATGCAATCTAATCAGCAGCATACGCTAATGAGATGTCAAGGCCAAAACACTCCAGGATCTACTGGGAATGCTTAAAATTAACACTCTTCATAAACTACAGTGGTGATATTCAGAGTCTGCCTTTCATCATATTGTTAATTATGCAAATGAGAAAGTTCATATCAAGTAATTACCAGAGCTAAAATGAATGACCTAAAGAAGCCCCCAGTAAAGTCAGTGGTATGGATAGCTAATAGACATCTAGTTTTCTCAGGAGTCACATGAGGCAACAAAATCAAAAGGATATTTTGGCTTCTTGAATATCAGTTTTCTAGATTTTTGGAGTCTGTGACTTGAAGCTTTGAATTAATGTCATGGACTAACAGGCCCTGAGACAGACAGTGTGTGTGACTATCTAATCTCACTCTCTCTAATGCACTCATCATAGTGGGATATTCGTGCCAAATTCAAGAATTCAAAAGATTGCATTGGTCATGTAAGGACTAGAATGTCCACTCTTCACTTGGAGATAGGTTTCAGAGTAGCAGCCGTGTTAGTCTGTATCCACAAAAAGAACAGGAGTACTTGTGGCACCCTAGAGACTAACAAATTTATTAGAGCATAAGCTTTCGTGGGCTACAGCCTTGGAGATAGTTTATTCTGTATGCCCACCTTGGAAGGATATTCTCATACCTAATGGAAGGTGATTACAAATGTTTAGACTACTTCTGCATGCTCGCTCCTTACACCAGATAGACCTGTTGTCATAAATTGCAAACGGCCCCCCAAATCTTTGGCTCTACAGCTGATTTCTGCTTGTTCATGTGGAATCCACAATATCTTTAAAAAGTGATTTTTAGCACTTTGAGTCTGGGGTTATAAAGGCAATAAGTGACTCACTTATAGAGTAATAGGTTTATGTTTGTCCTGTAAGATGCAGCCATTGGAAGCAAGTTGATCACAAAGTTGCTTGTTTTAGCCACTAGGGGACAATACTGTCACATTCTGGGCGGGTCTTGCATTCCATCCATTGGGAAGCAGCAGGCTCTTACCCTAGTGAACTTTGGGTACGTCTACACTTACCGGAGGGTCCGACAGCAGGCAATCGATGTTCTGGGATCGATTTATCGCGTCTGGTTTAGACGCGATAAATCGATCCCGGATCGATCCCGGAAGTGCTCGCCGTCGACGCCGGTACTCCAGCTCGGCGAGAGGAGTACGCGGCATCGACGGAGGAGCCTTCCTGCCGCGTCTGGACCCGCGGTAAGTTCGGACTAAGGTACTTCGAATTCAGCTACGTTATTAACGTAGCTGAATTTGCGTACCTTAGTCCGAAGTGGGGGGGTAGTGTGGACCAGGCCTTTGATATTCCATCCAGAAGAGGGTAGTGGTCATTGTGAATGGACGCTGACTGACACGATAGCATATTGTTATAATTCTTTTTTTTACACATCAACCAGTAACAGTGGCTGTCAGAGCAGCTGTCTTTGTATAAGATCTAAGCAGTCTTTCTGCCTGTTTTCTATACGTGTGATTGTACCTCTGCAGTTCGCGGTATAGATCAATACCTTAAGCCTTTTTACATTTTCAGAATATGCTTATAAAAAATTCCCACCGTGCAGGCATTGTCTACCCAGACACCAACTCCTCCAGCAGACCCCAGATGGCGGCTGCTGCTCAAAAAGCTGTTTTCCCTCCCCCAAGAGAAGTTTTTGAGTTGCCTTCTAAAAAGCTATTTGTTGACCTGACATGTTTCTGTCAAAGGGATACTGTGCTTGTTTCTGCTAGCTTGGGGCTTGGAGCTCAGTTTTAGCCAACTCAGACTGGAGAATTCACTCCTTACCATCTCCTATATTAAAGAGCATAAATCCACAGTCTTGGGCATGTCACCTTCAGGACTTCTTGTGAACCCATCTCCAAACCCTTCAGCATCCACTAATTCAGGTTTCTTGTTGCACATGGGGCAAAGCTGATTGCGGACAGCAGATGATCTCATCCATACAATGAGGTTCCAGCGCTCCCCGGAGGCGACAGGCAGTGCCCCATGAATCTGCCCTCCTCGGTGTAGCAAGCCTTGGGATACCACGTGTTCAATCTCCACGTACTTTGGCACTGGGGTTGGGGCCTTGAAAATAGATAATAAAGCAGACACAAGATTACATGAACTCTCTCTTGCTGCTGACTTTCTAAAGAGTTGTTATAACTGGCTTTTAGTGCCTTTCACCCCAGACTGTTTTACTAACCAATGATATCTAGGGATCACGTCACATACATCTGAAATGCAGTCACTTCTGGGATGAGACGTTACAGCTGTTAAACCGTTCGGACTGTTAAGGACAGACAGTAAACAGTTCCCAGCTCAAACTACATAGAGGCACATAGAGAGGCAGACTGTAACAGTCCAATAGCAATTCGGCCAGCACATATTAACCCTCTCTTGCTAAAAGTACATTGGAAATTCTAATAACTGCAAATGACCAGGGCTTTAGTTTCTCAAGTGAAAGACTGAAACTGCTTGAGTCTTTAAAGCATTTTCTCCGCTCCTCCAAAAGGAGCCCCCCGGATCATTATTTTAGTTGTGAAGGAGGTAGAGCATTTTACTCCCTCCTCTGATGTAAGAGTTATCTGTTTGGTCTATTTGAATCGACTCCCGTTAACGTCAATATTTATGATTAATTCACAGCAGTAAAGATTTCACTATAACCTCCTCTTACATGGAAAACTGGTGAACAAGATAGTCCCGATTCGGTCAGAAGCAGACAATTAATTTTAGTCAATCAACTTTTTAAATGATCTTCTTTTTCAAAGTACAGCTCCCTACAAGCACCAATCCTCCTCCACAGCTTATTCTAGTTAGGCTCATAACATCAAATAAACCAATCAATGAAAAGGGCCAGGTTTGATCTGTGAGAGTTAACCCTGTATTTTAAGCATAAGGCTACTTGATGGTGTCACCTTTAATTCAGTTACTCAAAAAGTTCCTGAAACAAAGTTAATGGCCTGATCCTGCACCTCTGAAGTCAATGGGAATTTTGTGGGGAGCAGGATCAGGTCTAAGTTAGAGAGAGATTCTCAGTACCTGTCTGAGGTCTCCAAAATACAAGTTGCCCTCAGTAAATTCTTTTCCTAGGGATACATTTAATGTGACTTCTGCATTGTCATAGTGAGAGCTCAAATCCAGATCTTCATGTAGCGAGTACTTGACGATAAATGCTTTGTGGCTGTCCAGGGAGCCTCCCCCACAGTCAGGGTAAAGCAGGGATGTTATGGGCTGCAGATATTTTTCACGCAGAGGTGTAATGAAAGCTTCATACAATCCAAGCTCATTTAACAGAACCTGCGCCAAAGAGAGAGTACATGGAACACACTGATCAGCAAATAGCAACATGGTCACTTCTGCTATATCATTAGACATGCTACTGAGCCTCCTGGTAGTCATCTTCCCTTCCAACCTGGCTGCTTACGTGGATAAAGAACTAGCGAGCAAAGACCCAGGCTGTAACAGGGACAATGAGTTCAGAATGAAAAGCGATGTCAAGCAGAATGCCAGTAGGATCAAAACCAGCATGGGTAGTGCCATATACAAAGCCAATTTTTACTGATACGTTGTGCTATTCCTGCTGGTTTTATAGAGCAGTCCTGTCTTGTGTGGCTAAAGAGAACTCCAGTCGCAGGCTGTCAATCCAACCCCTTTCACCAGCACTAAATTCATATATAAAATGCTATGTTCTTGAAGTATCAAGTCCCAGTTGTATGAAGTACTTCTACAGCCAAAGCAAGGACTGAGAGGCCATACTTGGAATGCTGTGGTCAGTGTACAGTCACTCTGTTTTGAGGCGACTTTCTAAAGGAGGGAGTCAGTGGATCCCAGAGCAGTGGCAGTAGACTCCAGAAACTTGCTGCAGCTGTGCAGAAAGGCAAGAGAACCTGGGACTTGTAGTCCTTGGAGAGGAAAAGACTAAGAGCAGAAGGCCTCATGGATGGCTGAGGGAAATGAACTCCATTTGTGGAGGAGCTAGAGATCAGGACTATTGAAGTTTGTGTGCAGAGCCACAAACTCTGCCTGAACTGTGTATTTCCTTAGTTTCTTTTACAACCTTTCCTTGTCCATTTGGACACTGCAGCTGATAGTTCATATTGGAGAGATTTATTCTCTTTTCAGAGAGTGCAGTTATAATGCACGGGTGACTAAAATAAAGACACTGGCTTATGTCCTCTATAATAAAGTAGGACCTACAATCTGAACAATAAACCTACTAACCCACTCTTTGCATGGTTATGTCCCAATTTATACAGTAGAAGTCTCTTAAGTGGGACACTCGGGTAGATGGCTAATCTCCCACATCAAATGAAGACACTTATTAAAAATAGACTTGAACAGAACACAGTATTGCATTAAATATTATGCATGGTATTTCATCTTTATTTTTTAAAACTTTATTTGGCAGCTTCTGTACTCAGAGCAGAATTACATCTACCATATCAACACCTAGTTAAACACCAGTTAACCCCTTGGCACTATCCAAGTGTGTCCCCACTTATATTAATGCTGCCCCAATTAAGTAGCAATCATTGCCATTCACTATCACTCGGATAAATAGATCCCCGAAATATGTCTCAGTAAAGCAGCCATCTCAGTTAACTAATATACATTGTGCTACTTTTTGTTTAAAAGCGGGGTGCTAACATTTTACCATCAAACTTTTTCAGTAATTGTTTTATTTTTATATGTAATATAACATTTTAAATACAAGATTCCACTAAAGCAGATTCCACCTCACATCTCCTTCTGGCAACCCCCTCCCCCCCACACATGTACTAAGTTAGAAGTGTAAGTAAAATTAACTCCCTCACCCCTGTGCCTTTTAATTTATGAGTGTCTCTGCATTTGGGGTTGCACATCAGTGTGTGTAATGGATTTCCCCAGATCTTGGAGGGGAATGGACCTTGATACATGCAAATAGGTTGGTCTGATGAGTGTCACTCACCCTAAAGGCTGTAATAGCACATGAGAGGTTAACTCTACAAAGTTGAGTCTTACCCCATAGTTATTCATAGTGTTTGGCCGGCCTTTGGGCATCTCAGATTGCTCAAAGTTCTCCAGCTCTTCAATGAAGACTCGGCAGAATTCCTCACTGAACACTGGAAGTCGATATATCCTCTTATCTGACCAAGAAAAAGGAGGTGTCTCTTATTAGGTAAAATAGCAATAGGGACTATCCTTAACAATAACTTTATTTGCCAGAAAACAGTACTCGACGGCAGTACAATAGAGAAGACAGCCTCCATATGCCTCATTGCATGTTTTGTTTGTTAAACAGTTATTACTACAAGGCGGATGGACGCTAGGGCATGTTACTTATTGGTCACTGGAAACTGAAAGCCTCCCAGACTTCCCAGGCCAATAGCTAAAAGCATTTGAATGATGAGGTGACCAGGTGGTGATGGAGAATTACTTGAGGCATGGCATTTTGTGGGAGGTGGGACATCATCCCTCTAAGGACTCTCCATGCCAATCAATTAGCCCTTTCTGTTAGGAATACAATACAATTACATTACACTTCCAGCATAGGGCCTTAAAGATCCACATAAAAAGTGGATGAGTATTACAAATGGGGGAACTGGGATACCAACAGCTTGAAAAAGTCACTTGTACCTGAAAATAATTCCTCTTATGTAACACCCACAATGGGTGTCAATGCAAAACCCCTCTATTTTCCATTTTAGACTTTCATTGCTTCCCCTATATATTCTGTCAGCGTCTCCCGTACTGAAAAGGCCCCACAAACATCAACAAGCAAGCAGAAAAACCCAGAACTTTTAAAAATATATTCAAGACATAATTTAAAGGGGGATCTACTAAATGGTAACTTTGGGAAATAGCCCATTTAAAATAATCCAAGTGTACAGTGTCCCTTGAACAGACTTGCCGAAGGTCAAACATTGAGTCAGTGGCATGGCCAAAATAAATCCCAGGATTCCAGGGGTGAAATCCTGGCCAATGGGAGTTGTGCCATTGACTTTTAAGGGGCCAAGATTTCCCCCATCTCTAACAACTAGACTATGTTGCCTCTCTCAAGAACTTTGATCATGCAGAAGAAAACGTCCTAATGGTCTCCAGTCGTTTTTCAAAATTACAATATTAAAGAACTGGTTTAGAACAAACAATTCACCACTGAAACGACTTGTGTGTATCAGAGTGTGGCTCTACCTACATTGCTGAGAGGTTCTTTCGCTTTACCTGATATAGAATCAATGCGGCGCACGAGGCCTTGGAGATCAGCATCTTGTGACATGCAGTACTTAACTGTCTCTAAAAACTCTGGAGCCAGAAATGAATCCTTGTGTTAGATGGGGAGAAAGACAAAGAAAAAAAAATAAAATGAACACACAATGACTTAATCTCTGACCTTCAAACAGCCACACCACAGGCAGCAGTTGAAATGTAAGTGGACTCTAGGGGGCCACACCTAGCTTGCATATAAACATATATAAAATATTTAAATCATGAAAAAATGCACAAAGCTGTAATCTGCACTTGTATTTTTCTTGGTAGATTTATGTAAATTACTTATTGCTGGAGTTCAGTTGTAATTATAAACTATAGCTGGTCAGATTTATCTTTGCACTGGTCACACTACGGGCCCACATAACCTAGCTGACAGCAGTTCTCAAACTGTGGGTCGGTCCCCAAAGTGGGTCGCAACCCTGTTTTAATGGGGTCGCGAGGGCTGGTTTAGACTTGCAGGGGCCTGGAGCCAACGCCGGAGCCCCACTGCCCAGAGCCGAAGCCCAAGTTGCTTCAGTCGTGGGTGGCACGGCTCAGGTTACAAGTCCCCTGCTTGGGGCTGAAGCCCTTGGGCTTTGGCCCCCCCACCCTCCCAGGGCAGTGGGGCTCGGGCTATGGCCTCCCTCAACCCAGGGCAGTGGGGCTTAGGAGGGCTCAGGCTTCAGTCCCCCTCCTGGGGTCATGTAGTAATTTTTGTTGTCAGAATGGGGTCATGGTGCAATGAAGTTTGAGAACCCCTGGCAGATCAGTGTGCAAACAGTCATGCCCAATTGATTTTTTTTTTTTTTTAACCACCTTGCTTTGGGCCAGGATCTCAACACCATCCAGTAATCGGGCTGTGCTATGAATATTACACAGTGAAGAGCGTGATGCAGAGTGTAGCACTTGTTATTAGATTAATCTTTCTATTGGCTGCTCCTTAAACTCTGTACTGCCCAATAGTCTTCGTGATAAGACTTTACGCCTAATATTACCAACAGCAGTCTGAGCTGGTTCTGAGTCTATCCTCATCTACGGGACTGTAACTATTGACTTTAGTTAAGTTACCCCAGAATAAATCGAGAGTAAGAAGCGAATCACATCCAGAGGGTGTCCTGTCTTCTTCAATAGAGATTTATGAAGATGTCCAAGTTGTGGAAGTCACTTTTAAATGAATACAGTTCTGAGACTATATAGGATTCTGAAGGGCACAAAGGAGCCTTTCCTATTTCAAACTAGATTTCCATGTGGTTACTACAGCACTATTACAGACTCAAAACAGCATGTATTTTACCTGTAGAACGTATACTTCTGGATGCTTTGGTTTGTAACATTGTGAAATTATGGCTTTTCTTGCCATGGACTGATGATCTAATTGCTTTCTTCTTTGCACTTCTTTCTGAATCTAGGAATAAGTGAAATGATCTTGTTAAGAGATCAAATGCTGGCAGTAATAAAAGAAGTTCCATTCACTGATTCAAAATAGTAATTTTTGCTCAATGCATCATCTGCTCATGTGCACCTTCGGTAGTCCTGAATGTATTTCTATGCCTTCAATGGGTCACTAAAGGAGAGGTCTAAGTCAGACTCTCATTAAGACAGACGGATGGGTTTAAAAAAAATAAAAACACCTAAAAGAATTCCACTGAAGTTAACTGAGGCTGCAAACTTTCAGCACCTTGGAAAAACAGGCTCCTTATTAGTGCCTACATATGGTTTTAGTTGCCTAACTTTAGATAGGCCAGAATTTTCACACTTGAGTAAGTTTGGGCAAAATGAGGGACTTCAGCTGCAGAGAGATGGTGCTCATTAGTGATGGCTCATTACCAAGCGCTGTTGTGATGGACTACTCTGTCACTTAAGGAGGAAGCAACCCATAGTAATAGTAAACTCAGGCAGCTCTTCCAATTTCATAAACCTCCCGGGACGCTAATTTTGAGATACCCTTGTGAAAGTAGGAAGCAGAAAAATTATCTGGAGGGTGCGGACACCATGTCTGGTTTCCTCCATTCTCCTGGGCCTAAAAAGCCAGGCACTTACCAGAGAGAGAGGTAACTTCCTTTCAAAGATCTCCCTTTATTTGGGCCTATTTGGTAACCAGAGATGGAATCCTCCCTTGAAAGTGCCCTGTGGAGAGTTCCTGCTTTTAACAATATCTTCTAGTGGCAGAAACTGGGTACTGCAGACCCCATGTATTTCAGAGTAATTTCAGTGTAAATGCATTTTTAATCCTGTTTTTTCTTGAAATTGATTTTCTTTTCAGTCTTGACTTGAACTGGACATTGATGCTGGGGGACTCTTGGTTTCCTTATGGCCAAAGAAGACTGTGGGGGCTATACTGATTTTAAGTTGTTTAGGAATCCTTTCCGATTAAATGGTGCAATAAATATTAATCTATTTTGCTGAATACCCCACCCTAGAAGTGGCTTCATTTCAGTGGCATGCAAGTGATCCCTGTACACAGTGTGTACAGTGCTGCAGGATCCTTTGGGATGAAATGGTACGATCTAAATGCACTACACTAACTTTTGAAACATGTATTTTACAAAAAAGGAGAATGGGGGGAAATTAGAAAAGACGGGGCAGACTGATTAAACCAACAGGAAGGAGAGCCAGGGACCCATTGTCATGGAATAAATGTCAGGGTTAACTTCAGGACTTTGTCAGCAAATGAGCTCATCAGAATATCCAACCTGTTCTCAGGCGCTAGTAGAGAGTTTTTAATTTCTATGTCAATCCAGCACATCGTTTATGTCTGAGTGTGAGAGAGTGTTGGGGGACAGGAGAGAAACCAGGAGGGAGTGTTTCAATCCTGTATGTAACATTGCCTCCCTCTGGCTTTCAGCAAATCGCTTGACCTCTCTTCTTCACTGTTCATACAAACTATATCCCCAAATGCTGTAGCGTTAACCCTGTATATGAAAGTTCCTGTAAATAAAGATGATTCGTTCTGAAGAACGCCTTCTAGATTAGATCTCTACTCCCACTTAATCAAGCAGACTCCACAACTTGTGGTTGAAAAATTGTAATTAATTGAGATAAGCAATACATATGAAAACAGGTGGTCCATGTGGAGCTGTCTGGACTCTTACAAATGACTTATTGGTAAAATGTGTATACCTCTTCCAGAACTGCATTAAAGTCTTCATCACTCCTGCAGCCATGATCACCTAGCACCTGTAATATAGAGAGATTAACTGTTGATGAGTATCATGGATTTTTATGGTGCTCATCAACCTGGCATGGGCAGTGTTGTCAACTCTCGCAATTTTACTGTAAGTCTCCTGATATTTGGTCTTTCTTAAAGTCCCAACTCCTGGAATTGTGTGCGAATCTTATATTTAATTTAAAAAAAAAAGTTTCTAGCTCTAATCTAATTATGTCATGTAAATCTATTTAGATTTAGCAATAGGTAGAGCAATTGATACAGCAGTCTAGCTCCCTAAGAAACAGTCTGGGGCTCTGATGCTGCAGCCCAAAGTTTGCTTTAGGAGGAGAATTAAAACATAAAACAGACGATGAGCAAGGAGTTTGGGTTTTCTCCCCAGATCCTTTATTCTGGGCTGCTTTTTCCTTGATCCCTATATACCCATTCCACAACCAGCCCTTTGGGGTGCAGGCCATACCCACTCATTCCTTTATCCTCAGTTCTTTTGCATAGTAGCACTACCTGCTGCCAGAGGAATCAGGAGGTCTCCTGGATTCTCAGGCCAGAAGATAACTAGCTCTCTACTCACCCAATCCATGCCTCCCTATCTACACAGCTAATTTTAGCAGTATAGTGTCCTGCTGCTGGAGCCCTTGCCCCACAGCAGGGAGAGGCTCTGGCACATCCTCTACAGTGTTGTGCTATAAGGTTGTCAATTACCTGCCAGCTTTTTGACATAGCCAGATGGGCTACAATTTGAGTCCCACCTCATCTGTACTGAGACTTGCCAATCTGGGGGGAAATCCCAGACACTGGCAAGATTGGTCTTTTAACATGTTCCTAGAAGAAAGCTCATTAAAGGACATATTTTACTATGTTTGTGTTACAGTTTGAATTATGCAATTCTGCTTTTAATGGTACTATAGAGATGGGTAGACCTGAAAATTGACCAACATTAGCCCAGTGGTCAGTATCCCTGTTGAAGGTCTTGCTTTAGTGACTCTTTGGTCATTTTTTCCCTTCTAATATGATCCTAGCTTTATAGAAAGCCTGTATGTTGAACATGGAGTTCATAGATCACCTATAATATGTTATTGCAATACTTTGCGTAGGGCATAAGAGATGGCTGGCTCCCTAGGGAAAAGTACAATATTTCTATAGTAAAGGCCCTGAACACTACAGCTTGCTCTAGTGCATAGCCCAAGTGCAGGTTTGTGTTTTCCAGTAACAGCATTTGCAACACAACTTTAATGGAAAGACTCCAGATGGTGACTAGACTTGTGGGTGTATTTTCTTTTAGCATGTAACTGTTCTGAATATACATTTTAAAGGGAAGCAGTGTTGTCTAGGGAACCATGAGTTAGGAGATCTGGTTTCTACTTCCAGCTCTGCCACAAATTTGTGGCCTTAGGGAAACTGAGGTCCATATTAAGGAGTTTAACAATCTATAAAATAGGGATAAGACTTTCTCAATTTTGCAGACTGGCTTAAAATTCTCTATGGCAGTGCAATATTAATGGATGTTGCATTTCCACTTCTTGATGGAGACTGTTGTGTTAAATAGCTACCACCTCCTGCCCCAGAGGTGGATGCACGTCAGAGGCAGGCAAGAGGCCCGTGTACAGTTTGTGAAGCATTTTGGAATCCTCTGGGATGAAATGGTGCAATACGTGTTTATTCAAAATCTTTTTTGCCTGCAGCTGTAGGGAAGATCCGGCCCCAAATGTAGCTGAACTGGGGGGGGGGGGAGGGGTGACCACCCAATACAGTACCTGGGATCCAACAGTACAATGTAAACACCAGGCACTGGTGCTTGCAGGGGTCCCCATCTGCTTTCCCCAGCCAGGGACCCCTCCCCTGTGGGTGCCTGGGGGGGGGGGGGGGGGGAAACCCCTTTCCCCCCCCCCCGGGGGGGCCTGGGGGGGGGGAGGGGGAATCCCATATCCCCCTCCCCTGTGGGTGCCGGGGGGCGGTTACCAGCCCATAGTCCCTGCGCAGCTGCGGCTCGTCCCGGTAGCTGACGTGCAGGCCGTAGCGCCGCAGGAACAGGTTGTCCGTGTGGAAGCAGGCGCAGGCCAAGAAGCCCCGGGCCGGTCTGGGGGAGTCGCCCCGAGCCGGGGACCCGGCCCCCGTGGACATGTTTCCACCCGGACTGGAGAGGGCGAGGGGCGGCGCCTCGGGCTGAGACAGACGCCAGGGAATGGCTGTAAGGGCAGCGGGTCCGGCAACCAAATGGCTCCGCCGGGAACCAACAGGCCTTGCTTCCGGTGGCCGCTGCTCACACAAGGGAGCGTCAACAAATTATTCGGGGAGAAGGAACGAAGAGAACCGAGGGGGCTTTTTGCCTGTTTCTCAATCTTCTGTCGCCACACCCCGATTTACTGTCTCTTCCCCTCTTCCCTCCTGTTTCTTCTCTCCTGTCCTGTTTTCCTTCTCTTCCTCCTCTCCTCCTCCACCCGCATTGGGCTCTCCTGAATCATCCCCATGGTATATTGAGAGCCCTAGTGGAACAGTGGGATGGAAAGGGGCATTTTAGTTCTGGGTGGGTGACCCTGACCCCTGTGCATGGATTAGAAAGCGTTTGGGGTCTTTCTTTGGGGATGACATAGCTCAATCACCCTGTGCTGATGCTCTATTGATGATAATTGTAATGACCAACTTTTGAACTAATTTGGAAGAAACTGAATAAACGTCAGTGTTTCACCTTTACCAGCACTGACATTCACCTTTGTGAATGTTTTATGATGTATTTAAATATGTGCCCATCCATGTCACTCATCACAGAATAATGGGGGAGGGGGTGCCCCATGCCTCCGTTTCCCCTCTATAAAATGGAGAGAATGGTCCTGATCTCCTTTGTAAAGCACTTTGCGACCTGCCAATTAAAAGTCAATTCCGTTTACACTGAGTAATTCACTTTGTATGAATTAATTTTAACTGTATCAGTATAAAGAGCATTGCTATTAATCTATAATTTCTGTAATCATGCCAGATATAATGATATTGGATATTGGAAGGGGGTGAGTGGAGAACTGTACACCCAGAGCTCTAGGCACATGCATAATTATATACCTAACAAAACAAATGGAATTAGTATCCTCAGTAAGCTGTGGATGCTAGAAGAGACAACATGGTCACACTTGCTTATGCACTTGAGTAGTGATGCTTTAATCCAGTCGAGGGCAATGGTGACAGATACACAGTGTAGGAGGGCGTTGGTGTGTTATATATGCTGTAAGCCCTGTGGGGAAAAAGAACTAGGTAGCCTTCTTAATGACAACCAAAGTAACACCGAAGGCCCAAATTCAGGCCCTCTGACAGAAGCTGACTACACAGACGGCCTTTACATAAAACAGTACAGGCCAGAACCTGAACAAAACTAGGCTGTGCAATTCCCTGCCAAATACAGTCATGGGCCATGACCAGAGGAGGGAGGGGAAGGAAGCCATGCGAAAGGCCTTAGCAACATGATAACCATTTGTTGATGGAAAAACATGATAACTGCTTATTGATGAAACATAGTAACGGCTTATATGAAGAAATTGCTTCTAGTGAAGGCCAGTTCCTCCTATAGTTCCAGCTACCTGCCACCAGCCAATCATATATCATCTTTGGGCGTCCTGTAATAAATCCCCCCGGAAAAACAATATGTACCCTGACGAAAAACAACACCCCCGCTGGTGCCAAGTACCACCCATGTCAAAACCACCAAGAAACCCCCCCACCCAATAGGCACCCAATTCTTGTAAATAATGAGGAAGCTACCGGGAAAAAGGGACAGACCCCCACTCTTATTTTCGCATCAATGACGTATTATTTGTACTATGCTTGCGGTTTGACAGAATAAAGCAGCCTGTGAGCTGCTGCTAGGTGTGACAGTTTTCGGACCGTTACCCAACGCATTGGTATGTATTGCAATAAACCGGCCTCAGGCTTGAGTCTGTGAACTAAAATCAATGCGTGGGTGACTTTTTCCACAACAGCCCCAAACTGAGAAACTACTGGAGAGCCTGGAAGCTGTAATTAATCCATTCGTTGTTTTCTTGAGGAATGGCAGGTCTGACTGAGGTGGAATGCGGCACGCAGACAGAAGTCCGAGCTGTGGCAGGGATCCAGACTGAGACCAGAGCTGAATCCTTAGAGAGGTACAAGCAGGTGTACAAATACCTGTCCAAAGGCAGATATCCCAGGCACCTCACCGCACTACAGAAGAGGAGTCTCCGCAGATATGCCATCAAGTTTGAAGTGGAAGGTAAGTTTGAGGCGGTGCCCTAACTGTAGGGCCTGATCCAAGGCCAATTGAAGTCAGTGGGATTCTTTCCACTGATTTAAAGGGGAACTGGACCAGGCCCGTGGAGCTGGGTAACTTTTATCTCAACACCTGGTTTAATTTTGTTAAGGAAACTCCCTCCTCACTCTCTTACACTCACACATGGAGTGTGGCTGATATAAAATCAATGGATGTCATTGGAGGAAATGTCCCATCTTTCACATTGCTACCCAAACCTAGTTCTGTTCTCAGGCAGACTTTCTGAAGGCAGTGAAGGCTGAGAACACCTTGCCCTTGAAACAAACCACGTTACCGTTTTTAAAGCCTCCAGTGAACTCCACGGTGCTGTAATTCTTAGTGAAGTCTCCAAGCTCCTCAATCCCAAGGGAGAGGGTTTTCTGTGCTGCCCACTGTCATTCCCCAGGCTCAGGCAGGGGGCTGGACTAGATTAGCACTCCTGGTCCCCTCCAGCCCTATAACAGACTCGCATCCTCTGCAGGGGGTAGGGTGACCAGATGTCCCGATTTTATAGGGACAGTCCTGATATTCGGGGCTTTGTCTTATATAGGTGCCTATTACCCCCCACCCCGTCCTGATTTTTCACTTTTGCCACCTGGTCACCCTAGCAGGGGTGCTGAGAGCCATTGAACACACAGTAAACCCTGTGTATGATGGACACCACTTCAAGCCAGGGGGTGTAGCAGTAGCAGCACCCCCAGCCCCAGATCCGGGCCGGCGGCGGGGGAAGGACCCGGACCACACGCAGAGCTGTGAGGAGAGTCTCTCTGCGGCGTTCATTGCCAGGCGACACTGACACACGGACCCTTAGCTGGCCCCCGCCTGGGAACCGCAGAGGGCGCTGCTGGTGTCCCTGTGAAAAGAGCCCGGCCCGGCCCGAGCTCCGGGCGGGGAGACAAGCGCGGCGCCTTGGCAGCGGCGGCGATCCCCGGCCTCCGGCCCCCGCCCCCCCGAGCCGCCAGCCCCGGCGGGGGGCCCCGCGGCCTGCCCCATGCTGACCATGGACTCCGCCCTGCAAGTGGCCGAGGAGGAGGTGGTGGAGTCCTGTAGCCCCAGCAGCAAGTTCGAGGACATCTACCGCCTGCTGTCCGAGGGCTGCTTCCCGCCCAGCTTCTGCTCCATCAAGAGGAAAAACCTCAAGCGCTACGCTCAGAAATTCATCCTCGAAGGTAACGGGGGGCACGGAAACCGCCCCTACCGCCACCCCCAGGGCTCAGAAATCACGAGATTGGCTTTACAAGAACGAGAGCATGTCAAACTCATAGATTTGGGGTTCTTTTTATTTGCCTTCTGCTTTTTGAGCCCGGGTGCAAATCGGGGTCACGTTTGGAAGTTTTCTCCGCAGCCACGAGGGCTAGAAACTTGCTTTTTCTCTTAAGAGCGAAGGCTGAAATCATCATATTTCCACCTGACTCCAGGAGCTGGGGCTTTAAGGAAAATGATAATTATCATGAGAGTTGGCAACACTGAACTGCCCCTCCAGATCGCTGGCTCCCTGCCCCAAACACTCCTGGCACATGCATGCTATGCACCCCCCTGCTATCACGCCCACAGCTCTGCACCTACACTCCTGGAGGAGGAGCATGCGCCTATGTACACAGCCCCTGCTGACTAGTGTATGCTTTCACTGGGAGGGAGGAGAGGTGTATGCATCTATTCTGTTCTTTGGAGGTTATTATACCACACTCATCACCAGAGCATCTGAGCACCTTTGCATAGTATGTTTGCCACTCACTGTACCAGTAGTAGGTATAAGAACCTATATCGCATGGGGGGGGATTTGGTCACTTACCTTCTAAGGAGAAGGTGAATTTCAATAGAGCAGCCCATCTCATATAACCCTCAATGAGATTCCTTTTCTATTAGTCTCTGGTGGAACTGTCTTCTGGCGACTCTGGAGGGAGGAAAGCTCTGAGAGCAGTAAAATAAAATAAAGTAATTTTGATGCACTGCCAGGGGTAAATTATTATTATAGCAAACCTCTGCTTAGAGTGAAGTTATCCTGGGTCAAAATGACTTCTCTAGCCTGGAGGGTTCTACTGCATTCTATATTCAGAAAATAGGTTCTTGGGTTTATTTTGTGTTGGTCCTAGTTTAATTCTGTCTCAGTGGGCACCTTGCACTGTCTTTTTGTTTAGGCATCCCATGGTCAATTCTCTGTTTGTTTTCTCAGCATGGAAGAATGGCCTCTCATTTGGGATCCAGTAGCTGGAAGTTCTGGGAGTGTGCATTTAAAATAAAAAAGGCTATGAGCTAGCCAGTGTGCTGTGAAGTGCTGGTTTTTAGCTGTCTGTTGCTAATTCTCTTTCGTGTTCCACTGCAGGTGGCTGCCTCTATTATGTGGGACCAAAGAAGGAGGAAAAACGCGAAGTCGTTGTGGATCCTGAAAGGAGGCGGCAGGTCTTCCTGGAAAGCCACTTCACAGAAATCGGGAACCATCTGGGACAGAAGAAGACGGTGCACAGGATTCAGAGCCGGTACTACTGGCTGGGGATTGTGAAGGATGTAGTAGACTGGGTAAGTACTAGAGCTGCAATGTTTCTTCCTCCTCCTTGTAACAACCTTTTATGTACTTGAAAACTCTTATCA